CCCAGAGAATTTTGCAAAAGTAAAAAACATGATGGTGCTTGGTTTCAGTATTAATGTTATGATATGGTTGTCTGATTCAATCTAATGAAAATTATTCCTGTCTTTTTGCTGTAGTTTGAACTTACCTGACGTTCAGGTGGGCTTGCAACACAAAGGTCATGGACAGGTATTTACATTTAATCCTAATTGTCTTCTTAAGCCTCAGGCACTCTCCCTAGAACAATGGCTCTTCTCCTGACATGTCGTTTTTTTGACTACATACTTCCTTTCTTACACCAGAATAAAGTTCATACAAAAATATTATTAGTCTATGCTTAATCATTTTGATGTTACTTAATATTACTTCATTGTTTACATCTTTTTCTATTAACATGTCAATGTACATGGTTTGTTTGTGTGCTTTTAGGCTGGAGGCTTCGGGTTTGACTTATCAGCTGGGGCTGGAGGTCATGGAAAAGGAACTGGAGATGGGTAAGAGGCATTATTCCAGAAAAGTGAACTGATTTTAGGACCTGGTTATCTGCTTTAAACTAAATAAAATGATTCTTGTTTTTTAACGGTAGATGGAATTTACCAGGAGTTCAAGTGGGCTTGAAACATGGAGGGAAAGGGCAGGTAAATCCTTTTTTCTCAAAAACTTTTACCTGTTTTAATCAACTCCTGACGTCTGTCTGTAGTCAATGATTTGCACAAATCTGCACCTTCTTTATTTTCACAGTAAAGGTGACTTATGTTACAATATGAAGATTTGTGTTCTAATTAAAAAGACTATCTGCCTTATCCTCAGAAACTCAAAGTTTCTACTAAAATTTTTTTTTTCGTTCCTCAGTTTAATTATATTCCAGAATTTGATTTTAACTACAAATGTTTTAATTTAACCACATGGATGAGGTCTGAATGAAGATGTTTTCTTTATTTAGAATTTTCGTTGGATCCTTGTCTAATCTATACTATTTGTCTATGTGGTTTTAGGCTGGAGGCTTCGGGTTTGACTTATCAGCTGGGGCTGGCGGTCATGTAAAAGGAACTGGAGATGGGTAAGAAACATTATTCCAGAAAAGTGAACTGATTTTAGGACCCGGTTATCTGCTTCAAACTAAATAAAATGATTCTTGTTTTTTAACGGTAGATGGAATTTGCCAGAAGTTCAGGTCGGCATGAAGCATGGAGGGAAAGGACAGGTAATTTCATTTTATTCCATTTAGTATTTACTTCAGAAAACCTTAACCATTTACATTTAACTCCTGATGACAGTCAGTAGTCACTGATTTGCATAAATACCCAGTTATTCATCCTCCATCTAAGTCAATGAATTGATTTTTCATGTTTTTGTTTTTTTTTCAATAAAACACTTTTTGTGTTTTTGATAGTTGTGTTATTCTGACCCAGATAATCAGTGTTTTAAAATACTGATATTTATTTAAATAAAAATAATGATTAATGTCGCTTTTCTCCCCTTATATTCTAAATTAACTATGTTGTTGAAGCCCCTTTATTTTTTGTCTCAGTAAAGCTGACTCATTGAAAAATCCACAAGTTTTTTATCTTAGTCTAAATGATCCTTGGCCTTTTTCTCAGAAATTTTGAAACGTTTCTTCAAACCTTTGTCTCCAAATTTTATATCATATTTTCAATCAAGGTTAAAATCATAACTACAAATAATTTTCAATTAATTCCTTACAGATATGATCTTAACTCATACAATCTCTTTATTCATAGTTTGCAATAAAAGTATCTTGAAAAATGTAAATGGTTCGTCCATGTTGTTTTTAGACTGGAGGCTTTGGGCTTGACTTATCAGCTGGGGCTGGAGGTCATATAACAGGAACTGGAGATGGGTATGAAACTTTCTTTTTGTGATCCTGTTGTTGTTGTTGTTGTGTTTTTTTTTTGTCAGTATTAATAGTAAACCCCAGAGAATTTTGCAAAAGTAAAAAACATGATGGTGCTTGGTTTCAGTATTAATGTTAGGATATGGTTGTCTGATTCAATCTAATGAAAATTATTCTTGTCTTTTTGCTGTAGTTTGAACTTACCTGACGTTCAGGTGGGCTTGAAACACAAAGGTCATGGACAGGTATTTACATTTAATCCCTATTGTTTCCATGGAAGTCTGAGGCACTTGTAATAATACCAGGAGACTTTAACTATGTCACCCTCTCCTCTCACCTGGCTGAATGTTCACAGATTGCTAACTTTAATTCTAGAAAAAAAATTGTGTGACAAATTAATTACTCTTTCAGTATAAATAAAATTCTTGTATTATTGTATTGTTTAATTTCAGTCAGTTATGTGCTCGTTCCAAGTTAGTCCCCTTTAATGTAGACCATTAGCTTATTGAATCACAAGATTGAAGTTTATAACTAAAACAGTTTGGTACTATTTCTTAATTCTGTTTCTTTCAATCCATGAAATTTTAGTACTTTTCCAAACTGATAATGACTGAAATTATTAATTCAAGTGCCAATTGATTTACAGTTCATTCCAGATGTTTGTTATATTGTTCTTTAAATCAAAGTCACTATGATTTACTCGATAAATAAATGATATCTGTTGACATCTGAAGAGTGATATTTAAAAATTGTTGTTCACCATCTGAAAAGCTTTTTTTCCCCAAAAGGCAGTTTTATTTCAGAAAAAGTCCTTATTGCAAAATGATTTCAATGTATTCAACTTAATTTGATTGTAATTCAGATAATTTAACATTTCACTAATGTCATCATGCCCATTACTCTGTTTGGTTTGTTTATGTGGTTTCAGGCCGGAGGCTTTGGGTTTGAGTTATCAGCTGGGGCTGGAGGTCATGTAAAAGGAACTGGAGACAGGTATGATCCACTATTTTATTCACGTGAACTGATTTTTGGACAGAGATCATAAAGGCAAACCTAAAGGCAAAGACTTTGAGTCAAATCTCAGCAACCACTTCAATGGTAAACTAAACTATGTATTGTTTCTGCTGATTTCTCAATCGTATGATTTATCTGAAGAAAATTAATCAGTGTCTTTTGCTGTAGTTTGCAACTACCAGAGGTTCAGGTGGGCATGAAACACAAAGGACAAGGACAGGTAATCACTGTTTTGATTTAATCAATGTATTCTTCATCATTAAACTGATTTGATTGTAATTCAGCTCCGAATTTACTTATTTTCTGTATTCCTATTCAAATATTTTTTCTTAACCCAGATAGTTGAATTGGAAATTTAAAATATTCAGAAATTGATAAAAATTTCTGTTCAAAGCTTTCTTTTAAATCCCAAAGAAAGTGTGGCTCTTGTAACTTTTGGCTTTTTCAATTTTACCTTCCAATCCAATTTTTTGGGATGTTATTGATTATGAGAACCACCTAGATTGATATTTCTTACACAGAAATTCTCAATTTGCTTTGACTTATTTTTAGTTGTTCCACAGTGATTTAAGATTAAAAGATGTTGATGTTCATTGATCTGATTGTTTTGTTGATGTATTTTCAGGCTCAGTTCGGGTACCAGTTATCAGGGGGTCACGTAACAGGAACTGAAGATGGGTATGTAACATAATAATACATAAATGGACTGATTGTAGGACAGGATATTCAGGCTTGGCTAAAAGAGTACAGGACCTTAGAGCAGCATTAAAAAAGAAACTGATGAAAGTGTCTCCTCTGTTTTTGCAGTAGTTTGCAACTACCAGAGGTGAAGGTGGATGTCAAACAACTTGGGCATACAACGGTAATCAACACAGTGCTTTTTTATCACCATCACGTCTGTAAAGATTGGATAAAAGCTAATTACAGATTATTATCTTATGTTAGTTTATACTGGCTTAAAGCATTAAGCATTTCATTCTAATTGAAAAGGTTACAGTTCACTTAGGGTAGTTTTGGACACTCTTACCAAAAAAAGTATTACTCAAGTACATTTTATGAAGTATACTGAAGTTCATTTAGTACAGTATACTTTACTGCCGTAAAGTATACTTTGTACACTGATACAACTATACTACCAGTGTACTTACAAGTAAACTTCTTGGGACTAAATTGGCCCAATTTTAGTTTATAAATGTACACTTGAAGCATACTTGAAAGTAAACTTCCTGTAAACTATTAGTAATATATAACTAGTAATAAACTTCTAGTCCACTTTGTTGTTTATAAAAGTACACGCTGAAGTATACAACCTTTTAACGGGGGGGTTGCTAATGGGTAGACAGAGTGGATATGGGGGAGATAGAAAGAGGGAAATGAGATGCAGCACAGGGTCACAACTGGAATGGAACCTGCGACCGCTACAAGGACCACAGATTCCAACATGGGGCACGTCTTAACCCACTCGGCCATCTGCACCCACTCTAAAATCTTAAAGTTACCTTTTTGTTATGCTATAATTTCTATAGTAGAACATATTTATATACTTGACCTGTTCTGCTTATCTTTTTAAGAGTATACTCTTTTTAAGAATATACTCATATAGAGTATACTCTTAAAAAGATAAGCAGTATAATCAAGCTTGAAAAAAAGCTGAATGGTTAGTTGGATCTTTGAAGTCAAAGTTCTTAAAGTGACAAACTGATGAACCATCCCTCTATGTTCTCTGACATATTTTTTTATATTTAATCTAAATAGTCAGACCAATGTACTTAGTAAACAAAAAAGTTAAAACTGTATATTTTCCAGAATTTTCACAATCTTTACATTTTTGTGGCACCAATTCCGGTTCATATCTATAATTTCTGTAGATACTAAGCTATCTGTTGAGATGCAAATGGTACTATATATTAGATTTAGATCAATTTCCATTATAAAACCATTTATTCTTCTGAAAATCTTATACTTTGTGAGCTTTTGGTCCAAAGGTCAAAGACTTTCATCCCAATTCCAATGATTTCTGTTCGTATCCTTAGCAAGTTTGACTTAATCTCCTTTTTTTTTTTTCTTAGCTCTTGCAGGTATTTTTCGTCAGTATCCAAATGTATTTCATCTACCCTAAACAGATGTTTATTGATTTTTTACTTTCAGTTGTAGATGGTAGTTCCTCTTGAACGAAAAGTCTCTTGGAATCTGAATATTTTTAGTGGTTATATGTGGTTGTTGATCAGTCTGATTGTTTTGCTGATGTGCTTACAGTCTTCAGTGTCTCTGTACCAGTTGTTAAAGAGACTGCAGGATGCAAATAAAGGATCTTTGGAAAGGTAAGAAACAGTCTTTTACATTATAAACAGACTGTCAGACAGAGATAATATAACCTGACCTGAAGAAGTGGGCTGAGGTTACATCATCCGAGATGCTTACAATGAAACCATTATAATGCTTGGTTTGAGTTTTACTGTGATTCAACGTGTGATTGTGTTTAATTAATGAAAGGCTTCTGTCTCCTGCTGTAGTTTGGGATTACCTCACGTGGATTTGAAAAAACTAGAGCATTTAATGGTAATAAACCCTTTTCCATTATCTTCAGCAGCATCAGGACTTCTTTCTGAAGATTAAAACAAACTTTGTAGGTTTTAAATGGTCTGTATATGTGATTGCAGGATGAATCTTGGAAGGATAAGAAAATGGAGGGATTACTGATAAAGCATGTGAAGGAGTGTCTACACAGGTATGAAATGTTCAGAGGAAGAGTTACTTTAATGTCCTTAGTTTATTGGCTTTTTGATCATTGAATATGCTGTTGTGTCTTTTGCTGTAGTTTGGGATTAACAGAGCAGGAGTTTGAAGAACTGATGCGAAAAAAGGTAGTGTGCTGTATTTCAAACAACTCAAAATGAAAATAGGTTTTCAATCTGTAGTTTATCATTCTGACTACTCTGTTGCTGTGGTTTCAGGCTCATATGTCAGAAGACGAGGCGATTGAATGGCTAAAGCAGCACAACAACTGAAAGGTACAAAACATGAGCGAGTCTGAAACATACAGAGTTCAGTATTTTCATGCTGGGTAAATGTTGGGGACATGGCAGCTGAGATCAAACCTCAAGAGGTAATTCAGATAACACTTTAAAGACCACTGTGTGGCATGCATCTCATCAACTCTCCAATTTTTACCACAAGCCATGCTGTTGTAATCCCTGCAAATTGTGGTTTGTCATTGTCTTGCTGAAATATGAAGGTCTTCCTTGACAAAGCCATTGTCTGGATGGCAGCAGATGTTGCTCCTAAACCTGTAGATATTGTTCAGTATTAACTGAGCCTTCACAGATGTGTAAGCTACCCATGACATGGACACTAATGATCCCCAAATCATCAGGGATGCTGACATTCGACTGAGCAATAGTAACAAGCTAGGTGGTCCCTCTAACCTTTGGGAGGAGTTGGTGTCCATGATTTCCAAAAAGAATGTCAGATTTTGATTGGTCAGCCCAAAGGACATTTTCCACCTACCCTTAGTCCGTTTTAAATGGGCTCAGGTCAATAGAAGTCTTACTTTGAGGCCATGCAGTGATTTCCACTATAGAGTCCTGTCTGTTTTCAATGCAGTGCTGTCTAAGGTCCTGAAGATCAGGACCATCCAGTACTGGTTTTCCCTTTTGTACAGAGATTTCTCCAGATTCTCTAAATCTTTAATTAATGATATTATGTTCTGTAGATGATTTAAATCCACTCATTCTTTAAAATTTTACACTCAGGAACTTTATTCTGAAACTGTTGAAACGTTTTCTCACAGTCTCTCACAGAGTGTTGAACCTCTTCCCATCTTTCCTTCTAAATGTCGTTTTTACACAGTCATGTTACTAATCTGTTGGAAATTAACCTCATTAGTTTAGTTTTTGGCTCCAGTTGTTTTTAAGCATGACACAATTTTTGGCCTGTTTGGTCGTCTCCATCCAAACCTATAAGAGACATGGTGCTGGCATCAAATTTGAGATGAGCAAAAAAAAAGAAAACATTTTCTTTTCCAGTTTAAATATTTGATATGTTGTATTTGTGCATTTTTAATCAGATTTTCATGATTTTTCATGACAAATGTTTGTAAATGTTTGACCTGGTCAATTTACAGAATGTACGAACAAACTTTGTTATGAAGTATACGGATAATTTGGTTAAGGCTTAAAAGACAAAAATTATGTTGAAAGATTAACTGATGGCTTTAAATAATTTTTACCTTTTTTCATGCGGTTCCTGCACAGTTCAAGGGTCCCTGGTGTGAATGAACTTCAAGAAGTGACAGCAAATCAATGTGCATCATCAAAAATCGTAAAACACCAACTGGTCATCAGGTTTCTACTCAGAGTCTAAAATTAAGAGATTAAGATTCATGCATTCGCCTGTTTTATCTTCTGTGTTTTACTAGTGATGAATTCAAGTCTACTTGCTGTGAAGTAATAATAAAGTCTCCATGTAGAAACTGTCTGTAAAAAGGCACCTTTTAAAACTACCTGTAGAAAAAATGCTTTCTTTCACTTTTTCAATAAATTAAATGGAGTAAACTGCAGTCTGGACAAGTTTCTTTTTGTCTCAATCACTTGTGTCATGGGATTCTCAGTGTTTAAAGAAGATCTCTTAACCTTCCATTAAATGAAATAAGACAGGGTCACATTCAGAGGAGCTTTGCATGATTTGTAGTTCAAAAAGCTCCACCTTTATCTTATACTGTTGTTTTTGAGGCATGTGGATTTTTATTTCTTTTAGTTATTCATCATTTACTTTATACTTTTATCATTCTAACTTTTAAATGTAATAAAATAACCATCAGTTTCAAATTAAAGAGTTATTTCTAAACAGCTACTTTCGTCACCCAGCGGGACATTCTTCAGTCCTGAGCTGGGAGATTTCTGTTTGGGGTAACAGCACCCTCTAGCAGCATATAAAAGCAGTGTGACTTTATTCTTACAGACACCTCAGCGTGAACAAGAGGGCTGTTACAGTCAACTTCATCAAAATTAATCCAACCTAATCCAGCGTAAAAATGGACTTCATGTTTCTTCAATCTTCAATCTTGAAATGTCGAGAGGAAAATAATGAGCATGAAAAACTGCAACAGACTGAAAGACTGAGAGGAAAGCTGAGACATAAGGTATTCCCCTTCAGAGCAGCATAATGTGCCTAATCACTGACTACTTAAATGATTTTTGTCATTACATCATGACTTTCATTCTGTAATGCAACGTAGCTTTATTCTTGTAAGAAAATGACTTTTTAGTTATTATCGCGGCCCCTAAACCCCATCATTAAAAAATACAGTAGAGTAATTGATTGTAAACAGGAGCAGCACCCATGACAAAAACAACACTTCACTGATTTGGTAGAATATTTTCAGGCATTTTTGGACTTGGTGATATAGAACAAAAAGAAAATGCAATCATATTTGATTTATTGTTGAATGTTTGTTTGTGGCGAGGTGAGGTTTTTATGTCTTCACACTTATAAAAGTATACTAGAATTTCATATATAAGGGACTATGGCATCCGTTAGTAAAGAAAGCAAGAAAGTACTGTTATTAGTCTGAGTGCTTGCACATGCTTAATTGATGCCACCCCTTTAATGGTCAGGGCTTTAGCTGGGCCACCCTGCTCAAAAAAGTCAAGACACGTCTTGTAAAATAAGAAAAATCTATGAGAGTTACTTGAGTTTTTAAAATACAGACTTCAAAATTAAATTTCAGGAGCTATTTTTCCCTTTACGGACAGCTGAAACTTGAAATTAAAAATGTTGGCTGATCATGGCGCCAGATTCAGACCTCAATGCTGCTTTTCTCCTTGTCACAACCAATTAGATTAATCCAGTGCGAGCATCTTAACTCCTCACAACCAAGAGCAGAGAGTCAGGCAGCAACAGGTGGCTGAGACACCTCCTCCCCTCCTCTTCCTCCTCCCTCTGTTACAGTCAAACTCTGGTTGTTCCTGCACTGGCCGGCTGCTCTTTTCTCTCGGCTTGGTTTGGTTCGGGTTTGATGTTATGAAGCTGGCCAGGCTACCTCAAAGATTGGTGGGCTAATAGACCTTGGTGAACAGGCTGTCAGGCTGCCAGGTGGCAGGAGAAGGAAGAGGAGGAGGGTGGGGGCCGAGGCTGGAGGGGAAAAGAAGAGGAAAGAACTAGAAAGGCAGGAAGGCTGTGCGTACTGTGAACCTGCTGCTCAGCAGGGAACTGGGAATAATGGGAACCACTTATGGAAAGAAGGTCAGTGACGCTCAGTTTTGTTTATCTTTAAAGGTCCAGAGAGAGATTTTGCTTTTATTCACCAGCTGAAACATTCACTCAAACAGTTTGTCAACATTAAAACTTTTTCTTCAGAGCCTGGAACACACCCTGATCTGATCAATCTGTGGCCTAAATGTAACACCTGGGCTACAGGTCACATGATCAGCTGATTTATCAGTAAGTCAACAGAGGGCTGAAAAGTCTGATAACTGATTTGAGATTCCTGATGTTGTTTGCTTTGGACTTTTTTTTCTCTCTCTGTATCCAGGAAACTTTGAGTCTTGGACGCTTGGTCGGCAAATAAACATTCTTAGACTTTAGACTTTGAGAGTGTTCTAAATTCTGGGCTGTTTGATGTATTGTTTTTATTAATCTTTGTTTAATAGATATTTGAGAAACTTTTTAAATTAGAAAGTAGGTTAATGCTACTTTACTTACTTACCTAATACCTACTTTACCTCCTTCGAAGACTACCATTCAAACTAAGAATCTGGTTCACGCAACAGCTCAGACATGTTGTTGTTGTGAGCTAAATGCTAAAAGCGCCATGCCAACATGCTCTCGATGACAACACAAACATGCTGCTTTTAAGCTGGTTTATGTACACCATGTTCACTCAGTGGGATTAGCAGGTTTGCATGCTAGCATGAGCTAGTAAGCAGTGTAAGTATTTACAATAGTACTCTCAGTCGAGATTTATTTGTTATCTGATTTTTTTTTTTTGTATTTCGAATTATCAATCAACTTGGTACAAAACAATAATTCAGAATATTATTTTGTATCGAAAAGACTATCGGAAAAAAATGAACCTTTGAACTTATCAGTTATTATTTATTTATCATTGCCTAAAAACAAGAACCAACAAAGGTCTCCAGGAATGGGTGGCTACATTTTAGGTCCTCGTTTGTTGCTTCGTTTCTTGTGCTAAGCATTGAATGTTGTCCTGCAAAAACTTTATTTTTTGTAAACGCCAACTTCTCGGCCCATCCCATCTTGCAAAGCAGTGCCTGCCAATCTGTTTGTGGTGAGTCTCAGTTTCACTGTAAATCATTTCCAGAAAGGCTTAACTTTGGTTCACTACAGCAGTATGAGACCCCTAAAACACAAGATATCTGGGTTGTGTCTTGGCGCCTTTTGCCCTCCAGAGTGACCATTTATCTGTACGTGTGACTCGGTTAAACTGTAAACAAAGCATTGCACAGAGGCTTCACTCTGGCTTACTATTCATCAGTTTGTGGTCTTGGGTTTTTACCATAAATAGTAAGTTTCAGAAAGGCTTCTAACTGGACAACTATTTATCTGTTTTGGTGAGTCTCAGTTTAGGGTCAGGCTAATAACTAGTAATTACTCAGAGGCTTCACTCTAGCTTACTTCAGCAGAGAAATTGATGCTCTTGTGATTTTTTCCTTATTAATGGGTCTTCAGTTTGCTGAAATAACAACATCACGATTCAGATTATTTAGAAATCAAAAGTCAAGTTTTTTCAGGTCTGTCTTCGAGAGAAGAAAACAACTTTGAAAATGTTTGTTTGTTGATTGGAGGTCAGATCCATCATTTCAGATGCATTCAGGGAAGTCTGACAATCTGAACACTGATTATCTTCAGTGACTCAGCATCAAGCACAATAGTGTCTCAGTGTGGATGTTTGATCTAGAACAGATTTTAAACTGACCCTCATGTAGATATCTGTTTAAAGTGAGAAGGAAATTATCCTCAGATAACCAATGATGGATGCTGAGAGGCCATTATGGTGGTCATCCATACACATTGATGCCAAAGCTTACTGACACTTAATTGTCAATACTAGCTGATCAGACTACTGACAAACTACAAACAAGAAACAGAGCACTACCCAGTCCACTCTGATATTCCAGACTTTAGATTTTACAACATGTTGAATCTGTACGGATTAAAATCTCTTCTTAGACTTAAAAGGTTTGCACTGCTTGAGAAACAACAGTACATCTTCTGTTTCTAATAATCAGTGCATCTAGCTGTTATGAACCTAGTATTCAAAGCTTACTTTTTACAGCTTGATAAAAACACTGTCCTCTTACGTATTCGCATTTATAACTGTAGCAAAATATTGCAGAATCACACTTTATGTTTATGTTTTGTTACGCACATTTACATTTATATATATTAGTTGTACATGCAGATTTTCTAACAGTGTTTGAACTGTATGTTTAGTACAGCTTGGTAATGACTTAATGATTGGAATAAGAATTGTATTTGTGTAGTTCAGGCTGCTTAGTTTTGAATGTTGGTAGTAAATTCACCTGTGAATGATAATTGGTGTGACTGCCACTGACATCAAAAAAGGAAGACCAGATCCATTTTTATCATTTGGATCTTTTGGTTGTACCATTTATTTAGATATATTGTTTTGTCTTTTCACCTTTACCTGAACACAGGCCTCTTCCTCGATTGCTTAAGACCCAATTTTTAATCTTAAATTACTTACCCTGAAGATACAGGGAACACAATTTCCATCAAGACTATAAAGAGAAAAAAGTTATATGACTTAATGAGGATAACTTACAACTATAAAACTGTAAACCAAACTGAAGTTTTCAACTGTAAAGTCAGATTTTGTATTTTTGTGATCAGGTATTCCCAGGGATCCCCTTTTGTTGAGATTTAATAACTGTTATTTGAGGGGATTTGACGAATCAATATTACAGACTATATAGACCTGCATAGATGTTGTTGTTGTTGTTGTTTGTTTGTTTTTTTTTCTGTTAAAAGAAAATCTGAACAAAATGGGTCTGGTTTTGTATTTATGCTTTTGTGTTTACAAAATCAGCCTCAGAAGAAAAAACATAAAATGTTGTAGCTTACCATGAAATCCACTCACTTTGTGGGACCAGCAGCTTTTAGTGATGACCTTGGTAGGCGTTTTTTTTTTTTTTTTTTTTTAATCTCTTAAAAAAAGGGGGACGTCTATAATCAGGGTTGTCTTATTTTTGGTTTGATATGGTATTGTACACCTTGTGAAATTTTATTGTAATATTTTGACACAGTCCAAATCATCCTGAAACTAACATACATTTTATTCTGTTTGAGAACTTCAAGATTAATGTATTACTAGTCTTTACCCAGAGATGAATGCACTTATTGCGATAAAGTTTCAAAGCATACACTGATCAAGTTATAATATTTGACTCAAAAAGGTCAAAGGTCATCATTGCTATGACGTGACAATGTTCTTCTGTCACACACTGTTAAATTATGACTGCATTTTCTCTTAGTCAACTGAAAATCTCATCTTCATTTGTACAAACTGCAAATAAAGATTTTGTATAAAATCTTTATTTGTTATGAAATTAATTCATCTGTGAATTCACTTAAGCGTTCTTATAGCTTTTAGTAACACAAACACTAACTCCCTCTTGAATGTGGTTGGTAAGAGGCAGAGAGACTTCAGTATAAAGCCTCTGAAACTCATATTAGGGTATGGTTCTTGGTTAAATAGGCTTGTGGTCATTCTGTTTGTGTGTTTCTGTTCTTCATCACTGATGGACTCAAATCTGAGCTCAAAGGAATGTGATTCCTCAAACACATGCTGAGTTTCTGGTTAACCAGCGAAAGGTGACAAATATTTGAGCTGTGGGGCACGGCACACCTGTTGTAGCGGGAGTGTTAGGGTGTGTTTGTTGCCATGGTAACTAACAGCTGACTGTAGGGTTGCAGAGTGAATGGATAGAGGTATCAGACCGGGTCATATAGCTGTAATGTCTGGGTCAGATTAACTCATGGGTCTATTTTTGATGGAGTGATTTCTATCAGCAGCTGGGAAGAGAACGCCCAGATATATTTTCATTTAATACTGGAAATCAGCTGCAGTTATTTAAAATACTGCATAATCTGAGAGACAGACACTCTTCAGAGCTCATATTCAGCGGTGTGTCCAGACCAGAGTTTAAAAAAGACTTCACTTTTCTCCTGCCAGCCATTTGACTGGTACCACTCCAGAACTCTCGCCATATAGAAAAATGATCTGACATAAGCTCTTGATTATGTCCAATAAGAGTGCATGGGATACATGAACAATGCGATCCAACAAATGTAACTTTTGCTGAACTTTGAATTAGTTCTCAGAAAATCTATAAAATATAAAACTCCTGTTGACATCAAAAATCCGACTTATTTCTTATCTGCTGGTGTTTGTGAATTCCAATAAGTGGCCATAAATCTTTTAAAAATAGAGTTTTGAACAGTTGTTTTATGAACGTATGTACAACCACAAGTGGAACTGCCACATGAACAACTTTTATATCATCTTGTTTCGTCATGTTATTTCATTATATTTTCCCAATGATGTAATTCTTTAGAATAATATTGTGTATAATATGTGAGTCCTCAGAGCTAGAGTCATTCAGTCAGATCGCTGGCCCACTCTGGACTAATTAGAGCTCAAACAGTTTGTGAACTCATGTTTGAGTAACCGGATCAGCACTAAGAGAAAATAGCAGCCAAGTATTCTCAGCTGCGGTTACGCAACACTGCTCATTAACAAGAAGATGAAGAAGAGAAACACGTGACTGTGAAAATCAAAGTGCTGCATGCTGACTGATCCAGGATCAGCCTGATGATGACCTCAGACACCAACAGCATGCTCAGATAAATCAGGTTTGTGTGTTTGTGGTGTTGATGCGGATCATCAGAGGGTTAAAACCGGCTTGCACCAGAGAGGGAGATTAAGACCATCAGAGATAATCCTGCTGCTAAAAATACAGAAACAACATTACAGCCCTCAGTGTGTGTGTGTGTGTGTGCGCGCGTGCGTGTGTGAGCACAAACAAGATTGTAATTGATTTTACTTAGAGTTGTAATTTCTTCAATTTTGGTTTTTCAGCAGTTTTAAAGGCCAATTCAAGTATTTTTAAACCTAAGCTTTGATTGCTCCACAAATCTGCGCTCTAGCTCATGTAAAAGTTTAAGTGTCCAGTTTCCTGTGTACTGCAAAGACTTAAATCTGGCCTTGGTGATAATGTGTAATTTCAAGTCACAATATCTCTAATCATACATACAAGTACAGGAATATTTAGCAATATGCTGTGGTCAAAGTCTAGCCTGAAATGCTCCCTTGCTCACCCCTGCGGTCAGTGAGGTGACGGTTGCCCTTAAGGACAAGCAGCTCCTGTGATGCATGTTAAGTTTGATCTTCAATTAATACAAGTCTATTCGTACAAGTAGGTGAAATGACAACTGAATCTTCTGTAGCTGAAAAAAATACTTGCAGCAAATGTAGTTACATGTTGGTTATCTTCTCCAGAATCTACCTAAGCTCTAATCTTGATATCACTTGCTTCACAAGCAATGAATCCAAGTTATCTTGGAAAAACAAGCAGTCTGCGCGCCCACAGTGAAGTGGATAACTGAGCTACAGCTACAGTTACAGCATGATTGGATGATTTAACTGAACTACTCTTCTAGTTCCAGTTTACAAGCACCAGATGATTTAGTGACAGAAGCATGTCCGCCTCCAGTTGTCCTACCACATCATGTTCCAAACCAATCCAATAACCCGGTATCCTACAGCACATTTATGCTATTCAGCCTGACATGCAAACTGTGGAGCATGCTCAGAACACTCAGACCAGTTTGAGTCTGACTGAGACGTAAACATGAAAGAGAAAAACAATCCCCATGATCCAAGTGTGTTTGTCTGACTTTGTGAAATTCAATTTAGTGTGATTTCAGTCACAGTGACAGGGTTGTATCTATTAATTGATTTTTTTAACAACATGTAAACACACTGACAGTTATATTTTAGTAGCTCAAGGTTCTTCTTGGTAAAAATTAGAGATGTCAACATTTGATAAAATATTGAGTAACTAATTGTTAAGAACGTACTCAAGCATTTATTTATTTATTTATTTATTTTAGCATTAGGTGGAGATAGATGTGTGGCTTTATACCAAAGTCAGCCATCCACAGGGTGTTTTGGAGTTTCAAGTATGTTTTACTGCTAATTGGCTGGCTAAAATATTGTATTGTTTTTTGTCTTAGAAAAAAATCTTGTTTTTTAAAATCAGTAATAAAAAAATTGACAAACTGAGCTTTCAATCAAACAACAAGCATTATGAGAAATGAGGCATTCCTGATGATGACTATATAGAGTCAGCAGTAAAAACTCCTGTGTTTACAACAGGTTGTTTTCCAGACTGCAGCGTGGAAAAGATTCCGCACAGAGTGTTCCAGCCTCACAAGTGTCAGAGTCGTAATGCCACTGCATATCCAGTAGAGGTCAGACTGCCCTTAGGTCAGTTCTTATTCCTAACAGGCTGAAATGATTCAAGCCGGGACAGATTTGAGAAAAGTTCAAACTCCCCTGAGGCTAACAGAGCTGACCTAACATCAGCTGTGAGACAGTCTGTCCATTAAGAGCATGAAAACAATCAATGCTCATATCCTCAGAGCTGCAAAGGTTCAAAACAACAGAGGCCCTCAGTAGACATTGATCTATACACTTTAAACTTGGTGTTCCTTTGTTTTTATCTCAAAATCTCAAGGAAACAATGTTGGACCTCTTATCAAAGCATATTGCAGTAGTATATTTATAATGTCTCATTCATGCAGTAATCTCAAGATAACATCAGTTTTGTTTAGTTTTTTAACTAAAACAAACATTTTCGGTTGCTTTTTCAGCTAAAGATAACAAGTTTTCCAAATAAAAGCAGAACTTTTTGTTGTCTCAATCTTGACTTTTCTTTTACCCCTTTATCTCGAGATGTTGACCAAATTTTTTTCACTCAATAAAGTCAGTTTAATTTTTGTCCTCTGGATCTCAATCTTATTCTCTCATTATCTCTAAGTTAGAATGCTGTTTTACTACTAAACCTATCCTTTCACCTTTCTTTTCTGTATCTTAAAGTAACAATAACGCTGGTTTTCCTTAACTGACAGTTTAAGGCATTTTTTTCTTTTTTTTTTTGTGTGATACCCAGGTTTATTTATGGCCTAATATCACTGTAACAACGCTGTTTTTCATTTAAACAATATTTTCAGTTGTTTTATCGACATATCAAGTTATATATCTCTTTATCTTAAGATACGAACCATGGGTATTCCTTGAAAAGAAGTCAGTTTTTTGTTTTCTCATGATCATGACTGGTGTATCTTGTCACCTCATTATGAGAAGATAACAACACTTTTATGTAATCATGAGATTCTTTTAGGGTTTATCTCATGCCTGTAGTCATCTTTCTACCATGTGATAACAATACTGTTATTTTACATAGTTACAGATAGTTTCTGGGGTTTTTTTGTAATCTCAATGTTAACCTTCAAAATAAATCTGGTCATTGTGAAAGACCAGACCAGGACATGCCATGCTGCCATTGCTCACACTTTAGTATTAGCTAAGCCTTTCTCAATGTTTGTATCTCTGGGTATATGAGTTATGATCAGTTAACTTTACAGTGTTTACCACCTGGAAAAACAGCTGTGATATCTCGAGATAGCAATTAAAATAAACAATGAAAACAACTATAAAACACTAATTGCTCTGGGAACATGGACATAGTAATGTTTGGATAAATGTCTGGTTAGGGCTTGTACTATAAATCAGTTTGTCATCCATTTATTGTAATTGATATGCAGTTTGTTATGGTTTGATTTACACCATGAGAGTGTCGTCAGTCTGAACTTCTAACTTTACTGTTAGCTGTTTTTCTTTTAACCTCCTTGAGACTGACCATTTTAGGGAGAAAAAAATACCACTCATTAAATTCTTTTCTCAGATCAGCCTACATCCAGCAGTAAACAACATTCATGTCACCTCCAGAAACCCCCTCCCCAATCCTTCAGTCCTCTTTGGAGGGGGGGGGGGATTCGGGGAGACAGTACAGGCCTTGTCACCATGTTGAAGCCTGATGAAGTCTCTCCTAGCAACCAACACAAAGTCCATTCAGTTAGAGAGGAGGCTTTCCAACTGACCTGGAGTCTGAAAGGAGACAAGCGGCTGAGAAACAACCGGAGGGGGGGTGGAAGGAGGATAAGAAAGAGGAGGAGGAGGAGGGAGGAGGAAGGCTGGAAGGGTTTGGATCAGAGTGAGAAAACACTTGAAGTTGAATGTTGTTAAAGGAACAGCTCTGAGTTTGAGAAGTCTGTTTATCTCTACAAAAAAAGCTTTCTTTGTTTTCATTTTATCGCTAAAAGGAAATGTGTTTGGACATGACAATGATGCTCATCAGATTACTTACAAGTAAGATACTGATTAATCTAAAAATGAAATGAGAGGACTATTTCCAGACTTCTTCTGGCGTTTGGAACTGATTACAGTAAATTATTAGAGAAAAGTCTCTAGTGTCACTGAGCTCTTCTAGTAACCCATTTGTAGGATCAAAAAAAATGGAAAACTTCTTACTCCACAGGACAAAAAGCCCCACTTTCTCTGTATAAACAAGTGGGACATGGGTTGAACAAAAAAACTGAAATACACACAAAATAAATATTTCTCAAACATGGTCTTCAGTTTGTTCAAAATAGCAACCATAGTTGATTCAATGGACCTTCCACTTGTGGAAGCTGCCATGTTGGCTGTGTTCAAATACACAAAAAAAGGGTGCTCCTATGTCGTCATCTTACATAAAAGACTGTGGTTGGTCCAGTTTATCTGACACTAAGGGAAAACATTTATGACAGCAATTCCCGACCCACATGCCAAGGAAGATGACTTTCAGCTGACAACACCAGATCATTTAAGGGTAGTTCACTATTGTGAGGCACAGTGGCAGGAGGTGGAGGCATGTCATCCATCTTTATGAATAGCCAATGGTGGGGACTGGCTCATACAGGTCTGCCTTTGGGGCCCTATGGTCGTAGGCACTCCCCTCTGGGGATGTCCTAAGACACAAACCCATTCACTCAACTCTGACTCAAACTGAGCTGACACAGGCCTCCTCAGCTCAACCCAACCTGGCCTGAATCATCTGAACCTGACTTGACCAAAACAATCATGACCTGACATAACCCTATCAACATGACATCCCTTGACTCAAAGGACTCATCTTGCTCATCTTGTCTTGAATGTACATATGTGGCCCATCTGAGTGACTTGGCTAAATCTCACTGAACCCAAGATGATTTGATTTGTGGATCTAACCTTACTCTATAGATCTAAATAACCCTTGACCCGTCTTGAGATTGCTGCACAGAACATTAATCAAATTAACCTAGTAAGACTTGCCTCTACCAGACTTAAGTTAATTCCACACAATCCTAAAATGACTGGAGTCTTGTTAGGATGAATAACCTTGACAAATACCAGCTGGACTGGAGCTTACAGCACTCATCACAACTGAACCTCAACCACCATTAATTGACTCAGCAAGACTTAACCAGATTTAACTTGACATAATCTAACTTGAACTGACTCAACTGCATTTGCACCAACATCTGAGATTTAACTAAACCTGAACAGCACGATTCAGTTTGTACTGACCTGGCATGATTCAACTTTCAGTATCGAATCATCTCGACCTGGCACTGGTGATTTGGCATAACTTGAATTCTTATGAACTTACCTTGATGGCATGACTTTACTCAACTCAAGCTAACTATTTCAAGACTCAGCATTCCAGCATTAGCTGACTCAGCCTTTACTAACCTTGCACAACTTAGCTTGACCTGACATGACTTGAATTGACTTGACCAGTCCTTTAACACTGCAAAAGCCCATGCCCATGTCTGTTGTGTTTACTTTAAATCTGTTTTCATCAATTTGGTTGATGTCTCTTTCACTAAGCTTGCGTAGTAAAACATTCTTTGCTTTCTTTGTTCCACACTGTTTTTCCATCTCTTCTACTTTTGTTTTCTGGTGACTAGTTCAAATACATTAAAGTAACATTGAAATATCCTCTGTGTTGTTTAAAACTTTAGATGGCTAACAGATTTCCACAGTTTTGTCACAGCATCAATAGGCTGGGGGATATTATGCTGGAAAGCTCTGGGGTTGATAACATTTTGCCATCAAGACACGCACTCTTGCTATGGGGAACTGTCAAATCAAGATCAAGTATTTATAACACACAGATAGTAAGACCAGACAAAAACTGGTCTAGTCCCATTGGGGGTTACAAAAGTGTGAAGGCTCAAGAAGCCTTACCAGCACAGTGTTATATAATAAAATACAACAAAACTACAAAAAGTCAGCAGAGCTTCTGCTCCTGAACATCTTCCTGACTGCTCTTTTTTTCTTTTTCAGAAGGCGTACAGCATCGACCACGAGCCTCCTCCAAAGCAGCAGTATGTGAAAAATGGAAAGCACCCAAACGGCAAAGGTTAGTTTGTCCCTCTCAGGTTACTGTTAGACTCAGGGAACAATAGTACACTCTGGGAGGCCAGTCTGACCTGTTAATGGTCGCTGACTGCTCTCTCACTGAGGCCCAGGCTGTAATGGGTCTGCTGAGGAGGTTATGACCCACCAGTTGCTTCCTGAGTCTTTAAAAAGGTTTACTGCTGTCTGCTACAACTACAATGTGAGGATAATTCAGGCAGTAGAATTACTTTAAACACACTAAGTGGTATAATTTCACCCATTCTCTAAAATGTGTCTTTAATATATTTCAATGAACCTGATATCACTGGCAAATGTAAAATACTGACACAGATTTTGATGGTTTGCAGATCAAGAAAGCCAATATTTAACTGATATTGTTACAAAGAGTACATGTGAAATTTTGAAACTAAAGAATTGTATCGCTCTATATGAAATATATCTGTTTGTTTTAAATTCAATGCTAGTAATACATTTCCAAACAGGGTCATTATGCTTCATTAGCTCATCTTTTACCAACACTTCTTAAACGTTACTGAACTCTGCAGACCAATTTCTGGGATTTGAAAAGTGAAATGTTGTCCCATTGTTGCCTGATAAAGGATTTCAGCTGCCCAACAGTTTTGGGTCTCCTTTGTCTTATTTTTGTGTCATGATGTTCCAAATGTGTTTAATGGGTGACAAATCAGGACTGCAAATAGGCCAGTTCTGCAGCAGGACTCCGCTACTACAGAGCCATGCTGTCGTAATCCCTGCAGAATGTGGTTTTTCATTGTCTTGCTGAAATATGAAGGTCTTCCCTGAAAAAGTCATTGTCTGGATGGCAGCAGATGTTGCTCCCAAACCTGTTTATATAGTTCAGCATTAATGTAGCCTTCACAGATGTGGAAGTTACCCTTACCATGGACACTTACAATCTATGATCTATGATGTATCACTTATGATACCATCAGAGATGCTTGTGAACTGTGAACTGATAATGAGCTGGGTGGTCCTTATACTCTTTAGAGTGTCGGATGCAGGGTCCTTGATTTCAAAAAGAATGTCAAATTTTGATTTGCCAAACCACTGGGCAGTTTTCCTTTTCCCCTCAGTTCATCTTTAATGAACTCAGGTCCAGAGAAGTCTCTGATGTTTCTGGATCATGCTTGTTTATAGTTTCCCCTTTGCATTGTTCAGTAAACCTGCATTTGTGGATGCAATAATGAACTGTGTTCACAGTCAGTGGTTTTTGAAGGTGATTTTGAGCGCATGCAGTGATTTCCACTACAGAGTCCCATCTGTTTTTAATGAAGTGCTGCTTGAGGGCCTGAAGATCAGGACCATCCAATGCTGGTTTTGGTCCTTGTTTCTGTTGTACAGAGCTTTCTCCAGATTCTCTGAATTTTTTTCATGATATTATTTTTTGTAGATGATCAAATCCACTCTTTCTTTGATATTCTATACTCAGGAACTTAATTCTGAAACCGTTGAACTATTAGCTCACACAGTCTCTCACAGAGTGGTGAAGCTCTTTCCATCCTTCCTCCTGGGAGACTCAGCCTCTCTGAATGTCTTTTTTATACCCAGTCATGTTAATGAAATGTTGTAAATAAGTCTCGTTAGTTTGGAGATGTTCCTCCAGCTGTTTATTTTAGCATTACACAACTTTTGACCTGTTTGCTTGTTTGGCTGTCCCTCTAAGTACTTTTTAGAAACATGTTACAGACATCAAATTCAAAATGAAGATGTTTTTGTCATGAAACTATAAAAATGTCAGTTTTAACATTTAATATTTGATTTGCACTATTTTCACTGAAGTACATATTTTTTTTCTTATCACTGTGGTTGTGAGAAAAAAAAATCCAAGTATGTATTAAGTGTTTGGTGTTGTGAGGGGTGTGAAATGTGGCAGCAGTGTGCCTGAGTTTAAAACAATTACTTGGTCAAGATGCAAATGGTACAAATTTGCATGACTGGTGTTACCTTGTTGTCATCTTGTGCATTGCTTGGCCAGAGTTGCAAATACCCTCGTCTTTGCATTGACCTGCTCTGACATAATACAGTTTTAGCTTTTATACTGTATCATGTTTAGGTATCTAGCTTTGTGTTTCCATGTGCAAAACAAGAATGAAATTTGATTAGAGCAAAAAAGCTTTCCTGATCATGATCCCTGTTGAATTTAGCCCAACCATTAGACAAGGTCAACACTGCTCTTTTAGACTCTTAGGATTGTTCTCAGATTTTATCTCAAACACCTGAAACCTGAGGGAGTAGAAAATGGAGTGAAGCAGCGTGGGAAAGGGTGAGAGCAAGTCAGCAAGATGTTACTTCACAGAGAGGAGGAGGAGGAGGAGGAGGAGGAGGAGCTTGCAAGGAAGCAGGGAAACGCTGTCAGGGTCATGTGACTGTTGTTTTACTCGGCATGATTCAGTCGGGAGGAGAGGAGCGCTTGTACAGGGAGTATGAAGGTTCACACAGACTGAAACGCATGTGGATCAGCCCAGAACTGGACCAGATGGATCGGATCAGAAACCCAGAACAGTTTACCACAGGCAGGGAGGGGATGGTGAAGTCTGGTAAGACACAGAGAGGGACTGACTGTGATCCTCTTTATGCTTTTTGTATCTTTTTATGCAGATTTGTGCAAACAAAAACCATCAGACTCTGATGCATTAGATACTGCTGCACTGTTTGGTGTTGTTGTTTAAATCCTGTTTTAGTTTTATCATCTCAAACAACAAGGATAATCAGCACTTTAACAACCTTCTGCTGTGCAGATTACTTGGTGAACTCTCAAACAAACTGATAATACCAAGTAAACAAATAGTCAACAGGTCAATTACTTTCTTCATCACTATTTTTAACAGATTATTAAAAGATTTTTAAAGTTTGACTACTTGCAAAACACATTTCACATGCAGTCCTTTATTTGTGTTCCATGTTTTTGTAGGTAAAGGTTTTGATTTTGCATTTTTTAGAGGAAAAAAAGCTGAGCGTTGTCAAATTAAACTAAAATTAAAAGATCCCCAATCATTTTTTAAAAACAAAATGTCTGATATCTAAAAGCTGAAATAGACATTTTTAGCCTGAAACAGTTGTGTAAAAAGGTCTCATTGCAACTATGAAAAATAAGTCTTATCAATGAATGAAATGTTAAAAATAAAGCTGTGAAGATTAGGACTAGTTCCACTTTGGAGACACTTTTTCAGAAACTGAACCAACGCTCAGTGTACTTGTGTAAAGAACTGTCAGCGATTTGAATTGATTTTTTTTTTTTTTTTCCTAAAAAGCATAAAGTCCTTTTCTCTGCTGATGATGTTTCTTTGAGATTGTGCTTCATCATTTCTTATGCCTTTCTGTAATAATTGCGATCCTGAGTCATGTGCTGGAGAGCAGCGGGTGTTAACTGTTCATAAAAGCAGTGTGATGTTGGTGTGGACTGGCCGAGTGTAGGATGATGATGGTGATGAAGATGAAGTCAGTGTTGGCAGCAAAGACTGATTTGAGTGGGAGGGTGATCAACATACTCTACAGAGATTCTTATATAATAAGAGTTTTAGATGTCTTGTTAGAGAAAGTGTAGGAATGAGGAATCAAGAATACTTGACGTTTCAGTCGTGCTTTTGTCCAGTATTCATTTTGTCTTTGACTCATGTTTCAAATGGTTTCAAATTTATTGGCAGATAATTAATAGGCCCTAATCTTGGTATGGTTGGTTTTTGTCCACGTAATTGTCCTGATTTGTACCTGTATTTTTTGTGTTTTAATTCAAGTCTTGTCTAGTATTCTCCCTTACATTATTTTGGTTTCATGGGTGATCTCTGTTAGTTTATTTGTAGATTAATGCTGTAATTATATTCATTTCAGCCTTGGTTTGATGAAGTGTCTATCTAGTGTTTTGGCTTCAGTTTGATCTTGTAATGTGTCATATTTTGGTCCTAGTTTGATCCAACATTCTCTGGTCTTTCAGTCTTGGCTTGGACAGTTTTGGTTCAGCTTTGGTTTACCAGTCTCTCTCTGTTGGGCCTTGGTTAACCCTAAACTTTTTTGGTGACTGGGTTTATCAAAATAGTCTTTGGTGTAGCATTGGTCTGGTTCTGTAGTGCCCATGCTGTTGTTTTGATTGGGTCCTTACTCTTATGCACTTCTAGTCTTATCCAGTATTCTCACTTCATTTAATCTTGCATGTTCTGTTAGTTAATAATAGTTTGATGCAGTGCTCGCCTTTGTTTTAGCCTCGGTCTGATGGAGACTATTTCTGGTGCTTTGCCACTGGTCTGGTACTGTCTTCAGTTTTGGTCAACAAGCCTCTGCTGATTAAGCCCTGGTTTGGTTTAATGTTTTTTGGCATCTTGGTTTGGTTAAATGTTCTCCAGTTTAGACTTAGTTTGGTGTATGACTAAAGAATTTGACAATCTCCCAGTAAAGTCTATCTATCTATCTATCTATCTATCTATCTATCTATCTATCTATCTATCTATCTATCTATCTATCTATCTATCTATCTATCTATCTATCTATCTATCTATCTATCTATCAAGTGGTTTCTTTCTTGGTTGGTTCTGTATTTGATGATTTGAGCCATGGTTTGTTGCTGACATGTTTTTGTTGCCTGAGCCTTGATTTGGTTCAGTGTTCTCCAGTGCTTTAGTCCTTGTTTGATCCAATCCTCTCTAGTATCATGGCTTGGTTAAATACAATATTCTCTGGTGTTCAGTCCTTGTTTGGTCCTGTCCTGATTTAGTCTTGGTTTCTCCTTTTTTTTTTTGCCCTGACACAGCTGTTCTGGCATTAAATACCTGTTTTTTGTCTTTATTTGGTCTCGTACTGGCTGATGACTAAGATCTGGATCAGTAGAATATTTTATTTTACCTATCCATGGATTTTGTCTCATTTTCTTGTTGCAGTTTGGTGAAATAACCAACATGTACAACTGGTCTGGTATTTGACGTTGGGGTCCTATCTGCTCCAAGCTTGTTTGGTCCAGTGTTAAGTTTAGCTAAGTTTTACTTCTAGTTTGGTTAGACTCTCTAGTGTTGTAGTCCCAATTACATTCTAGTGATTCAATCTTATGTGGTTCAGTCTTCAAGAGTTGAGTTGAGCCCCATTCTGATCAACTCTTTCCTGAGGTTACAGGAAAGAGTTTGACTTTCTCTAGTGATATGATTCTGATTTGGTCCAACCTTCTCTGTTGCTTTGTCCTGATTTAGTCCAGTATTTTCTGTTTTACTTGGTCCATGCCAAACCAAATGTAAACCAGTGTTTAAGGTTTAGATTGGTCCAATTTCGTTTTTCTTTAGTTTATTGGCTTCTGTTGTTCCAGTCTCAGTGTATACCAATATATTATTTTTTTCCAGCTCTGGTTTGGTCAAATTTCTCTTTTTTTCGCTTTGGGTTGTTCAGCTATAGCCCAGGAGTTAAGTCTTGAAATAATCAAATGCTCCCTAGTATTTTACCATGGATAAGTCTGGTATCCCCTCATATTTTAGAGATAACTGGTCCATTATGCTCTGCTGTCTCAGCTCTGGTTTGGTCAAATCCTCTGGACTATCAATCTGGTCTCAATCTTATATTTTCTGATTATTTAGCCTTAAACTGGTCATAAATTATCCTGAAAAAAGTAAAAATTTTGTAAAATTTTCCATGATCTACAAGTGCTGCATTGGTTCAGTACTCTCTGCTGTTTTAGACCTGCTCATGTTTTAGTGTTGTTTGTAAAGGTATTCTGACAGTCATACGAAGGTCCAGTTTCTCTAAAATTATATGTTTTGCCTTGTCATGTTATCTCATGTTTATAATCTGATCAGGTCAAATATATTATGGTGTTTAAGTCAAGTTAAGTTCAGTATTTTAGACTGTTTAAGTCCAGCTTGATTCAGTATTTCAGGTAATTTATGTCCAGTTTGGTATTTCAGTACTTCAAGGTATTTGAGTCTAGATTGGACTTATACTTCTGGGTGAGTCCAGCCTGGTCCAGTACCTCAGTGTGTCTGGGTCAGGTTTGGTCCAGTATTTCAGGGTGTTTGAGTAATGGGTTTATCCAATAGCTTTTGGTCCTGGTCCAGTTCATTGTGCAGGGATGCTGAAGGATACTTTAAGGAATCTCAGACTTCTCTTAAAGTGAATGTGCAGAAACCTTGAAGACATCCAAATAGAGGAGGGTTTTTGTCAGAGAAAAATTGAGCCATGGATTGACTCATTTTATGTTTGAAAACATCTTTTGGATGATTCTGACTTCAGCAACATTTAGATGAGATTCTGGCAGAGAATTTTCAAGAACAGAAAAAATCTGCGATTTTGTGACACAAAAATGGCAGGTTTGATAGGATCTTAGCTCCATTATGGTCCAATGTTCTGCAGTGCTCTTGGCTTGTTTTTTAACACTTAAACAAACAGGATGGATCTTCAGGTGCTGATCGATAGCTGCACAGTTTCCACATCCCACCACTTTACGTGTTGCAACAGGTCAGTAAGTGACCTGAGTGTTTATGTAAGAGGGAATCAGACTTTAACCTGGTGTGTTTGAACAGTTATCACATCTGTTTGAGTGTCTTTACTGACAAATGAATCAATTTTGTTCAACTTTGCAACCATTTCAAAGTGTTGTTTTGTAATTGTTGTCCTGGCCCAACTGTCACTTAAAGACCCACTCCAATGAATATCATGTTTTTATAGTTTTTTTTTTTCATATATGTTCATATGGCATTTTCTGATGCTAAAGGACATATCACGAGAAAAATACGTGCAAAATTCCATTTCTGAGTATTTCTGCATTCAAATCACTGTGAATCTCTGGCAGATCCAAACGGCATGCTCAGACAAAGTGAGATTTCCTACGTCACAAATCCAAGCACCGACCCCTGAGCCCCACTATGCAGGCCAGAGAAATAGAGGGGACAATTAGCTTAACAAGTGTGTGCAGTAGCAGATTACAACGCTCATCAGAAAGCTAATTATGATATTAGCTTTCATTATGTCCCTATAGACATTAGTGTCTTAGAGCTAAATATCTCCTAAGTTACCTGCTCCTTCTACTACATCGGCAATGTTAGGCTGCAAGCTAGAGTGGAGAGGAGTGTGCAGAGCAGCACTGTCTCCGCCTGACTCAGAGGCGAATTGCTAATGAGCTACTGGAGCTCTGCAGAAGAAAAGCCCTTAAAAATGACACAGGTAACATGATTTTGGCTAAAAACTTCAAAATCACACTTAAAAGACCACTGATAACCTTTAAATAAATAGTAAAAAAAAAAAAAAAAGTATCAGAGTTGAAATGCTTAGTAGTCAAGTTGGGGGATTGTATTCATTAATATAACTGTCAATACCATCATCAATATGGAAACCATTGAGTCAAACCAGAGGATACAGAGAGAATATTCGTCACTTCCAAGTCTTTAAAAGGCTTTTAGGTATCACATGATTTGACCTTATCCTTGGAGCTGATTTGAACTGATTCGATCTCTACAGCGTGATTTAATTTCAGGATGGATGAATTAAAGAGAAAAGACATTATCTACTGATGTTACTGAGTAACATGATCACATTTCCTCAAGGCTGAGGTGGAGTCAGACAGTCTTCCTCTCACACTTATCAGACTGAGGCAGAAACACAGGTTCTGGTTGTAACCAGATAACAGGCTCTCTCTGAGCCATCGATGAACTACAGAGAGGCCTCAGTTTGCACGTCCTGTTTCCAATCAATATGAAACCACAGAATATCTCAAAGTCCATAAAGACTTCCTGCAGAAAGCTCTGATGTTCTCCGATTAAATCTAGTTAAAAGTAACAGATTTGATTCAAATGAAGTAACTCAGAGCAGTACCAAAAGCAAAGCAACTTTCACATTCAGAGTTGATGCTAAAATATCAACAAAAGCAGACTTATTCCAGCAAACATGGACAGCATACATCATAAATAATAAAATCATTTAGATTTACTGCAAGCTAAGATTTTGAGCCTGAGCAAAAATGTATTTTGTTGCTATGTGCTGACCTAGCAACAACCCTTAGTATGCACAAATGAAGCCACAGCATAAGTGCAAAAAGTTCCTCAAATGATCGCTTGAGGCTCGTTCCAAAAGCCCTGGGAAAGCACTGGATCCCATTTTAAAATGCCAGTTTTACAACCAAAATACATATGTTTACGGCCTGGTACAAAAAAAGACCTGCAAACCTTATTTCTCTCATCATAAACCCTAAGCAGGGGTGAATTTCACAATCCATTTGATTGAGGACAGTAAGGCTACGAGTTTTGCGTCAATACACATAACTAGGGGTAGCAGAAGCTCAGGAGGTAGAGTGGCCGTCCAATAACCGGAAGGTTGGCAGTTCAATTCCCCCCATATCCTGTTTGTTGTGTCCTTGGGCAAGACACTTAACCCACCTTGCTTCCAGTGTGTGTCCTCCACTGGTGTATGATTGTGAGTGTTGTGTGGTGGTGGTCTGAGAGGCTGTAAGCACAAACTGACAGCCACGTTTCCGTCAGTCTGCCCAAGGGGCAGCTGTGACTACTAAGGTAGTTTACCACCACCAAGGTGTGACTGTGTGAGCAAATGAATGATGTAGCCAATGTGAAGTGCTTTGAGGGTCTCTGGTGGAGCACTATATGAAATTTGATGCATTATTATTAGTATTAGGCGCATGCTTGACAGCACTGAAAGGCTGGCATGTTATATCTGTTGGTAAGGAGGCTAATAGTCAGTTTCAACTCTGGCAAGGTTGACTGAAATATTAGTTGGCTCAGCTTTGGCAATATAGTGACCACCTTCAATAAGCTTCAAACTTCAAAACCAATGGAATTCATCACTTATACCTCAAACGTACTCACTAATTACTCACTTATGGCATAATCATCTATTTAAAAATAGAAATTTAAAAGTTGTTTTGTCGTCATCTTGCAAGCAGACCTCTCATATTATGAACTCAGCCATTTAAAAATCTGCATCATGATGCAGTTATTTTAGCATCTGTTCAGCTTGTTTATCAGCAAAAAACTACACCAAAAGTTCTTTATTTTGGGACCATGGGGTTGTTGTAACACAAATTTCAGTAGACTACAGAATAACCTCCTGGATAAGTTAAAGTGTGACACAGACAGACAGTACAACTGTGAGACAAAGACTGCAGGGACTCGGACTAAGAGAAACTGGGGCTCAGCAGGACAGGAGGAGACACAGTGAAACTGAGACAGCAGATGAAGACAGAGAACCAGAGAATCTGAGAGTCGTTAGAGAAAAAGAGAAAATAGGTGTGGGACTTATTAGAAGTAACTAAAGATACTGTAAAACTTGGACCCAACAAAGACAGGTGGACAGGTGCTTAACAGCTAAAACTGAATGCCTGTAGTTGGTATCAGATCCAAACCTGGATCTGATTCTAGCTTACTGGTCATCAAACTGAGCACTGGCCAGCCTGAAGAAGCTAAATCAACAACAAAATTCATCCTGACACAGTTTACGAAAGGAAATGGAACAAAAATTCAGCTGAGAGAGTCCAAGTGATGATATGAACAGAGACAGGATAGAGTTTCGCTTTTCAATAGAGGCTAACTTTTGCAGGTTGTCCTTAAAAATGCAAAGATACTAAATGTTTTCTTCTTGACCAAAACCCCCAGAGTATCAGATTACAAATTAACAATAAGCATTTATGTATTTTATTATGTTGAATTTGCTGATAAAAATGGTCATTGTTCCACCACATCCAACTGCTACCAGCACAGTAAGAGGCAGGGGCAGCTGTCTTCAGTCTGTTTTTCATGGATTATTAATGCCATTTGAAGTGAAAATCTGAGACATTCAGAAAGTGAAACCAGAGAATGATCAGAGGGTTTTACTTCTGACTCATCAATTATTGATCACCAAAATATCGGCCAGAGATTTTGAGTCAATCATCTGTCAGATACTTAAGTGTGTGTGGTGTGACATAGTGCAGCTCTTCCTGTATTTGCCTTATATTTTTCACTTTATGTTTTATTACTTTGAAAGCCAACTGTAATCTAACCGACTATAATCGAGGGATTCATTCTGATCAGATCACGCTTGATATTATTCCATTACAGTTTTCCTCTTGACAGCTTACCACAACTATATGACCCCAAATTAAAGTGATCTGACTGATTTAATGGCAATAACAATGTGAAAAGAATGCCGAAATAACTAAACAATGCTGATTCATTTAAATTCTGAATTCAGGATTTGTCAGGTCTGTTCTGTCCCAACTACACAAGTGAACAACTTCAAATGCTTTTTTTTCTAAATCAAGTTCTGATCAGAGGTATCCAATATTAACATTGGAGCTGTTTTGTCAACATTCGTAATAACTGATAAATATTTTCAGAACTTACCAATGAGTCATGATTTCCTCTCCAAACAATTGTTGGTTTTGTCTCCACACGGATAGGATGAAGTATCTTTTGCTGCTGAAAATTAAAGTGTACAATTTAGTCAAAATCCTGGTATCCCCGTCAAATACCTGTAAATCTATGAAAAAAGAAAGGAAAAAAAAAAAATGAACAAGTTTACTGATATTTTTTTTTTTTTACATTTTTTTACTTCAAAATGCATTTTTGCTGAATTTCATAAATGTCAACATTGTATACTTTCAAACTGCATCCGATATCACTATTGGTATCACACTATAAAAAGCACATTTCAGTCTATTTAGCTCTCTTTTTATTTTGTTACTGTAAACAGGAGCAACCCCATGCATGCAATAATGTCTTTCCAACATCAAAGTCTTCAACCAGCCACTGAGCCATCACACTAGATACTTACAAGACTTACATCAGAAATCCATCTGTCTGTGGTCAATCTTCAGTCACTGATGTTGTTGTGGATCAGACAGTGAATGTGTGCACAGATCTTCCTCATACAGAGAAGGTCAAGAAGAGTCTGCAAATAAGTAAAGAAAAATTGATCACAGACATCGCCAGCTGTTGAAAATATGGCTCAAAAAGTGCCATAATTTTTTTGTAGTATATTATTTAAAGTTTGGGTTGTCCCTGATAAACATTTTCAAAAATGTCTTCAAAAATGTCTGTAGAATCAGCACAACACACCATTTCTCTGCTGCTTCCTATGTCTACCATCCTCCTCATGATGATGACTTTAAGGTGGCCTAGATGATTCCTTGTGTTACAGCTTAAGGACTTTTTTCTTCCTCTCTGAATAGTTGCAGCTCATGTTTGGCAGCTTGCAATAATGCTCCCCTCCTCTAAGTAGTGAAAAACATCCACACTGGTGATGCAATTTTTACTTGACTGTTAGCTTGTTGCAGCTGCACTTGGTCTTCTCTATGAGTGACAATATCTCATGTCGTGTCATCGATAGTTTTATATGTGCAGAACCAAAAAACAAATGAAAGCAACTTCAACTACAGTAAGAGTCTGTGAGTTGGAACTGCAGTTTCAGGACTGCAACCCTGGGAGCTTTCTGTTTCTGTAACAGGGTTGGATTGAAGCACCAAGAACAGAAGTTCTGGGCGCCAGTGGCCTAGCAGTCTTTGCACCTCATGTTTATAGACTATGACCCTTTGCTGCATGTCTTCCCCCGCTAACTACTCCCCACATTTCCTGTCTCTTTTCAGCTGACCCATCAAATAAAGGTAAAGATGCCCCCAAAAAACTACCTAAAAAAGGTAGTCCTTGGCAACCACCAGAAAGTCAGTCTTGAATCAGCAGTTTCCTGATTTGCAGACATGTGTTACTTTCTTTTTTTGACAGATAAAATCATGAAAGAACAAAAAACAACAATCAAACAATCCATTTGGGATGTTATTGACCTTACTTTAGGCATGAAGGGTTATTGTATGCACTGAGATTTTATGTTAGTGGTTCAAAATGCTGCAGCTAAGCTCCTGACAAAAATCATCAAACTGTCACATGTCACACCCATCCTCAAGTCTTTGCACTAGCTCCCCATTCAATCGAGAATCCAATTTAAATTACTTGTGATTGTGTACAAAGCTTTGCATGAACAAGCTTCAGCTTACGTAAGAGACCTACCAAAGCCGTATAACTTCAGCAGGACTCTAAGGTCCTCTGTTTGGGGTTTGCTGGTTGTCCCTCAGACCAGACCAAAGGAGACTGTGTATCTCTGTTGTTTTCTCCAAAACTTTGGAACTGTCTCCCTCTTGAACTGAGAACTGTGAACACCGTGGAATCTTTTAAGAGCGGTTGACAACCCACTTGTTTAGACTTGCCTAGACTAGAGTGCTAGTGTGCCATTTTTTTATGTTTATGTCTTGTTGTGTTATCCTTTTTAAAAGATGACTGTGAAGCACTTTGTGACAACTGTTCTTGAGAGGTGCTGTATACAAAATACAAAAAATACAGTTTATTATTATGTTATTACCAGTGAAGGTATGCTTTCTCACTTCATTTTAAAAAAAAACATTCACCTGTGTGATCAAATTTGATAAGATAAAACATTTTTGTGTTAAGTCACCAGTATGCTGGCTTATTTCCACATGTCAGAAAAGCTGTGGGAATCTCAACTCTGACAAGTTTGCACATCAATCATGTCATTCTATGCAAATTTATAATCAACCACGTCTTTGCATGAACTTGTACCTGTAACATGAAGAACCAGTTCCACCTGGTCTGAAGACACTGTATTGCAGAAATCTGCTTTTCTGGTTTGGACTGTGAATCAGATTTTGAAAATCTCTGCAGTCAGGCTCAACATCAGGAGGAAACCCTGTCAGCCACAGCAATGGAGGCTGTTGAAGCAGACGTCCAAAGACTTACGGCCTTTTTACACTTCCTGTCCATCCGTTTCTTCCTCAACATCCAGCGCACATTTCATTTTTGTGAAATATGAAGCAGCAGCATGTCATGTCGGTCTCTGGTTGCACTCCAGAAAGAGGTCATTGTGTGGAGTGAACTGTATGACATCTGATCTCTGACTCCCAGAATATCTAAGGACTCGGATCAGATGCCTGTTAATCTGTCCTTTCTTCTGCGAACAAACAGGAACTGTGGACAGTAAGACTGTGAAACCTGAAAAAGACAGACAAACCCAGCTTTATTCTGACAAATACCATCATGAAACCCCTGAAGTCCCTGAAAAATTGATTAAGCAGTTACATTTTATCCAGAGAGTAATAAAACATAGCAAAACTACATCAGGATAGCAGGTCTACACTGTACTGATAGTTACTCTGTAAAAGAAACATAAAACCAATCATGAACCAGAAAAACTTCCTTCCACAGGCAGAAACCATAAACAGAGCCAGAATAGCTGGTGAGAAGCCATCTGCCTCATCATGGTAATGAAATTCCTGATTTTAAATGTGCGTTATCTCAAAGTTTAGGTCATTGTGTCTCTGTTTCTGTGACTGCAGCCTCAGCGTATGCAAACCTTCAGCAGCATCGACCTGAAGGCAGGAGGCCATCTCCAGTGTCCGGCTATGTCCCCCAGCCCGACTACCTAGAGGGAGATGAAGACCAAGACCTTATCAAACCCAAGAAACTGGTGAATCCTGTCAAAGCCTCCAAGAGTCACCAGGAGCTTCACCGAGAGCTGATGAGCAGCTGTAAACGGTAACAGCTGTGCAATAGTTTTTTTCAGTATTGATGTCTTTGGTAATAAAAACAACAACAATCTGTCTAGGTTTGCAGTGAGTGATGACTGCAACAAGTGAGACCTTTTTGAAACAGTTTCTTTCTTTCTTTCTTTCCATCAATGTTTTTCTTTTTCAAGGCAATATTCGTTTCTGCTCACCGACAAAATACATCAGTAAACAGACAGGTTTAGTAACATTAATGCACACTGACATGTTTGGAGACAGTTAACTAAGAACTCTAAATTTCAAAGCAGAGGATTCAGAGAGCGTTTAAATTTAGCATATTTTATTTTGTTGGTTCCTGTAGAAATACCAAGGATCAAAAACTGCAAGTAAACTCCTGTAGTCAATCAAGAATACTAATCAAAAAATAATCCTGATTATGATTTGTGCCATAACTGAACAGCCCAACTGCAGACACAGCAGAGCTCTCCAAGAAAGTGCACAGTTGGAAGTTGGACAGTTTGGACCTCAGCTGTTGAAAGGAACAATAAGATCTCTCCAAAGAAAGTTGTTTTTCTTTGTGTCTTTTTCACAAACTTTATAAATAAATCTTTAGTGTTAATTCTTCAAACTGCAAAGCTTGTTTTGATATATTTTTTTAAATCATACTAATTCAAAATGCCTTTTCTATGCTGAAGTTTTTGTTAATAATTGATTTATGGATGAAGAGAGTATGAAAACAGATGAGTTTTCATTGTCATTATTAGTTTATGAATTTATGTAGGATTCACAATTGTAGGTTATTTTTATATTCTGAGCACAGTGGACAGAATGGTTCAGGAAGTTGCAGATCACCTGAGGGAACATCATCATTTCACAGTCAAAGATCTGGTGAACTTTTAAGGACTTGAGAGGAATCTTGATAACAGCCATCTTATGAGGTCAGGAATCCCCAAATTCTTGATTTCAGAAATCTCCTGAATTCTGCATTTTAAACGGACATTTCTAACATTGAAAGTTTTTGAAAGCAAACAATAACAGGTGAGATAAACCTTAAAACTGCACACAGAGCTCATATAGTTCTGCTGTGTCTGCAGAATAGTTCTCTTGTTATATGATCCTCAGAATGATGGTTGGCAATCTTATTAATACAGTTTTATTAGAGAAGTTCCCTTTAACATCCCTAAACAGAGTCAACACCAGCCGAAGGGCTGTCAAAAAACACTCAACAAATATTTTGAAAGTCTACTCACAAGATCACTATAGGCCTTCGTAAATTAATTTCTGTCCTTGAAATTATTTATTTTGAACCTTAAGGTAATCATGAATTGACATAATTATTTATTTTTATCTGTAAGTTTTTAAACAGTTTGACAACCGCAAATTAGAATGCTGTAGCTAACCATTAATAGCTTAAAATGCCTTTGCACTTTTGAAATAGAATAACAATTATTTTTTTACCTTTACTCTTTCTACACTAGCCTGGCTGGGCCATCCAGTTGCGTGAATCACTTGTGATTCACGCAACTGGATGGCCCAGCCAGGCTATTTCAACAGGTCTCAACCCACAAACTTAAAATGGAATTCTGAACATTTTTAATTTAAATGGTTGCTTAGCTCTTTAAAACCAGCACTAAAGTTGTAGCGTACTTGCTAGCTTAAACGCTCCTATAAAACTTAAAAACTGCAACAACAAAAAAAATCATCATTGAATTGTTTTATATCTTTTTGAATCATTTGAATAAGAAATGAAATATGTACAAACCTTAAACCTCAAACAGCCAGGTGTTTTATCATCATAAATTAACTTTTTAATCGTTATCATTTATCTCAAAAACTGTTTTCAAAACGGATGTCTCGTACATTTCCGGTATATATCTTTTCAGATTAAGAGCATCTGTCTTTGCAGTCCCATTGACAGACAAAACAAACATGTTAGTTTAAGAAAATACTTTCACAGTAAAGTGACCAACAACATATTATTCATATTATTTGGGTCAGTGACATCCTAAAAAAAATGTAAAAAATAAATAAATAAATAAATAAATAAATAAAAACATTTATCGTACACATTTTGTCAAACTGAACCATGAAATATAACTCAAATTCAAGACTCAGATAAGACTTTAATAAAGTACAGTACACATGAGGTCAGGCAGAGAACAGGCAGAAGAACAGGCAAAAAATCTGAATCAAATATACAGTACTTGTTGTGTCAAGACAAGGGTGAATTTCAAAATAAAACGGAAATGTACATAGGTGAAATACCTGTGGCCAAGTAAAAATACTGTGCACAGAGATACACTGTAACATCTGTATGATGTTTTAATGTTCAATATAAAGAGAGAAGGGGTAAAACAATTATGTTTGTGACCAGTCCTGGACATGTCCCTGTGATGTAAATCACAGTTTCATAGTATCTACTGCTGCTGCATCTGTTTGTCCTCACTGGCATGCTCACATCATGCTTTAGATCAGCAGATTATAGAGAGTTAATGACTTTTATCTCTTAATGCGGGTTCAGATGAAAATATGTTTTACCAGTATGAGATCACGCAACATCAGCTGACTGACCCACACTGATCAAGACCAATAGGAGAGCAGCTTTTCTGGTAAATTATCTTTAATTACACAGAAGGAATCAGGCTTCCTGCTGGTCGCTTTGCATCTGTCTGTTGTCTCCACCATCACTCTCAGACTGTGTGAAGACGCTGCTAAGCAACAGCCTCACACCTCACAGGCCTGTGGCTCTGAGGATGCTGGGAAAGTTTCCATATCAACTTCACACAGTCGCTCATTCACACTCAGAGCTTCAACTCCATGGACAGAGCGGGGTCAGCTTTTTCTCTTGAGGTTTATCATTCAGGAGGAACTCTGAGGCTGGAAGAGGCCCAGAAACACACACTGGAAAAAAAAGCACACACAGAGAGAGAGAGAGAGAGAGAGAGAGAGAGAGAGAGAGAGAGAGAGAGAGAAAGAGAGAAAGAGAGAGAGCGAATTATTAGCTGCAACTTTTTCTCTATTAAAAATTTGTAAATGTTTAGATAAAAATGCTTCATCAGTAAACAGGTGGGGCATAAGCAGAGCTACTAGGGTAGCAAAATCAAAACATTTCAATGTGTAGAAAACGTTCTGGTTCTGCAGCAGATACACGATCAAATAAGGAAAGAAAAGGGTTTCAAGCTGTTCTCAAATTAATGATTTTATCATGCATATTTTAATTTTTCTTAAACACTTTTTTTGGCTTGTACATTTTTACATTTGTTTTTTATATATTCCAAAAAGAAAGCGTTGTGAAAACTGTTGCATTTGACGTGAAAATGATGTTTCAGCCGTCTAGATTAGGGATCAGGATTGATATCAATCAGGGTCCAATAAAACTCCATCTTAACCCCTGTTCTGCCTTTTTTCCATACTCAAAAATACAGGTATGAGCTTATCGAGGCCATTATCAAGTCTCTAGGGTCCTATGAAGTAAAGTTATACTATATGTCCCCTTCTGTTAATTAAAATTTATGGCAGGCACATTAATTATACACTAACACTAAAAACTAACAAGGAACAGGTCTTAAAGTACAGGCAGAAAATTCTGGTAGTCAGTTTCTTGAGAGGATTTCTGTGACAAATGTGTGAAGTGGGACAAAGCTAATCTTTGATGATACATGTATGTATAAAAGTGTCATCCTTGTTGGAAAACTACTCAAGACAGAGGCTGCCATCTTTGTTTGGTCTATTGACCAATCAGAGGCTGTATCTGCAATCAGATGACCAGTGATCCCGTCAGAAGCATTGATAGTCTGCTCTCAGCAGATCACAGCTCTTCCTGTGCACCAATATTTGCTACACTTACTGAGATTTTCTCTTTTTAAAGTCTTTTTCTCACAAGAATAAAGACCTCATGAAATCATATTCAAAGATGTTCATTTAGTCTTTGATCAGCCACATAGTGCTGTCTTGAAGGTGGATATTATACATTTCAACTTTTTGCTCAGTCTTTTCAGAGTTCTGATACTTTGAACAATGTGGAGACAAAATATTAGAGACAATTTAACTGTACAGCCACAGTCCTCATTTTAAACTGGTGATTCTTCATAAGAGACAGACAGGGACACTTAAAATACACAACTGAAAGAGTCAAAGGGATCTTAACAACTCCCTTTCATTTTCATCTTTGTGTGTTGCTCGTAAAGAGATTCCATCTCAAACATAATGGAGATAAATCTGCATCTTTGAACTTGTTTAAAGCAAAACTTTAAGTTTTCATGAGTAAAACTTCTGAAGCTGATGCACTTTTGTCATTTATCAGATATTTATTTCAACACAGGCCAATCTTTGTAAAAGGAAGAAATGAACTAGCTATAGGAGACTGCCCTCTGCTGGAGAAAATACAAACTACAATAGAAAGCTGTCCTATTGAGTGCAGACACATGAAAACACTTCAGGTGGTCCTGTTATAATATTGCAAGGTTAACATTTTCATAATGAACTAATTCATTCTCATCTTACACTGAGCTTCAGCACTCTATTGGCAGAACAGATGCTGGTTAAGCTCAGTTAGTAGAGCAGATGCTTCATATACAGAGGCTGCAATCCTCTCTTTCTGTCGTACACTGTATACTCAATGTATGATATATCATGGTGTGTATTTTATCAGGGGTGGGAGCGTGGTGGAGACAAAGCCAGAGCTGCAGAGAGTTCTGGAGTCAAGGAAAAGAGATCAGATGATCAAACAGAGGAAGCAGGAGGACGAAGCCCGCAAGAAGATTTCTCCTCTGGAGGCCGAGCTGCTCAAGAGACACAAGAAACTGGAGGAGGTAAAACCATATGATCACATCTGTTACATAACTGTTTGTAGTTTCTTTTTTTGTTTGTTTGTTTCTGAAGATGCTGCTAAAGAACATGATTTAATATCTTGGTTCTCTCAGGATCACTTATCACTTTAGTCAGAAAGAGTTGTAACTCTCATGCAATGATCTGTATTTGGTAGTATGGCTCTCTTCTGAGTGCTCCCTGCCCCTCCATGTCTGTGAGTGGAATGCCAAAGGCTAAGGTGGGGAGAGCACACCTCTCCTTACTCTCACGGGCATATATGAAAATCCAAGGCAGAAAGAGCAGCAGAAAGACCCGGGGAACAGAACAGAGCAGGTATAAGTGATGATACTCATTACCTTGGAAGAGATCTGACATCATTAAAAGAGGGAGCTGAGATGAAGGCAGGTAGTGCAACAGCAAAGACACTGGTTAATTAGATATAGAACATAAAGGAGGAGCTGGAGAAATGGTGGGGAGCACAGCGGCAATGGAATATGTCTTTATATGGCTTCATAAGCTTTAGCTCAACAAGGGTTTAAAAAGTTGATGCGGCATTTGCTAAAATTGACACAAACCTTTACTCAAGTTAAACCCTAAGCCTTGAGTCCTGAAGGATAAACTGTCCTCCAAAGCAGTCTGTTTTCCTGAATGTATTTGTCCTCTTGTATTTCCAGCTGGAGAAACAGCAGGAGAAGGAGCAGCAGGAAAACCTGAAAGCTCCAGAGTTTGTGAAAGTGAAAGAAAACCTGAGAAGGACATCGTTTAACGGGAAAGAGGAGAAAGAGGTGTAAAGACAGAATTTCTGTCCTACAAGAGACAGAAAATTGACTGGCTACATGTGTGAGGACAATCAGAAGACTCCCTGAAGCCACATAACGAATGAGGACATTCTAGTGACAAGAACACAAACTCAGGACCTTCTGAGAATAAACTGAAGACAAGCTGAGGAAAGTGTGGGGACACACAAAGAGTCGTGAGACACTTTCAGGACACAGATGAATAATACACAACAATGACACACTGGAGACAATATGATAACAGAGGTGGCAATGAGGACAAAATGACGCTGTAAGGGACACTTGGGAGGCACATTGGACACAGACAAATTGGCTTGGGAAAAAACTTGATGAGACACTGAAGACAGTCTAAATACACGTGGGGACACTTGAAAGACAATCATAGAAATCTCTTAAAAGGCATTCTGATGGGAGATAAAACGTTGGTCAAACAAAGGACACAATGAAAACACAGACACTCTGGGAGTTAAACCACATCAGTACACTGGGGACACAAACAAGGACATATGAAGCGAAACAAGGACCCACTTAAGACAGGAACTCTACGCGACATACACACTGAGTGCACATAAGCAGGACACAAATATACATCACATATCTTGAATACACACTGAGGACATATTGAGGTCAGGGACTGTGTTAGACACTTGGAACACACACACTGAGGACAAGGACAGAAACACTGGTACAAGTATACACTGAGAATGCTTTCCTGATACATAAACAATTAAGCCACTATCAGGACATACATAATGAGGACACAATGAGACCGCAGACACATAATTAACATTGCAGACACAAATGCAATTCGGCCACTTTAAGAACTCAAATTATGAGGACAATTATGGACGTATAATGGACTAAATAAGGGCCTGTAAGGACAGAAACACTTATGACACCTCACAGACACAAAAATCATGAGGCGGTGAGGAAAAAAATGAGGACACAAACGCACTGTCGTACTTTGGGGACAAAAGTATTAAGAGGGCTCTTATGGACACAGTGGGGACAATAGGCTGACATTTAAACTGTTCACACAATGAGGACACTAAAGGGACACTAATAAGACAAAAAATGAGGACTCAAAGAGGACACAAAACACTTGTGTAGTGCTTAGACAAAAGTTAAAAAAATCACTGAGACACTATTAAGACAATTTAAAGACATTGAGACAAGGACACGGAATCCTTAAACCTTAATTAGACTTCATTAGGACACACATTGAGATTACTGTAAGGACAACAAAACAATGGCGACACTATAAGTAACAATGTGAATACACTTCAGGGACACTATGAGTTGAAAAACACGTCATGTAAAGACAATGAGGACACAAAAATACTGGACACACTTTGAGTGTATGAAACTACTGAGGACACTGTGAAGACACTTAGAGGACACTTTTAGGACATTAACACTTGGAGCAATTTAAGGACTCTTCAGATTACACAACACACAATGAGAACCTGAACAATTACATGAGATTAGATACAACTTAGTTTATCCTTGTGGGAAGGTTCCCTCAGAAAATTAAGGACATCTTTAGAGTATGATGAGGACAAACATATAACGAGGTCACTGAAATGACACAAACTCATATAACACACAATGAGGACATGCTGGGGACACAAATACAGTGAGGAGAGACTGTGGACTCAAAAAGTGTCAGGACATGTCATGCTATGGAAGCGCTCAGTCTTTTCCTCAGGGTTTGATAAATGAAGCAAATCCCCTGACTTCATTCCTGTTTGAGGACGGTTGCCATGGAACCAAAAGGCATCCTGCTCCAAAGTGAAGACTGATACAGACTGATGACATGATTCATTTCAGTTTTTGTTTCCTGGAAAGAGGTTTATTTGAAAATGTTATATGTATAATTTCCCCAAACAGATCTTTTATGAGAAGCATATTTTGTTATTTCAAGATTAAAAACAAAATTGTGTAATTATGAGATAAAACGTTCTCTGTAATTACAAAATAAAGAGGTTGTAGTTATCAGACAAAATATGATTTATGCAATACTGCCTGTGATCACATATAAAGGCTTTTATTTTAGTAAAAGGAAAGAATTCAACCCCAAAAGCATAATAAAGCAGGTTTTGCAACTTTTTGCAAGTTTTAACAAAAAGTAAGTGTATTTCTGTTAAAAGGATGTTTCAGTATTTTTGAAATGAGGTTGTATGAGGTACATTTCTCTGCTAAGTGTTTTAGTCATAATGGATGTCATTCAGCTCAGCCCCTTCAATGAAAAACTGCAGTGCCAGGGTACAGATAGGACCACTCTGACACATGATTTAGCTAATTTAGAGACTCTGACCAAAACACTCATCAGTTTAAGTGTTCACTCTACTGAGAATCTTTTTAAGCACTTTTCCATCAGAGGGTCGATTTGTTTCACATTATTTGAGCTGGAGCAGAATCAGCTGATCACTGTTGAGTAATTACTTGTGTCCCATAAATTTAAATATTTTGCATCTCAGTTTTGCATATTGTAAAACACCAGACATCTCAGATCAGCCTGCAGACATTGTGTAATGTGATGTGATGTGTGTAAAGTGTGTCATTTCAGCTCAGTCTTCCCCTTTTGCAGCTAATACTGTGTATTTGATCAGGTAAACTTATCCTGTGAACTACGGGTTGTGTGCTGAACTCTAACTCTGAAGACACTTTTCCATTCAGCTTTTCTGGTTTTCTGATAGAATTCCTAAATGTTGTGGAAAATGGTTAACAAGCAGCATTTAGCATTGAGTGCAGCAGTGGTTGCAGACTGCAGCCTCGTGTAGACTGCTATTTTATTTTTCCAGAGATCCAGAGGTGCTGTTTTTACCAAGTCTCACTCCTGACACATAGTACCTTTCCCTGTTTGTTGGCATATACTCATTGTTTACCCAGCAGAGTCAACTCTGTCCACAGAAAAGTGTAGCCTAGCTTGCATGCAGGTTCTCATTAAAGGGGCTGAGCTGATTGACATCCATAGTCACTGAAACACTTACAGTGACATGTAACTCAAACAAGTTCACTTCAAAAATACTGAAATATCCTTCTAAAGACATGGTATGGTAAAAATACTTCTACTCAGAAGTCAAAATTCCAGAAATGATCTCATAATAATGTGATCTCTCAAACTTTTTACATTTTTTTGGGGGGGGAAATGACATTCTGAAGTGTACGTGACAGAAATGCTAACCCTGAGATCATCATCCTAATTGTCACTCCCTCATCTAATAAGTTTTAAAAATGTGATCCATAAATATATGACATATACAATAAAGAGGTTATTATTTCAACAAATTATGGCAAAAGTCAAAGTTCTCAATATTACAGGGTTAGTTCCTGGTGTCTGCTTTCATTTAGCGATTTTGGAAATTCATTTAATAATCGCTGTGTTGTTTTATTTCTACAGAGTAATTGCTGTGAGGTGTGAAGTCTGGACTTTGGAGGTGAAAACGCTGTCTGTTAGAAAAAAATGTACTTGTGCCTAAATCTTATCTGTGTGTCTTTGGATGAAAGTTTTTATAGTTTCTGCGGGAGGTTTGTCAGTATTTCAGGAAAAGAGTCACTAAGCTGCACTTCAACATATCTCAAACATATCTGTCTGTTTTATCTGGTTATAAGCACATTCATGTCAAGCTGCTGTTATTATCAGGATAAATATCTCATACTGACCAGGTTTATGTCTCTAACAGTATTTTAAATTGCTTTCAATAGATAAGAATGTATTATCATGATGAAATATGGAAATCATAATTAAACACCTGCATTAACAGGTACTGTTTTCTTGTAATTATCAGATTGTAAGATCATAACCACCAGATACAGAAGCTCTAGCTGTGAGAAAACATCCTGTTAAATTGCGACACAGAAGACGGATCCATTAGATGTTAAAACTTAAAATCTGTGTTTAAGTTTTGGTTTAATGTCTTTTTTCATTGTAATAACTTTTTATCAAAGATTATACTAATGTGTAACTAAAGCCTTATATTGACCAGGTTTTTACTGAATTGTACAATCATTGAAATCATGTTGAATTTCTTGATTAGAGCACTTTAGACTTAATCTGTATGAACAGATATTTCAATCTAAACAGACTTATTTTATTCTACTTGGTTGTATTTTCTTTTTTTTGGCTTTTAAAGCAGTCACATGTCTGATTAACATGCTCAGAATCAAAGCTGAATAAAACTTTAACCTGCCACAGAAATGGGGTTGTTGATGGGAAGATGAAAAAATGGAAGGGGGGTTGCTTAGTGAGTGGGTTGGAATTATAGACTGTATATACTATGGACAACCTGGTTCCGCCTTCCGCCAGTATATGGATTTGAAGCCCAAAAGCTCTCAGTAATTCCACATTTTTTCTTCCATTTCCTGAAACCAACATTGCGCAGTAGCGTTGTACACATTCGGCGGGAGAGTCACTGTAATGACGCTCGGCTCAAACAGTGTATTCCTCAGGTGAGCTATGCAACCCTTGTATGCCCATAGGCTGTATCAAGTGTCAATCATAGAAAATATGAACCCCTAATAAATTAAAAACGGAGCTGTTCAGAAAAAAGAGGACTTGAGTTCAAAACAGTCTTACAGTTACTACATGTCAACATCACATGCAGGGGGCAGAAAAAAAATGATGTTCTGTGTAATAAATTTGTAAAGTTTGTCCACAGCCCCATAAGCTCTGCTGGTGGAGGCGGGATTTATGACCTATGCTGCAGCCCATCACCAGAAAGTGCTGTTCTCGGAGTGGCCTCACCCAGCGAGGAGGCAGACGCTGTCCATTCTATATACAGTCTATGGTTGGAATCTTAACAGGGTGAGCAGAACCTTACACAAGGCTTTATGGCATCCCACTCACTATGATCAAGCTACCAGTTAAAGAAAAAACATGCACACACGAAATGATTTATTCATACAGTCAAAAAAAAGTCCCTCAGATTCCACTGTTGAAAGCACAAATTATACCTGGGTTAGCTTGGCACTTGACTTGGCATTTCCATTCACAGTCAGTACGCTTACATGTTGATTGCATTAATCTGACTGAAATGGAGCCATTAAAATTTATTAAAACATAAGCATAACTGAAATCACACTAAATCAATAGTTGGTAACATGGTTGGGAATCAGTTCTGTCCTTGGTGTATGTTGCTCCATTGGACTGAAGCTGGCCAAAGCAATCTGAGAATGCTTTACAAATCACACTTTGGGCTTTCACCTGGAAGTGGAAAACATAAAATGTTTTTAGGAAGCTGGATGACAAACAAAACCTCAACAGAAAAAAAGGCAAAACTGTCATATTGACGGTACTACAGGTACAGAGCTATAAAGGTTTTATTTTCTTAAATCATTTAATTTACATCTGGTTTTCCAAGTTCGATTGCTAATAGAAACTACAAAAATTGCATTTCCTTGGCAGAAAATGTGTGGAAGACTGTAGGCATTTGACATGTTGGTTCAGGTTTTCCCAGCAACTCTCCTGCTGTTAAGAAATAAGTAATAATAGACCCTTTGAATGGGGTTAAAGCAACCAGAATTAAGTATTTAACAGAGTTTGGTAATAAAAGATCAAGCTCCATTGAACCCTTACAGTACGTTGTAGTAAATCTTACTACAATGTAAACAGATGCATTCTAGATTCAGTCGATTTTGCCTGTACAGTTTTATCGTTGAGAAAACAAGCCAACTGACTGAAGGCTAAACATGTTGTAAAGTTAGACATTTTAACATGAGGCTCTGTGGAAACTGACTCATGGCAAGAATCTCAGCAGCCGTAGAGGGAGAAAGAAATAAAAACTGAAACTCAGCATAAACAGTGGAAATACAGTGAAACCAAGACTTTGCCAAGACATTTAGAGATTCGGTGAAACTCAGAAGAGAGGTAAAAGTCCTGGCACTACACCTTATGGAAACTATGGGTTTTCATCTCATGTGATCTTACAGTAATACTGGATAGGACCTTAAAAGAAACACTGGGTTAGCTTTGGGTGGGGCTTTTAAACAAAAAAACTCAGCACTGAGCAGAGGGGCATCTTAATCAGTAAAAACACAACAAGGACCATGATGGGAACACTAAGCTTAACATTTATTACTGAGCTGTCAGAAATATCGATTAAAACTCTGTAGTGGGTTTAAATCAGCCTGTTTTTATGTGTTTGTTCTTGTGTTGGATAACTACTCCTCTAGTTGGTCTTGCCCTCACTGACCTCAGATGTTCTCGGTGTGATGAAGGTTTTATTCACTAGATGTCGCTGTTTTTATTCTTTTCTCGCTTAGATTACGCTCTGTCAAGTTGAACACATTACCGGATGTATCTTAACTTCGTGTTCGAGGTGGCTAAGAAAAAAATAAATAAATAAAAACTTGTTAAAGAGACCACAAATAAACATGTCAAAATATTTTTTTTCCTTGAAGGTTACAGGAGAATTTTTTTTTCTCTACTATTCACATTTTATTTTTACATGTATGGTGTCCTCTTACCCCTTATTTTTCTTTCAAGATATCATATTTTTGAACGATTGAATAGTGAACAGTGTGTAAATACTGTTTCAAAAACAGTCAAACATTATTATTATTAATACTACTACTACTACTAATAATAATAATAATAATAATAATAATAATAATAATACAGAGTATTAAGGACACAACAAGAAAAAAAAAACTTGGAGATCAAAGTCGTTAAGTGACGAGAATAATATCATTACTAACAAGAATAAAGTTGTAATAAATCAGTATGATACTTATGATAATGTGGTGCTGATGTGCCAAAAGATTAAATATCTCCTTGTTTGAGAAGCCTTTTTTTGCCTGAAAAGACTCCGATCAATATACGTCTGTAGTAAGACGCTGCAGATGTTTTTATCAGTCTGTGGTGTCAAGTGTGCTGTTCTACGCTGCAGTCTGCTGGGGAGGAAGCATCAAACACAAAGATGCAAGACGTCTTAACAAACTGGTGAAAAAGGCTGGCTCTGTGGTAGGACTCAAGCTGGACTCAGTGGAGGATGTGGTGGAGAGATCTACACTGAGGAGGGTGGAGACTTTTCTCAAGAACATGGATCACCCACTTCACAACACCTTGATGGACAAAAGGGCAAATGGTGGTGGGCGGCTCCTCTCTCTTTGCTGCAGGACAGAAAGATTTAGAAGATCTTTTGTACCAACAGCCATCAGGCTTTATAACTCTTATGTAAATAATAGATAACTTATACATACTTAGACATATTTCTTGAGACAACAGACAATTGAATTTCCCTTCGGGGATCAACAAAGTTCTTCTTCTTCTTCTTCTTGAAATACGTTTCAAGAAAACAGGCAAATACTTAAACTACTGTCACCTTAACTACAGGTTGTTATATAGGACTTTTTCAGACTTTATTCTTGTAAGTAATGAATTAATAATGAGTTTAATCTCGAAGTCTTTTCCCTTAATGTGGCCCTAATATTTCATTGAATAATAATAATAATAATAATAATTAATAATAATAATACATACATACATACATACATACATACATACATACATACATACATACATACATACATACATACATACATACATACATACATACAGTACATAGGATATGTCAATATTACAGGTTGTTTTGTTTTATTTTGAAAATATGACCGGAAAATGTCTCCCTCCGTTCAGTCTAACTTGCGTCGCGCAGCTGCTGAAGAGATGCTGACGCAAAGCTGAAGACCTCGCTAGAGACCGGGTCCCAGAGCCGCCGGAGCCGCCTCGTACAGCGGGCTGCATTGTTCAACCCGTCTGCAGAGGCAAGGGTCCGGTTCTACCGTCTGAATGTGTGGAGTACCGTCCGAACCTGTGACTAGGATTTATTTAGCTGCTTGGATTTAATCACCGTGAAGAAATCTTTAGTTTCAGAATATCGATGTAATTTTTGGCAGCAAAGTAAACCGCTTTAAAATGGCAACCGCAGCCCGCTCCCGGCGACCATAACCAGAGAGAGTCAGGTAAGATTTACCCACCTGGAGACGAAGTAGCTTCTGGCGAGTTTTACCTGCTTTGAATATTGAAAAGACCCAGCGCTTTTCTTTTAGAGGGGAACTTTGGTCTGTTAGTATGCTGTAGGGCTGCGCTGCTCCATGAGACGTGAACCTTAGAACCAAACTCCATTTAAATATCTGACAACCAGTCACAACACGCTTTCTGGTAAACTGAAGCTCATGTTTGAACAATGTAAAGGATTATTTTCAAAACTCAATGATGTACTGGCAAATCCGGCGTTCATAAAACTCACTTAAAGGCTTATTGTTAGTAATAAATTTACGCTAATGTTTGAGAAGTGGTCCCGTCTGTTCGACACCGCCCTCCATGGTAGGATGAGGGTGGAAAAACGCCCATAGGAAGAGGTAAAGCCAAATTTTCATGTAAGCAATGTAAATAAATCAAATTCTGCAGATATAATTAGAGTTTTGTGTTGCAAAACATAGAACGGCCTCTACTTTGTGTATGTTGCCGGTGTGAATGTTACCCGTTGGCCGCTGAATGAGGCCATGTTTAAGTGGCATATTTCTGACCGGGGTTTGGTGCGGCTCGCTTTGTAGGACTGATCTGAGTTTGATGAAAACGTTGCAGCAGACAGTCGGTAGGCTGCTGGCAGCTGCAGGGAAAGCAGCTGTCACAGATGTTCGGGCACATTTTCCCCTCTTATAATTATTCCATTTACTTATGAACATTAGACGACTGTCACCTGTTTCTCTGTGAGCCTGCGCAGTCACTGTTTACGCGGAGACACTCTCACTCTGAAAGTTTTTTTATGATAAATGCGAAATACCTCTCAGCTAACATGCCACATGCCACAATGATAACAAACCGCAGTGACCTTTCACATGTTATATTCGATGATGTCATGCGCACCTGTCCAGCGCAGACGCACAAAACAGGTGGATTCCTGCTGAAAGAAATCGGGTTACATGACGCACTTCCAGAGATATAGTAAAACGGCCTAGTCCGACAGCTTAATTCATGGATGCAAAACTTTGTCAACAACCCATGGGCCAGAATTTCATGACGCCATTGCAGGGGGCGTGGCAATGTGGAGTTATTGTAGTGAAATCACTGCCACACTTTGTTAAATCATGGCTGTGCAAAGGCAAGTGTTTGCTCCCTGCAGTGACTTGAGATCAGAGAAATGATGAATGTGTATTTTTGTAGCAATTGTGGCAGAATTAAAGCAGAGGTTTTACACAGGTGCTTTGCTCAATGACAGTGGCAATGCTGGACTTGAATAAAAGCACACTGATCCTTCAGCTAGTTAAATCTGTAGATCCTGCTTTATTTAGTATAGAGTCGATGCAAATGCTGAAAAAGGAGTAAATTTAAAGTTTTTAACCCTACAGAGATATCTCTGAAAAGCTGAGTCAGTAAATCCTGTCAGCATTGAGCTTCTTCTGACATACTGGGACAAATTTTAGTCCAAACCTTTGCAAAAATTGAACTATTTTGAAAAGTTTTTTTGTGTGCCTTTATGAAAAATAGACCTTACAAATCATAACTAAAGACTTTTGCCAAATCTGCATCATGATGTAGTAATTTCAGCATTCCTTCAGTTTATTTATTGTCATGAAATCCTGGGAAATTTATGTATTTTGGGCTCACAGTATGACTGCTTTCAGACAGCTGAAGTGTAAATTACTTGATACAGTGAAACAGCAACTCAGTGGAGAAAGGCTGAGATCAAGTGCAGCGGAAACTCAACAGAGATGGATGGTGTTCTGTTAAACTGAAACTAGGTAGAGACAGATGGAGATGTGATGAGCAGGGACTAAGTAGAAACAGATGGAGTTAAAGAGAATCTGAGATTTAGCAAAATACAGATGAAGATGCAGGGAAACTGAGACACAGTGTTGACAGATGCAGTAAAACTAAAGCCAAGTAGGGACAAATAGAGATACAGCAATACAGTGAACCCGAGACAGACATAAAACAGATGGTGATAGCGTAAACCTGAGAGTCCACAGAAGCAGATTGTGGGACACTGACACTTGGACCCATAAGAGAAAGGTGCAGATATAGTGAAACTGAGACTTGATGGATACAGATGAAAACAGTCAAACCAAAACTCACAAGAGATAGATGGGGATACAGTGAAACTGGGACCCCAACAGAGACAGGCTGACTGTGGCTCCACAGCTGAAGCAGTATACTTGTAGTTGGAGTCTGGCAGAGAAATCCTGATAGTGATCTTAGGCTGATTGTCATTAGACCAGGTCCTGGTTAGCCTAAAGTAGCAGGACAGTTCATTTAGACACAGTTCATGCAGGAGGAGGGCACATTTACTCAGCTGAGCTCGAGAACAGACATGACAACCCTTTGTTTACTGACGTACCAGAAGGGCTGATTATTATTATTGTGTTTACTAGTAAAGTATACCTCAGCTGGAAAACTCGCTTTACTTTTTGTCCTGGGAAATTTTTTAAATCTGACTCAAAACTGCAGCCAAACTAACCTTCTCCTGTATTTTGACACCTGTAATTCACCTGCCTCACCTTAAACAATACCTACACCTGACGTTTTCTTTTACCCTCTCCTCTTGAACCTTGGTGCTGTGAAGACCTAAGTTTATCACACGGCTATCTTCCAGCTGTGCGGCCGCCCTCTCACTGATAACGTCAGCACTCGTTGGCTGCAGCTTCAGGTAACAGGTACTGGACCACACATACAGGACAGGGTGTGATCTTTTTATTGGTCCTGTTGGATTTACAGTCATGCAAATATATTAATCATCTCAGCGAGAATAAACAGTTTCATCACCACAGAGGCCGTGTCGGTGAGACATCTGTGAGTCACAGACAGTGTATTGGCTACCATCAGGTAGAGCTGTGATGACTGATTGATATGTTATAAAACTGTGAGACTGAAAGTTACCTCGGATGAAGCTGAGCAAAGTTCCAGGGCAATAAAACACCGACAGACTTGGACCTGATCCAATATGTGTGCTGACTTTTACTGACTCAAACTCTCAGTTGTTGTTTTTTAATGCCAAACAACTTCAGTATAAGTTTGTAAAAAGATGTTTAGGGGTAGTACCACAGAATCAAGCCTTCTTGGTCTGAGATGATGCTGTTTAATGGGGCCTGAAAGTTCATGAGCAGACCCTGCAGTGATGACTGCTGTCCTGAAGCAGCCGGTACAACTTAGAAACTCTACACACCTGAAACTATTATCTGAACTTGTTCTTTTATGTATTTAAAATATGTGCAGATTTTGATCTCATGTGAATTGCATTTGCTTCCTGCAAAGATTAGGCCAATCTTTCAGCATGCCTTTTTAGTTGACAGTCAAATGTAGCACACATATTGGTATACTGGTGTTCTCTATTATTATGAGTATAAAAGGCTCATTACAGTTTGAATATCAGCTTTAAAATGTAGGTTAAAATGTTAAAATGTAGGTTTCAATTTTGGATAAAAAGTGAAACCCCTATTATGTACCCATGTACATTAGGGGTGGGAGAAAAAATCCATACAGCATCGTATCGCAGTATTTTGCCTTGTGGTATATCGTATTGTCTCATTGACCAAGTAGTGATTTTTTTTATCAATTGTTAATATGAAGTCGAATCTATGATGATGGACAAATAAAATCAACTGTTTGTCATGTGAGGTTGGCAGAGGTGACATCATAGAGCAGGAGAAAGTTGGTACCACAAATATAACAGCACTGAGGGAAAGACATCAGGAATGCAAGCAGGGCACAAATGAGATGGACCTGACACATAAGGTTTGCAAGATGTGCTACATAAAAATAAAATACTGTGTTAATAAGACCAACATGAAGAAAAGACAAATGCTCAATTAGTTAAACAGTTTAAAAAACTGTGTTAATCGCAGTATATTTTATCGCAATACTCACTGTATTGCAAAATGTTAAAAATCGCAATAACATCGTACCGTGGCCCAAGTATCGTGATAATTTCGTATTGTTGGGCCACTGGTGATTCCCACCCCTAATATACATGTATCAGTTACATTTCATATTAAGGAACAAACAACAAAGCAAATATGACTATATGATATATCTTGACAATTGTATCACTCACATTTTCCTCAAAATTTGGCATTTAAAATAGTTTTTTTAAAAAGGTTTAAACTGTGTATCTGAATGAAGACTTCCATTGCATTCAGTTTTGAAGCATGTAGTGTAGAAAAGTATCCAAGGATTGAACATTTGACTGCGACAGTGTAGAATTCCACTTATATGATCGGCTCAATATTCAACCAAACAATGGATTGATCCAGATTGATTGTTACACTCCCGAATGGGGCCATGTTAAAGAGGCAGAGTTCTGACTGGAGTTTGGTGTTTGTTCATGTGTGCTCAAAAGTCAGGGCATGTTTCAGTGATTGATTATTGACTAAAGGATGGAGGATACATATTTCAAATCAGGACTATTGAGCACTGAGTGGCTGGAGGGTGAGATGTATGTGACCCACTAACACAGAGGAAACTGATGTTTAAAGGAAAGAGTAGCTGTCTGTCTGCTTTGTCTGTTTAAAGATTTTTTTACCCTCTCAGGTGTTTTAGGTGCAGGAGGCTCCCCATTACGTGCTTTTATAGCAGCAGAAAGAGTTCTGTAAAAACTGTGGGTGAACCAGCTGCCTGCTTATCTCTGCTTCAGTCTACATCAGCACAGCACAGCACAATCTCAAACACAGCTGCTAAAAAGAATTGCATTGTGGGTAATGTAAAGGCCAGGTTTGAGGAGGAATGTAAGGTGAAAAAAAGAAGTTATCTCTGGCTCTGAGTGCAGCTGTGTTTCCTGCAGATATATTATGAATCTCAGTGCAGGGACAGTTTTAAATGGTCTAGTCCCTTTCTCTCCCTCTCTTCCTCTCTCTCTCTGTCTCTATCTCTCTATCTCTCTATCTCTGTTCGGCCAGTAATTCATTGAAAATAAAAGGAACATAGTAAATCATGACTCTGTCTGTGATGGATGTGTGCTGGCATCTTTGCTGCTGGCTCCAGCTGGGCCAGTCAGACCAGTGCTCTGTCCAAACTGGTACATGTGTGATGGGGGAAGTGGGGCACAGCTGGTTTGTGGTCTGTATATCAGGCTTTATTCCCTCTGTGGGGGACATATAATGACAGGGGGTCCCAGTTCTGTTCCTCCCCCACTCCAATCACCCGTTTCCTCCCCTCCCCCCTCTGGGTGTCAATGATGATGACCCCCCAGGCTTCATAATAGAGACAGGGGAATCAGACAGCAGTCTGCCCACTCAGACAGATTACACACACATTTATACCACAAAGGAGATTAGTCAGCATCACACCTAAAGGTCTACTCACACTTTGATATATTTTATGATCTAAATGGATAAGAGAGTTTTGGAGTGGTTTATGTAGTTTTATTCTGCCAGCAGCATTTCACCAGATTTAGACAGCTGCAGCATCATCTTTGTGGGGAATTTAGCCTCATGATAATAATGACTTTATTTGACACTTTCCCCAAAAAAAGTTTTGTAAGTGTGGAGTCTGATGAAAATCAAACAATTGAAGTACAGTGAAGCTAACAATAAAGATAAAACTTCATATTGTTGTCCTCAAGTCCTTCCATTTTGTATTATGAGTCCTCATCTGTGCCAAAAACAAACCTCTGCCATCAGGACCCTTTATAATGTTTATTTAACAGGGACAATACATAAAATATTGCCACAAGAAAAGGAAAATGTTATGCATGCAAGACATCTAGCTTCAGCTAATTTGCAGTCTTTGTCCCTGTTTTTTTTCTACTTCCATGCTGATCCCAAGTAGTGGCATTATTGGTTCCAGCGTGTGATTATATAAGGTGTTTTGGGGTAAACAGAAAAACTATTACTATATAAATATTATCGTACTAGTTAACTAGTCTAAACATGCACAAAACATTTAAGTTTGAGAACAATTTGTACAACACAGGATCTTGATTTAATTTTGACAAGGAGAGAGAGAACTACCTTGTACAAAGTCGACAATCATGTATCTTTGTCTTTTATTGTTCCTTCTACGTTGTAGATTCCAAAGTACTTTGCTCCACCATGTCCCTAATTTTTGTAGTATAACTATTCTGTATTAGTGAGGTCAAGTGTGCATGGATTGGTAGGTTTATGGTGAGAGCGCCCTCTATAGGATCATACAGCAAGCTTCTTTAGGCAGCCTGTACTGGTGTACTGTATGATTTTGAACAGCTCATGACTTTTCAGAGTTGAAATGAAAGCTCAAATTGATTAAAAGTGACTCCCTAACAGTGTTGGGCAAGTTACTTTAAATAACTTAGTAACTTAGTTACAGTTACTAGTTACTTCTTTCAAAAGTAACTCAGTTACTTTAAGTTACTCATTACTTTCAAGGTAACTAGTTTCTAGGGAAAGTAACTGTATTATTTGTTTTTACTCTAAATTCTCTTATTAATGTGTTGCCTATTTACTGGATAGCCGGGGAGGCTGCCAGTCCTTTGGTTTGCTAAATCAAGCTTTTGTTGTTTGGCTGGAATGGCGGAGCTAAAATTAGCAGCATCGCCTGTCTTACCTTCAGGGTCTTTTTCAACCAGTTTAGTGCGTGTTGATTCTGAAGATGTTTCATCGGATTAGAATTACTTGTCTTTGATGTGGGTAGAGTTTTCGAACCTCCACATAGATTATGGGTCACCACAATATTCCTCCTCTCCGTCAGAAAGGAAAAATATTGTGCAGATTTCCACGAGAGAAATCCCACGCCTAGACAGTTGTCGACTGCCGCCATTGTTGTTTTCATTCACTTGCACGTCTCTGCGTCACGTGTGCTTCAGGTCCACCATGGAAATGGTAGTCCTGAGTCATGCACGTGAAGTAACAAGTAACAAGCCTTTTTAAATGGCAGTAATGACAACCGCGTTACTGATTTTGACAAAGTAATTAGTTACAGTACCCGTTACCACATAAGTAACGTAGTTACTGTAACACGTTACCTAATAAAGCGCCAGTCCCAACACTGCACCCTGCAGAGTGGAGGTATGATGCAGCACCAACATCTTGCTTTTCTGATACTAAAGGTGAGACTTAAACAGGGCTGAAGATAACATGGTAATCTGTTTCCAGACCAGTCAGATTTTGGTTGGAGTCAGAATTTCCAATACGGTGGCAGTCATCTTTGGGGTTTCGTAATGCTAAAAAACTAAATCCAGTTAAATGAAATGATGATATATTTGAAATAAATAACCTTCTCGACCTTATTTTCTGTATCCTCCGGTCAAGTCAATAAAAGTGTTCTCTGTCTCAGGGCTGGGCGATAAAATGATAATGATATTCATCAAAAATGTATTTCCCTCAATATCAATATGAAACATGGTCAATATCCTTTTCGATAGTTGGCATTCTGCCATGTTTTGGTAGACTATACGAATAGCCAATGAAAAGGAGAGTTTCTCCAGGTCCGTTTCATGCTGAACCAATCATGAGCTGAATTAGAACCAAGTAGCAAACAATTGTGTAATAGCAGACTGCAGCCACACGCAACCATAGCACTTTAACACATGAAGCCGACAGCACTATTGAGAAAAAAAAAGAAAATAAGTGCTACCCCCAGCAGAAATGCAGATGAAGGCTCAACAGATGATGACATCAACTTACCTGAAAACGTCGGTTGTGTGGAGGTATTTTGGTTTTGTGAGGTCAGACATGAGGCAGAGTAATATGCACCGCAAATTATGTCGTACATGTTATGAGTACATGTTCTTGCAAAGTCGGGGAATACCTCAAATCTTTTTCACTACCTGAAGCAGTGCCACGCGGCAATGCAATAGGTTACAAACCCCAAGCAGAGTAAGGAGCCCATGGCGCCTGTGCAGCTAAAACAGCCGACCATTCAGTCCGCTTTCTCTAACGCAATGCCTTTTGACAAAACGTCGAAGAGACACAAAGACCTCACAGATGCAGTAACTTATTGTATTGCAAAAGACATGCTACCAATAAGTACTGGTAGGTTTCATTTTTTGTATCATGATATATATCGATATTGACTGTTAAAAAATTTATATTGTGTAAAACTTTTTCCCATATCGCCCAGCCCTACTGTCTCTGATCTTTCTATTCAAAGCCAGTCTTTAGGCACTGTCCAAAGCCTCCAGGCTCTGCTGATGCGAACATCTATCAAACCTCACAGCACACAGGAGTTGCTGGTCTGCAGCTGCCTCGATCAGGTGGTTTGTTTGTTGTTCTGTGCCATGTAGGTGATTAAATGGTTTGCTCAGATCCTACACAGTGTTTGTGTTACATAATAACACAGAAGAAGCTAATGAGGCAGAAGTAGACCTTGAACTCCTCTGAAGTGTGAGGTAAAATTACAGTTTTTGTCCATGGAGTCTGCTGGCTTTGAAGATAGCCTGCTTTTTACTACAAAGAGGTCTGTGCTGACTGTTTTTGACATTAACGGTCATGTTATTAAACGGTCTGTCAAATCAGGGTTTATTCTGACCTGCTCAGGTCTCAGCTGTTTTTCCTCCTCACAATATCATTTCCTCCTGATTGTTTTTTTATTTTATGTGCGTGCGTGCTTGCATGCGTGTGTGTTTCCTTCCTTCCTGCACACTTGGCTGTAGGTTTGTCAGTCAGATGGTGGTTCACCGGATCTCTGATGTATTTTTGTGGGACAAGCACTTGAGCAGCCTGGACATCCCAACGGCTGAACGAAGATGTTTCAGTTTCACAGACTTTAACAGCGCTCTCTTACAAAAAAAAGATAAAGAGACCAAAGGCGTCAAAATACAAATCTAGTTCCAAACTGTTGGGATGCTGTGAAAAAATGTGAACAAAACCAGAATTTGATGGTTTTCAAAAAAGCCTTTAATTGCAAATAGTGCAAAGAAAATGTGGTTTTACATTGTTTTGCTGAAATATGAAGGTCTTTCTTGAAAACGTCCTTGTCTGGATGGCAGCAGATGTTGCTCCTACACCTGTAGATATAGTTCAGCATTAATGGAGCCTTCACAGATGCAAAAGTTACCCATGACACATATGATCCCCAAACCATCAGGGATGCTGACTTTGAGATGTGAGCTGCTAACAAGTCGGGTGGTCCCTCTACTTGTTTAAGTGTGGGATGCTGCATCAATGGTTTTAAAATAGAGTGTCAAGTTTTGGCTTCCTCTTGCCCTCAGTCCATCTTAAATGGGTTCAGGTCCAGAAAATTCTTGTGTTTCTGGATCATGTTTATCTACATGTTCCTTGTTGCATTGAACAGCATCCATGGTTTCCAACACAAATGTTGAATCTTGGTTTATCAGACCACAGGACGGTTTTCCTCTTTTCCAGTTTTGACCTGCAATTGTGGATGCAGTGATGAACTGTGTCCACAGACAAAGGATTTTGGAAGTGATTTTGAGCCCAAGCAGTGACTTCTACTACAGAGTCCTGTTTTTTTTTAATGCAGTGGTGCCTGAGGTTCTGAAGATCAGGACCATCCAGTCTTGGTTTTGGACCTTGTCCCTTTTGTACAGAGATTTCTCCAGATTCTCTGAATCTTTTAAAGATATTATGTTCTGTAGATGATGAAATCCATTTCTTTGACATTTTACACTCAGGAACTTTATTCTAAAACTGTTGAACTATTAGCTCACACAGTCTTTCACAGAGTGGTGAACCTCTTCCCATCCTTCCTTCTGAGAGACTCAGCCTCTGAATGTCCTTTTTAGACCCGGTCATGTTTCTAACCTGTTTGAAGTTAACCTCATTAGTTTTGAGATGTTTCGCTGATTTTGTGAAACAGTGATAACAGAAGAACTAAAGCAGTGATTTATTGATGGATATCTTACCGTCTGTCCTCTCCTCCTCAGCTGATCCTCTGCAGCTCCATGTGTCCTCTCCGGTCCCTCTTCCGGTCCAGCTGAGCTCCTCCCTCCTCCTCCGTCTTATCATGTCGGCGGCTCAGACTCAGAAGGAGAGTGGTGGTGAGGCGGGCTGGGGCTGCCTGGAGTCTCTAGGTCTAAGCCAGAAGGAACTGGTCTTGGCTGAGGCCCTGCAGATGGAGTATGACGCCCTCTCCAGACTCAAACAGGACAAGAGTGGCACTGGGACGAGCACCAGCCCTGGCTCTAGACCACATAGCCAGACCCGCTCCAAAACACCAAATCCCACTATTGAACGACCGCGACCCACCCCGAGCCAGCCCTGTCCAACCTCCATAGGAGGAGGCCTGCTGAGGGGCCTCTCTGGGTCAGACTCCTCTCTGAACCAACCTGGAGGGTCACAGTCTCCGCCCTCCATCCCTGCCAGGGTGCCTCCTCCTCAGGGGGGCTACATCAAAGAGTCCTTGTATATCCTGGACAGTCCTGAGGCCAACAAGTTCAGAGACGGCTCGGGTCCCAGCTTCGGAGACTCGCACGGGTCTGGAACAGGATTTTTTTCTAAAGGCTTCCCCTCTCTCCCAGATGATGTTCCCCCTGCCATCCCCCCCAGAAACCCCATACCCCAATCGTCAGGGTCTGATAACCCCTTCCTGCCTGCACGAGGGTCCACCATACCCCGTGATGTGAACCTGTTCATGCCTGACGTGGATCTGCCTAAAGTGACCTCAGGAGAGCTGAACTACGACAACATCAATGACTCATTGTCCAGACTTAACGAGGGCCGGCAAGGGCCCAGAGGTCGGAGGGCCAACGGGGACCAATCAGGAAAGCCAGTGGCTCGGAGTAAGACCCTCCCCCCTCAGGTCCCACCCAGGACATATGTACCCGTTCCCAAGAGCAACAAGAACCAGCGGCGGGTTTCTGCAGACCCAGTAAGAACCTTTAAACTAATATGAATACCTATCTCTGGATTTTTAAATGGATAGTTTGGGTTTTTAAGTTGAGTTGTATCCAGACAGTTTCTGGACAAAGAGGCAGAGCTGACGGGGATCCCCTGAAAGGAGATGCACCAAGTATTGACAAGCACCTCATACAACCAAACTTACTAAAACACACTATTCCTTTAAAAGCAGTTGACGAGCGTCTGTTTTATTTCAATTTTCTCTACAGATAATAAAAAAAACAGCAAGGTTGTAGTCAGGACAAGTTAGCTCCTTAGCCCGTTAGCCTGTCAAATACACTGAGGAACAGAGCTATGATGATGTCCAAAATCTTAATCATGATCACGAAAAACAATAAGCCATGATTTGATGTCTGCATCACACTCACTCACACAACTTGAAACCTCCTTAAACTTTAAAACTCAATAGATGAAAATAATGGTTAGCCTGTTCTTTTGTTTACTAAATCATGTCTGTTTGTCTAACTGGATGATGCAAAAATTCAAACTGAAAGGGAGCATGCATCAGTTCTTCATTTTAGGAGCTATTTTAGTGATGATACTCGCTGAATTAAATTTCAGGTTTCACTTGTAGTAAAGTATTTTTACACTGACATAAAAGTGTAAGGATTTGAGCTCTTTTACCACATACAACATATCACAGGCTGAAGATTGAACAAATCATTCCGTCTTTTCAAGCTCTAATATATTGTCCTTAATAACGTTAAGACTTGGGCTTTTATTACGTTAAGATTCAGAACAATATCTCTCATATTTTAGTACTTATGATCTCTACAGCCTCTCTGTCTTTGTGCTCATTCTTTTCCCTTGACTTACCAGACATACACTGATACACACCCGCCTCTTACTGCTCCTCTCCCTAATCTTCTCTCTCCACCTGTGGCTACCTGGTAGTTTGTATGGCTGTTAAACATGTTGAAGATGCAACTTCCTCATGTTCCCAAACTTTGTCTCTTCTCGATCTGAGCTGCTTATGTTGAAGTGAAGTGATAATAATAATAATAATCATAATAATATTCACAATTATAATAAAATTCCTAATAATAATAAAAGAGAGAGCTGTTTGGTGGGGAAGAACTGCACACGCACTCTGCTGATAAAGGTGGGGTAGGCGGGATCTGAGGAAGTGCCAGTTTTTGGGAGAAATCTTGAAAGTAAACACTACCCCTCCCAACCAGTTTTCCCCTCAGCTCCTCCTCTCCCCTCCCTCTCTGCTCCAGTAAGCCCCGCCCACAAACAGGCGTTCCTGCTCATTCGTCTTGTTCCAATTCAATTCAGATATGATGCAGATAAATACTTAAGATAATTACAAATGGGGCCCAGTCAACGTGAAAGTAAAAAGCATTGGTGCTACTGTAGATGCCAACAGACTACCAGCAAACACAATGTTTGCAGGACTTCTACAACTAGGATAAAGTGACATAGTCCAGGACCCGAGGTAAACAGTTCAGTGGCGCTACAACACGCAGCAAGTCCCGTTTGACAAGAAACACTTCTATTACACTTGGCTTACTTTGTTACAGCGGTTTACCTGTCCAACAGAAAGGTTACAGGGTCCGTAAGATCCTGAAGCGTCCTCCATCGCTTGATCATTGATGTTGATCCCGCTTTTTAGCTCTTGTCCGGGTGGTCTACCTCCTTTTGAAGCGCCCGTTATTCCTCCCCAGTCTTCAGTATTTACTTCGTTTTCTTGATTGTGTTGGCAGTCGTGGTCAAAGGAGGATTCAGACAATTTTCTGTACTTTCTGGTTGGTTTCTACTGTCTGATATAGTTGCACGCTAACTTTGTTTGGGCTTCTGAATGACACGGGGGAGCAGCGTCTGCCTCACAACCAATCAGGCCAGGGTGGGGGAGAATGGCTTTGTTTACAGCCAGAAAGAGCAGCCAGCTTAAAAAATTTGAAATATTGACTACACAGACATAAGAGAACACAGCAATATCGTTATGTTACCAAATGTCATCAATAACTAATAGCTATTGACTGATATTAAAAGGTTTTTTGTATATACACCACAAAAAAAGATGCTTCTTTAACGGGATCCTGCCTACCCCACCTTTAAGGACGAGAGGGACAGTGCGCTTCATTCAACGTCGAGGACATAACGGCACAATATTGTTCACTCCTGATTTTTGTATTTTCATGATATTAGAGAGCTGTTTTCTTAACCAAAACGGAAACAGATTACTCGCCTAGCTCACCAAAAAAACATAAATACTTTCAACAATTATTTTAGCTGAACTTTTACTTTAAACTTTTAATGCAAGGCTATCTTAAACTTTTAGGCAACAGCATCATTTATTGCTTTTTAACAATCTGTCAAAACAAGATACAATAATTTAAGTTGAGGTAACATGTGAATCAACAAGTTTCACTCTGAACCGCACTTTAAAATGTAATAGTAAATACTCCACAACACTGTTTCTGTTGTCCCTCTCAAAAAGGGGCCACTCTGTTTTGTTCAGTGCAACCTGCACAAAACAAAAGCACAGTGACACCAGCTTCATGTGCTGTGCTACACTGAAGTAATAGCATGCTTTTGTATCCATCAAAGAGTGCAGTGAAGCTGCCAGAGTGAAAGCTTTTCATGTTCACCAAGAACGACACAGAAGTTATTCAACACGACGAATAACCCGTCTCCAAATCCTCCTGCAAAGAAGTTCCAGCTTAAGGGTCAAACACGTCAAGCTTCGTGCGATCTGCAGCATTACAGGCCTACATTAGAGCTGCTGCACAAAATAACAGATTGATGTTATTTTAGTGACAAGCTACTTCAGGAATCTTTGAATCTGTAGGGATTAAGCGTCGCAACCAATGGTGTAGTGAGGAAAACATGAAAACATGAACGGACTGGATTTTCTCCGGTCACTTGTAAGAACAAAGTTCATGTTAAAAATGGATGACCTAAAAATAGACCTGGATGACAGTGAATGACAGAAACAGCATTCATTCCTCTCAAGTAAATTTAGCCCTGAGGTATTGTTGAAGTCCATCTTAATCTTATGTTTAAAAATAAAAATATGTATATTGAAAGCAGGTTGATGTTATTTTACTCATGCGTAATATTGTGAGGTTAATACATGCATCAACTCTGAATATACTGAAAGTGACAGATCTGAGTCGAGGTTTGATTTTCTCTTGATGCTGAAAACAAGAAGAACTTTATTGATCACCAAGGGGAATCAATCACTCTCTGTTCTTTTCCTCTGTTCCTGTTCAATTCCATATTTGAAATGAACAGGTCTCCTCTCAGATCTCTGCTTATGTGTTTTCACTGATCACACTCACAGTCTGTCAGTAAACAGTCAGCAGTCAGACCAGTCTGACCAGCCGGAAGCTGGAGCTGTGATGGAGGGATTTGATTAACATCAGCCCTGTCAGGAGTCAGAAGCCGGTTATGAGTAAATACTCTTGATGCCCACTTAGGAGCTCTCCTGAATCAGTTGATCCCTAATATCTCACAAAGAGCAGCCGGTGAAATCCCCCATGTGATGTGGATGAAACCAACATTAGAGCAGGGAAAGTAATCAGATTTTAATTACGATAACAGCTCCTACATGAACATAAAAATACGAGAGTCAAGACTGAACAGTTTTGGGCTACCTACTGCTACTCTCTCTCTCTCTCTGTCGTCCTCAACAGCAGAGTGTGGGCACAGTTCCTTCCCCTCAAACGGCTCTCACTTTCACTTCAGCATAAGCAAGAGGAGGCAGGTGTGTGTCTGTGTGTGTCTGATAAGCAGAGGGATAGAATGAACACAAAGGTTGAGAGGCTGTAGAAGAGATCATAAAGGCTAATGAGTTTTTAGCTACCAGGCTTCAAAGTTAGAGACATTGTTCAGATTCATAGTGAAATACAAGCTCAAGTCTTGACGTTATAAAGGACATTATATAAAAGCTTTTATAAAAACTGAATGATTTAGCCTGTGATAAAATGTAAGAGCTCAAATCCTTCAATTTTTATGACACAGTGTTAAAAAACTCTAATGAAATTAAATCTGACATTTAATTCAGTGAATATTATCACTAAAAGTAGGCCAAAGCTCTTACAGTGATATCTGGTTTTACTCCAAGAAGTCTGCGGCAGACGACCAATCACAAACGTGAACAGGCCTTCTAGCAATGCATTTCACAGAGAACAACAAGCTATAGAAAAGAACTAGAGTTGTGCTATTTACATTCAATGTGTCTCTATAGTCTCTGTGTCGTTCCTCATTGGTTCCTTTCATCTTAACAAGTAGCTGTTTCCTCTTTAGAGGGTGAGAAATAACTCTAGTCATCACTTTTCCTCCTCTGTTTGTCTCCGCATCATTTCCATTTCTTTCTTTAGAATTTCCTTGCTGTAAATAAACAGAAAAGAAAGTAAAAACCTGTGTGGAGCTCTCTTCTGATTTGTCGGTTGTGTGTGATTGACAGGTGTCCCTGGGCTCCAGGATGAATGGGTTTGGATATGAGCTGTTCCAGGTGTCGGAGGAGAGAGATGAGGAGGTGGCAGCTTTCTGTCACATGCTGGATGTGTAAGTAACACACACAGACACACATCTAAACACAAACACACAGATGTACTGAACTCCTGAAGCTTTTCTCCAAAGTCAACTCTTTTGGTTTTTATGCTTCTAAGACCAGACACACCTTCACAATCAGTGTCTCCTGTAGGTCGGGTGAGATGAGGACAGAGGACACAGAGCAGAGAAGCATACAGCCATAAAAATGTCTGTCTGTACTCTCCTTACCCTGGTATAAAGAACTTTTCCCAGACCTCTGAACATGACCTTAAACTAAATTTAACCTGAAATTAAAAACTGAGTCTGACTTCAAACATACCACTGGAGCAGTAAAAACATCGAGAATGATGCTCTTTGCTTCCTCAGAAATATCCTGGCATTGCTGAAATATATTTCTAAGTGCAGAAATGTCCTCTCAGCACAAATATTTACACTAAGCACAGAAATGTTTTCTCAGTTAAGAGCTGTCTGGAAATGCAAAAACAACTTTGTAGTGCAGAAATGTTTTTAGTGCAACAATCTTTCCCGGGTTTAGAAGTGTTTTTCTGCAGAAGAAACGTCTCCAAAGAGCACAAGTAGCTTTCTTTATGCAGAAATGTTCTTCCTATGCAGTAATTCTTCTGAAGAGCTCAGAGATGATTTCTTAGTTCAGGGCTGTTTTTATAGTGCACAACTGTTATGTTCATGCAGAGATGATTTCCTCGAGTGTTTTCCCAGTGCAGCCGTGTTCACTAAATGCATAAATGTCCTCAAAGTGTTGACATGTTTTCCTAAGGTCAACAATATTTTCTTGGTACATAAGTTTTTACCCAGTGCAGTACACGAGCAGTGTACTGTAAGCTTTTTATTCAAAATGCAGCTCTGTACTCTCAGCGCCGCAACTTCCTCTTTGTGCATCAGTTCTTGGTGCAGCAGCGTGTTCACAGCTTGGCTCTGTGTTCTAAGTGTGATACACTTTTCCCAAAGCATAAATGTTTTCTTTGTGCAGACTGTCTGTTTGTTGCAGAAAGAGTCATATCACTGCATTCATGTCATCTCACTGCAAAAACTTGACATGAAGTAACAACAAAGTAGACACAGATACACAGAGTATGGTGTAAAGTTAAAATCCAATTATCCTCCTTATCGATTGTTCATTCTCTCCCAGCTTTGTTGAGGGTTTTAGGGTCAGTCCGCTTTGTCTGTTTCTGGTGACATGAATAATCTTGTAGCCTTTCCATGAGCTATAGTTCTTAGTTATGTTCAGCTAGTTTCTAGTGTCAGGGGGGTTTCCTTGCACTATTTCTTGTGAGAGCGTTCTCTGATGCCACTAGAAGTGTTTCAACCAAGTGTCTGTTTTCAGTTAGTTTTCTTCTGCTTGATTTCCCAGTTATAACACTGCACAGATTCAAAATTGTTTTTTTTCTCCCACATACATCGTCCCCTCACTGAGCAATTTTTACATTGTCTTTTTATTTTCAAACTTTTTCTCCTTTGCAGATATGACCTCTTGGTGCAGAAATACTGTTTATACTTGGTGCATTTCTCAGTGCATAAATATTTTCTCAGCACTTAAAAACTTTTTCCCTTTTTAAAGTGTGCAATATTTTTTTGCAGTGCATACATTTTCTTGTAACGCCACAAGATCTCAGTTTAAGATTGCAGAGCAGAAATGTCTTTCCGTGCAGATGTGTACTCTTAAGTAGTGATGCACGATATGAAAAATTTCAACCGATACCGATAACCGATAATTTTCTTCTTCTCATGGCCGATACGATAACCGATAAATTCATATTTTTACATTTATTATAATCTTCATATAATCTGCAGTTTGTGCAGGATGCAGCGATTGAAAACTGATGTTTTTGTTGCTCTGGCCTATCTAGAACAACAAACAAAAGTTTTTGGCTCTTCAAATGTGGTCATTTGCTATAAATAACAATAACAGAGCAAAAAGCAGAACTTCATTTGATCCCCTGAACTGTTCAACAGAACTGTAAACTGTAAAGGAGCTATTATGAGACGGTAGGCTTAGCATGCTGACCGGACTAACATCTGACGCCCATATGTCTGTGGTAAAACTCACGTGTAGTCCGTTCTTGTCGATCAGGTTGTGAAAGTATGTGGCGACAATATCATAGAGTGCAGGAAGGGACACATCCGAGAAGAAGCGGCGGCTTGGGAGAGTGTAACGTGGCTCCAAGTGTGCTATGAACTTAAGAAAACCCGGGTTCTCAACGACGGAAAAAGGCTGGTCGTCGACCGCTATGAACTCCATCACTTTGTCGTTAATGGCTTTAGCCTTTTCGCTGTCTCTTGAGAAGCTTTTGCAGTTTTTAAACGCCCGCTGAATGGGGACATCGATCCTCCGTAGTGTTGTTGTCTTAGCTTTAGTACCGCTAGCAGCTTCGGCGGCTGTCTCATATTCTTTTACTACCGCTTCGCCGCGATGGCGACTTTTCAGATGAGCTATCAGATTCGCTGTGTTAATACTTGAAGTCTTCTTTCCTCCTCTCGGAATCCTCGCTGAACAGGTTTTGCATATAGCAATGCTGTTGTCATCTTCTGCCACTGAGAGAAACGACAATGCTGGTGAAGACATTTTATTATCTGTCAGGCAGTGACGGGGTCAGGCTTGGGACCTGCGAGTAAGGCGCGATAGATGACGTAACCAGCGCGTCTCGGACGGGCGGCTACTCCGCCTGCAAACGTTACTCGTAATTTCATTAATATATCGGATCTTTCTATCGGAAAAATGCACCTATCGGACCGATAAAAAATGACGTAATTTCCCCCCAAATCGGCCGATATTTTATCGGTCCGATAAATATCGTGCATCCCTGCTCTTAAGTTAAGAAATAGAAGCATTTTGCACAAATGTCTTTTTGATTTCTCGACAGTGTGCAGGGATGTCTTTGTGAGTGGACAAATCTCTCTGCTATGCCTGCATGTCTTAGCAGATACAAGTCCCATTGGTGCTCCCATTGTCCTGACAGTGAAGACGTTCTCTCTCACACTGTGTTTAGCTGTCTCTGTGGAGCAGAGTCATTTTTAGAGTGCAAAATTTAACAGCTGTGCACAATAAATGTAGCACCGTGCAGCAATGTAGTTCTTTTACACTTCAGTCCTCTCACTGCAGGAAAATCCTCACACACACACACACACACACACACACACACACACACACACACACACACACACACCTACGTTTCCTGACCTTCAGCCTGCCTGATATGATGACTCAGACAGAGTAATAAATGTTTATAATGAATGTTTACAGCCATCAAGAAGAAACACAAACTCCCCAAAATGAACACAAGGAGTTTGACGGTAAATGTTTTGCTCACAGTTTACACCAAAACTGAATCCCAGCAGCCTGTGAAAGTGTTCTGGGCTCTGATTGGTCTAATTTAATGAAACATCTGAGATTTAATTCTGTTTAATACTTCATTCTAACAGAAGGGTCATTGATTAGGGATTAAAGTCCTCACTGAGAAAAATACAAAAGGTCATTGAGCCCTCACAGAGAGAGAGAAAGAGAGAGAGAGAGTGTGTGTGTTAAACAACAAGAATGTCAGTGTTCAAAGTCCAGATCTCCAAATCTGTGGTCCACATCCAGCCAACCAGGACAGTCCCTAAAAACTAAGCTAGAAAGTTTGATCAATATAAATGAAGAAAGAAAAGGCAGATTAATGAATGATAATGAAGTGATAATAAAAAAGACAAGAGGAAGAAACAGGACACGGATACATAAGACAACTGACGCAGCAGGAGCAGACAGTAGTGACAGTGAGAGTGGTGAGGAGTTAGTGAGTGAGTGAGTCTGAGGTGGTTAGAGCCTGAAGACTTCCATCTGTCACTGCAGCAGAGTATTCACACCACAGTAAAGAAAAAAAGACTGAAAATATAGAAAAATGTTGAACCATTTTCAGAATAAGGATCTGAAAGAACTAAATTTGTATATTAAGACTTTAATTTCTGTACAATTGAGAAAAGAAATTGCTTCACTTTTCTTTCCTTGAGGAAAAATCAGATTCCAACTAGGAACACAGTTTTGGTCTTCCATGTTTAAAGAAACATGACCGACAGAGATTATTAACATTTCAAAAGAAGCCCTACCCCCAGAAAGTAAAAGTGGTCACTGATTGAAAAAGGTATTTCAAGAATTGCATCACTGTTTGATTTCCGCATGATTGATCACAGTCTGTGCTAAAGTGACAGAAACAGTGCAGTCAAGAGTTGTTAGTGCATTGACTGCATATGAAGAGAAAAAAAAATGTTTTTGCTATGAGGAGATATTTCCATCCAGAAAGAAGACTATGTGGTCAGTCAGAGCCGGACACCACTGATCCTTCTGCACAAGATCTTTGAGAGAGTGGCTGATTTTCTTACTGGTTTCTGATACTGGTCCGGATGGACAGTTTTTACTTTGAACTAAAAGAAGTTCCATGAAATGAGATTAAACAACAATAGAAAAATTGATTCGGAAGGTTCAATAAAAGAGTCCCATCAAGGTCTGGTCAACATCAGAAAGAAAATGTGAAAGTTCAGATCATGAACTCTTTAACAAACTGTGGAGACACCACACTTCAAGTACAAGTCTTGTGATCAGGGAGTGATGCCCTCGATGCTTTTTAATGAAATTAGATCATATTTGATCAAATGTTTGAGGTCAGGGCAGAGCTGCTTTGTTGTTCCAGTTAAACCCTGGCAAAATTCAGCACATATATGTGTTTAAAATAAACCACAAAAGTTAATGAAATATCTTAATGATTATTGTGATATTGATAACAGTAACTTACAGATCATAATTTCAGCCATAATCGTTGCACCCCTAGAAAAAAGTCTCAATTTTAGTTTGATTATCCTGATTTTTTATTTTGAAGGTAAATGTTGAAAGAGCAGTCAGCTGTCTACACTTTGATAGGGAATGTGTTGTAAAGGTTTTCCCTAGATAAATGTCATTTATTCATGTGTTTGTTGTATACTCTGACGAAAAATCATCCTGCTTTATTTTCTCTGTCCAACGTGCTCCTCAGTCCAGATCTGCATGAAAAACGCCAAAAAAATCATGGAGCCTTGACTCATCAAACACCTACTCTGTAGCAAAAAGTGACAAGCATGCAAAATAACAATAATGAGATAATTGCTCTTCTCCTTGATGGTGGTGTTTCTCTGTTTAGGTCACACACAGACATTAATTTTTTATTTTAGTCTGTGTCACAAACAGATAAAACAACATTTCAGTTGCTTAAAATCCGACTGTCAGATTACAAAGGCTAAAAACTGTGAATATAAAAATATGTAAAGCTTTTGCACTTTGTCACAGAAACCTCTCATCTGTGGTATCATTTTTATTATCTGTTCTCCAAACCAGTTCTGGAGCATATTTGCCATACAACTTGTTGACATTTAGATTTACTGATAAGTCTCAGTTTGGCCCCAGGTGACACAGGAACACACAAAGTTTCATCACTCTCAAAAAGTTCAACAATCAGTGCAGCACAAAAGCCTCAGAGGGATAAAAGAGGCCTCAGATTTCTTTGAATGTTAAAAGTTGTGTGTTTATACGACTGACAAGGTTCAGTTTGCATGTCCTGAAACAAAAGAACTCTCAGAGTCAAGAGTTCCTGTAGTAAACTCAGAGAAACTTAGATGAGACAAGATTTGGATTAGGGCTGCGCGATATGGGAAAAAGTTGATCACGGTATGTTTTCTTCTTATCAGTCGATATCGATATATATATCACGATATAAAAATGAAATTTAACAGTGCTGATTGGTAGCCTGTCTTTTACAATAAACTACTGCATCTGTGAGGTCTTTGTGTCTCTTTGACGTTTTGTCGTAAGGCGTTGCACTAGAGAAAGCGGACTGAATGATCGGCTGTTTCAGCTGCACAGGCGTCATGGGCTCCTTGCTCTGCTCGGGGTTTGTAACCTTTTGCATTGCGCGTGCTCTGCCATGTGGCTCTGCTTCAAGTGGTGAAAAAGATTTGAGGTATTCCTCGACTTTACGAGAACATGTACTCAACATAATTTGCAGTGCACATTACTCTTCTTCATGTCCGACCTCAAAAAAACAAAATACCTCCACACCACTAATGTTTTCGTGCCAGTGTTGTCAACAATGTCATCATCTGTTGAGCCTTCATCTGCATTTCTGCCGGGAGTAGCACTCTTTTTTTTTTTTCTCACCGACAGTGCTGTTGGCTTCACATGTTTAAGTGCTATGGTTGCTTGTAACTGCAGCCTTCTACTCCACAGTTGTTTGCTTGTTGGTTCTAATTTAGTACATGATTGGTTTGGCGCAAAGTGGACCCGGAGCAACTCTCCTTTTCATTGGCTATTCGTATAGTCTACCAAAACATGGCAGAATGCCAGCTATCAAAAAGCATATTGACCATGTTTATATTGAAATTGAGGGAAATTAATTTTCTGTATATCGTTATCATTTTATCGCCCAGCCCTAGTTTGGATCTTACTTTAGGTGACCCAAACTGCATGAAAAATGTCCTCTTAGATAATTTATGTGCCTGTGGGAAATTCAGAAGTTTTTTCTGATGCTGCAAGAAGGTTGGGCCAAAAGAAAGTCAAGTCCAAATTCAACCTCACCATGAGTCTAAGGGGTCAAATGGTCAAATATCTGACCATAAAGTAGAGGTATATATCTGTGAACTCGCCAGCTTTGTGTATGAATAAGAGAGTGACACACTCACAGCTGTTGACCTTTGACCTCTCAGATGACTCTAAGTTCCATCACAGACGGAGTTCAACTCTCATCTATCTCTGGTTTCCTCTTTAGTTTACGTTCAGCGTACCCTCACAGTGACCGCTCCAAGAACGCCGGCTTCGTGTGGTCGCCGTCTGTGGGTGTGGACGAGCTGCATCAGGGTTTGGGCGTCAGCGTGAAGGTCACAGTCATCAGCGAACACTTCAGAGAGCCGCTCACCTTTACCTGTGACGGTAAGACCCTGAAACGGACATTTGATTAATGTAACTCGTACAGTAGATCCAGTATTCAGCTAAAGTGACAGTGAGTAAATAAAGTTTTCTGTTTGTGTCTCTCTGTGTTTGAGGTTCGTCCACGGTGGACCTGCTCATCTATCAGACACTGTGCTACGCTCAGGACGATTTGGACCACCTGGATGTGGATCACTATCTGATGAAGGTCTGCGGACAAGATGAGTTCCTCAACAAGTAAGAACTCCAAACCCCGCTGCCTCTGAGATCTGATGTTACATTGATTTATCGAGCGGCTGTGGCTCTGCGGTGTTCTCATGACTTTTGCCTAAATCAAACAGTATGTACCCATAAAGATACTAATAATAAGTGAAATATGTTCATATATATTTTCATATTAAAGCCGCATTAACAAGAAACACCTAAATAAATAAGGAATCAGAAATTATATATTTTTTAAATGAATGCATCGAAAGAGATTGTAAAATATTAGCACAGCATTTATTAGCCTCAGAGAAGGTGTTACATTTTTGTGATACTACACATCAGCATGTTTGTTTTTGTTGTGTAGAGCAGGAGTTGTTTGGATTAAAGGATGGTGTGTGTGTGTTCATCTCCAGTGACAAGCTGTGTGAGTTTCAAGTCTGCTTTGCAGCTGAGGCTTTGACACTGTGAGGTGTTAATGCTGATGTTGTGGCTTCACTCTGAGTGCACAGAGTTGTTAACAGGAATCCAGCCCCAGCAGGCAGGTATATAATGGTCTGTGTGTGTTGTGTTGTGATTTGTTAATCATATGAGCAGCTCTGTCTCTGCAGTCTGTGCCTCACACTCTGAGGTCTGTGTGTTCAGGATGGTGAAGTTTGAGAGAAAATAACAACCGCTCTGAGTTTTTGTTTCCCCTCAGAGCAGAAATCAAGAGGTTTTACTACCACCAAGAGTGTGTGGTAGTGTGTTAGAGTGTGTGTTTGTTTTATTGTGTTAATGTGTGTGTTCTGGTCCATCTGTGGTCTGAGCTCCAGACTCATAATAACAGAGTGCTGCTGAGCTGTGGCTGCTGTTAAACCAGCAACACTAATGTGCTAACCACAACACACACACACACACACACACACACACACACACAAACCACTGTAAAGCAGCTCTCTGGGGTTTCATACATACAGTAACATCAGGCCAGAACAATGTGGTACAGCTGCAGCTTGTGTGTGTGTGTGTGTGTGTGTGTGTGTGTGTGTGTGTGTGTGTGTCCTGTCAGTGGAAGTGTGTTTCAGGCTGATAAGCTGTGTGAGGTGGGCCAAACTTCCTGTTCTGAAACAATAACTAAAAACTCTTTCTCTCTCTCTCTGACTTTTTCTTTCTGTCTTTTCTTGTCTTTTTTTCTTGTTTTTTTTTCCTTTGCCATCTTCATCTGTATGTTTCTGTACCTGTCTCTGTCTCTACCTGCTCATCCTCGCTCCTCTTTGTCTTTTTTACCTGGTCTGTCGTAGTTTTTCTCCCTCTCCCTCCTTCACCCCCCCTCTCCCTCTCCCTCTCTTATTCACTGTGTGCATTTATCTCTGTTCGTCAGTCTCGTCCCTCTGGTTTCGTTCTTGATTCAGTTTAACAGCCTTTATTAGCATGAATGCACCTGAACCTTACCGAAAGAGTGTCGGATGATAATGATACAAATAAATGAGAGATTATTTAACAGTGAGTGCTCATCTTCAGTAAATATTTATTATCACACACTTGTTTAATCTGGTTGCCATGGAAATGATTTGGTCATCGTAATATTGAGAATGATATCATTGTGGTAAATCCATGAGTGCAGATTTGTAATCTGTGTGCACGGATTGCAAATCATCTTAGGGCTTATGAACTGTGCACACGAAATAATTTGTGCCCTCCTTTTATTTTCATGACCCGGTGTCTGTGGGACTCCGTACACATCATTTGAAAATGTTTTTTTCCCTCTGGCTGAACTCTTGAGGGGAGGCTGTGGCTCAGTGGTGGACTTGGTCATCAATTAGATGGTTGAGGGTTTGATCCCATGTCCCGCTGTCCACATTACCAAGCATCCTTTGGCCAAACACTTGACCCCATCTTGCTGCTTCGAGTGGTGTTGTACTGATTGGTGCTTTACCTAGCAGCCTCTTCCATCTGTGTGTGACTGTGGTGTGAAGGAGTGAATATGACTTGTTATGTAAACACACTTGGAGAGGTCAAAAGACTAGAGGATGAGCGATGCTAACACAGTCAATTTACTATTTAAATGTTTATTCTGTTATCCTCCTGACCTTCTGTCTCACTTTGTCTTTGCAAACAAATTTTTAAAAATACTTTGTGTTTAAAGGGACCCAGAAAGACTAATGAATTGGGCAGATTTGTGACATTTTTAAGAACTGATGCCGGCACTCATGAGGTTGATTTATAATATCTGCAGACACTGCAGGCAGCCTCCTCAGTGCAGCTGGTTTTAAATCATTTTAATTTGTCCGAAATGACATTTTCTTTTTATTGACAGCATATTAAATCTTAAACTGTTACAGGCAATATAAATTCAGTTATGTTGTATAGAATAATAACAGTACAGTTAAGTGTTTCTCCTGGCATAAATCACAGTGTTCTGTGAGAATCTGAAGCATTTTTTGATGATAGGTGTTGTTACAAAATTTTTGTATTCCATCAAATGCAAAAAAAAAAAAAAAACAACAACAGTAACATCAACAGAGTGACACTGTTTAACATATGTGCCATCAGCCTACCTGATGTCTAATTCCCAGTGTTGGCTGCAGCCGTTGATGACAATTTTGGTCAATGACGAGATATTGATAAAATGACACAAAACATTAACAGAGGGGAAAAAGGTGTGAATAATTTCTCTCTCTGTCTCTCTACCTCTCCTCTTCTCTCTCTCCCTCTCTCTCTCCTTCTCTACCTCTCTCTCAGCTCTCAGACTCTGGCTGGTCTGGAGTTTGTCCAGCAGTGTCTGAAGTTCGACTGGGAAGTACGACTGTTTCTTACCAACAGATCAGCCATCAACACCGAGCTGGCCCGCACGGTATGAGGCTCTGCAGTGATTTATGACATTATTGCAGTATATTACTGTTATATAAACTTTAATACACCTAGATTTATTGTTATATAAATGTTTTATCAGTCTATGATGGTTTTCATTGATAACATAATGATTAACAGACAGAAGGTATAGAAACAGACAAACACAAGAAGGCACCGCATTACACCTGCACAATGACAGTAAAATTAAGGTTATTCTGGGAAAATTTTGTCCTGATATTTTAACTGACAGGCAGCATCAGATCTCATAAAGAGGTAGCAGATTATATAATAACAGATTATAATTTCTAAATATATCACCAGGCTAAGACACATAATAAGACATGTTATCTTGACTGGATCATATTTCAGGTGTATAGTGTACAAAATAACAGGAAAGATTTCTACAATTTGAGAGATTTTAAAAATAAATCCAGCTGTTATTAACATCTGAGTGTGGCATCAGAAGTTTCTGTGCTCTGGCTGCTCTGTTAGTACACCCTACACTTAGCCTGCAAGTCTCTTGAACTTCTTTCAAGAGTGAGGAAGTTATTGTCTATGTGGATCAAAGTGAGAACCATCCGAGGTGAGGAGCATACTGTACATAAAGCATATTTTGTTTCGTACTACTTGAACAGCAAAATCAGATCTATCTCTACTGTTTTTGCCTTCTGATATAACGCACAGTCCATGACTCCACATGCTTTAATAACACAAGCAGGAGACGTGCAGTACTCAAACCAATGTCATGAAATGGATCTGAGTGCTTCATACGTGGATTCTTTTATTGTATCAGAGACTGCAGTGTGCTGTCCCATCATTTTGATTTAATGACAAACCAGAGCTAGTTAGATTTCAACTTTAATTAGACTCCCCAATGTCATAAAAGATGATTATCAAGACTGAATGATTATTGTGTCCCTTTTACACCCTCTCTCTCTTTTCCATAACAGCAGAGCATGGGTGTTGCCCCTCCCTTTAAACAGCTTTCTTTTTCACTTCATCTTTACAAGCTTTATTCTATATGTAACCAAATTTGGGAGCACCAGGAAGTTGCTGCCCCTGCTTAGATTAAAAATAGAATTAACATATTACTTAAAAAACAATATCCAGTTCAACAGACAGACATGCTTTAGTAGACAAAAACAGAGAGCAGCAACCATCAGTATAAATCACAATAATGGTATACAGCAGAGTTATTCATTTTATATTTTTTATTGTCTCAGTCTGTAGAAATGTTGTTTTTTTGTAGAGCATGCATCCAAACTAGCATCTAACATTAATCCAACAAGGTCAGCATGACTCATTAAGTGGAGTCCTTTGATAAATGGTGAGGGTGAATTTAAATGAGCACGGTGCCTTGAGTTTGAGTAGACGTAAAAGTCACTGAGGATTGAAGTGTGAAGAGCAGGTACTAAAGAAGGTTTTAGTAGCAGGTACTAAAAGACAAAGAGTGGATTATTATCCCGTAATTATAGTGATGTTTGTAAAACTCTCACCTGTCATCAACAGAAAGAAGACGATGACACCTTATCCACCATGAACCACAGCATACTACTGCAGGAGCGACCAATCAAACAGACCGTCACAAGGTGGGGAGCTCAAGAGATGCAAATGTTTGATTATTATTCACTGTGTTGATTATAAACAAATGAGTTATTTACCTGGAGGAATAAACACAAGTCTGTTTTATTTTCATGTCTCTTTCTATATGATCAGGGAGGCTTTAACTCTACTGCTCGACACTTTTCACAATGAAGCCGAGTCCTTCCTGCTGTCAGAGGTAACGCACACACACCTACACGCTCTCACACATGTAAATCTGTACCTGTGAAGATCCTACCTGAAATGTCTTTGACAGAGCTGCCAGGTAGACGTGTCCTTAAGCATCATCCTAATGTCTGGAGCTTGTGCTTCCATCTTTGTGTCTCGTGTTAAAGGACTTTGATGTGGTTTATCCTGGACATCCAGCAGTGTGACATTGTCCTCATGTATTTGCATGTGGATCATTACAACTGGGTCCTCTTTGAAATGGATAAAGCCTCTTACCTGTACATGCCTAAGGAATAAAGCATTTAAGACGTATCAGACAAACTAGTGACATTTCAGCTCAGCTCAAACCCATTTTTATTACCGCAAGAGAATCAGTACAAAGCCCTTTACAAAACAACAAAGAGAGGACAAAAAGAGAGGAACCTTGAGCTTGCCTGTCAATCCTAAAACCTCTGAGACTAGAAAACAAGTATCAGTAGGTAAAACAAAAACACAGTTTCTTATCAAGGTTTCAGAACCAATTTGAATATTGAACTTTCTCCCACACACAGTTTAAATGTCACCAGATTAACCCACTCACCTCTGTCTCCCGTCTTTTCCTCTGCAGGTAGAACTGCCGCTGCATGTGGAGCGCCTCGTCCAATCAGTGAAGGCGCTCTGTAGCTCGTTAGCTGCTGTGGAAACCCCCGACGTGACCTCTGCCCTCAGTCAGCTCCCAGCATGCCCCTGTCGTCTGCAGCCCAAGGTCCTCAAGGTGAGAGAAGCTGCAGAAGTTCAGATGGAGTTTTAACTGTCTTCTAAAGACAGGAGGGTCTTCGCTCTGACACTCAGCTTGATGACTTCTAATCAGATTCGTCTCTTTCATTTGTTTCTCTTTTCCCAGGATGCTTCAGTGCTGGCTGTCAGAGAGAACAGAGGTATGAAAAACACACAACACTGACTAAATATAAGACGCAAAACTATGTTAAGTTGTCTATCCAAATCTTTGAATAGACTCCCTCTTATGTTTTAGATAAATATCATGAATGAATCTTTGGCTGATTATATATTCTTTACTTTGGCGGACATATATTTATTTGACATTCTTGTCTGACAGACAAAGTGGTGGAGAAATTAACAGCCGCCATCTTGGATCTGGTGGAGCTGTACTGCAGCACCTTCAACGCCAACTTCCACACCACGCCCCAGAGCCAGAGCTTTACAGCGCCCATCCAGGAGGCGGGGCTGGTCACCAACGTGTTGTCGTTCAACGTGTACGCCGCTCATCGCATCCCCATCACCTGGGCCGCCAGGTACAACCACATAAACACATGCAAATACAGCCACACTCACACAGCATCACAACATAGTGGTGTTGTTGAAGAGGCTTTCTGCTGGTGTCCCCTGCAGGCTACAACGAATACTACAGCCTCAGTTAGAACAAACAGAGTGATGATTCAGCTGATCTCACACTTAGAAACAAAAGCAGCTCAGACTGAGAGGTGCTGCCCCTCCCCCAGACACACACACACACACACACACACACACACACACACACACACACACACACACACACACACACACAGGCACTGCTGTAACAAAGGGCTGACTGCCTGGGAACCAGAGCTGACCTTTGACCTTAGAGAGGAGGCCTGGCACCTGGCTGTCAGCATCACACACCATCTGTGTGTTTGTGTTTGTGTTTGTGTAGTGATGGTATTTAACTGAGCATGTTTACTATAATAACCATGTATTAATGGAGTATTATTCGAGTATTTTTGAAGTCTGACATTTGTAGAAGTATTTCTATGTCTTGCCACTTTTAACCTCACTACATTAAGCAGCCAAGTCCATGTGTGAGAGAGCCAGGTGAGGAAAAATAATCAGGTTCCCTCTCTCAGGTTGGGTCTGAATTGTGCCTTAATGTTTTAATACAGTACGTTTATTGACATCTCTTTGAAAAGGCATATTTCAAGTGTTTGTTGTTGTTGTTGTAATACTTTTTCTGTCCACAAGAGGCTGAAGTGCAGCTCTCCTCACAGCAGCCAGACAAGACAGTCATTTATGAGAACAAGACTACAGTGGACAGACCACTTTTGTAGACACCAGGCTATCTCTCTGTTGGTTTGAGCCCCTTCACACATGCACACCTGGAAAATTTTCTAAAGTACTTGTTTCATGGAGCTTCACTTTGGTGTGGAGAGGGGGGTCTGAAGTGGTGGGACATGGTGCAAAAAGGACACTGCTGTACTCACAGTGTACAAGATATTCTAGACTTCTCATAAAGCCTTTCTCAACGGGTCTGACTCTATGGTGATGTTTTTTGTCTTTTCATGCTGCATGTAATTAAGCGTCTTCACATTAGGGCTGTCACAGTGTACCGTTACTGATGGTAACCATCTTTTCTTGTTGTGTGTAAAATAAGCACATAGTTATGATGTTATCAAAGTCGTGGTCCTTTGTGATGGTTAAAGGAGAGATGAAGGAGAAGCAGCAGCTGCTAGTGAGCTAGCTATAGCATCCCTCTGAGAGATGATTAGACACTTAAATATACTGACATTCACAGATTAATTATGAATTAAAAAATAAGAGGTTATTATCTTGTAGGATACAAAAGCATTTGAGACTGATTAAACACAAAGTAACCATAATATTCGTATAATCAGTTTAAGTCTTCTGTATTGAGTCAGTGGTTGATAACAGCTTTAGAATCTTAAGTTTTACTTTAAGTTTAAGATGTCACAACTTTAACTTGTTCAGGCTCAGGATGTTGAATTTCTGTCAAACTTAAACACCTCTTTTGTCTTCTTCTTTTCACTGCTCTCTGATTGGTCAGTTACGAGGGGTTCTTCCTGTCCTGCTCTCTGACCCATGGGGGGGTGGAGCTCTGCGCGCCGCAGCACACCAGCAAACAGTCGGTCAGCAAATACCTGTTCCACCTGGTGATGTGGGACCAGAGGTATGTAGTGTCGCCTCTCGCTCTGTGACATCATCCAAATGTTTTCAAGCTGCACCCCCCTTGAAACGTATATGTCTCTGTGTCTGTGTGTGTGCTTGCAGGGTGTGTTTCCCGGTGCAGATCAACCAGCTACCCCGGGAGTCCCAGCTGACCGTGACCCTGTACGCCAGCTCACTGCCGCCCCCTGGAGGAGCGGAGGAGAAGGGGAAGCAGCGGCGCAGCATCGAGGCTCTTGGCTGGGTCACCATGCCGCTCTTTAACTTCAGACAGTGAGTCACATAAGCCTCTGACATAGAAATCTGCAGGGTTACTGCTGCGCCTGGTCAGCTGTTTTCCTCTGTTCTCTGTGTGTGTACTAAGCTGAGTGAACCAACCTTGGTCTGGAAAAAGTTTGATTGTTTTAGATTATTTCTAAATTTGAGATAAATTCTGACCTTGTTTCGAAACCTCTTGTCATTGTTTGGTTCACGAATTCCCCCTTCTCCCCTCGCTAAGATGTGAAGCCTTTGTGATGTCATTTCCTCCACTGCAGTAGGTCACTTCCTGCTGATGAGGCGTGTGCGTTGACTGATAAGAGTGTGTGTTTGCGTTTCTGCAGCATCCTGACGTGTGGCAGGAAGTTACTTGGCCTGTGGCCTTCAACTCCAGGGAGCGGGAACGCCCGGACCAGCTCGCCCAACTTCAGCCAGCCGGACAGCGTGATCCTGCAGGTCTTGCTCTGTCTGTTATTCCTACTCCAGACCACGCTTAGAAAAGTATTTCACAGCTTTAGTGACACTGGTATTGTGACTGACAATTAAAGTTTTGACATATTTTGAGGAGATGTAGATCCGACTTTGAGTTCAGAGCAGATTAATGAGGGAGCTGCAAAGAGCTGATACTGACTATTAGAGAGTCTACGACACACACTGAGTCAGGTACAGCTCAGACGACCAGTGTAATGAACAGTCTGAGCTCAGACAAACACACATTAGCTTTCTCTGTGTGAATGTGCTGAATGAGCTGTAAGTAGCAGAACTTAGCCATAAATATACCTCCACACTGGACCCCTATATGTTTGTTTTCTAATTCTGATCCATTTTAGATGATTTTTGCTTGAAATAGGGTTTTAATTATCAGCAGTGATATGGATAGACTTTGGATGTAGTAAGTCCTAAGGACCTACAGGATAAACAGTTGTTTAGTCAGGTTTATTTAAAAAGTACGTTAACCTTTGAAAATAGTTTATTTTATAATCATGGCAATACGTTTAAAAAAGTTTCCTTTCAGAGTTTACTGGGACACAGTGGTAGAAGGATATGTGCAGAGGTCATTTGAAGTCAAGATAGACAGCATGCACAAGTATATGTGCAAATTTAAAGCCAATTTAGAAACAGATATAGAAAAAGAAAAGGTGTATTTGAGTTTTTAGGACAGACACTGTCCAGTATCTGATTATTCTCTGATGTTTCTAGCACTCTGAAACTAAAACACAACATGCTGAAGATTTTCATTTTTCCTCCTACCTCCTTAAAGACAGCGAAGGAATTATGTTTGAAAGTTTCTGATTGTTAATTTTAAAAAGAAAACGTGAGAAATTGAATATTTGGTCCCAGAATTAGTTTTTTTTCCAGATCGGCAGCTAAGATTTGTGACGATATGTTAATAGTGATATTTTTATACCCTCACAAAAGCCCTCATTAAAAAGTAGGATGATTTTACAATCAGGAAAATAAAATGCCATCTTGTATTTCAAACCATCAGGGTGCCTTTGTTACATTATCTATTTCTGTGTACTACTGTCTACCATGTAACCTAGCAACAAAAAAAGCTGTTTCTTCAACCTGCTGGTCCGACACCCGCCCCCTCACGGCAGTTTCAGGTTTAAAATATGACAAATGAAAAATATTCAGCCTTGTTGCTGAAAGTCTTTTGCTTGTGTCAGTTTAAGCCTGTTTTTCAACCGCTTCAAAACTCTTCATAAGACATTTAATCATGTGAAAATGCAAAGATGTGGTTAATAGAGCAGTACTTTAGAATTCTGAACTTTTAACAATCCTCCTAATATACTGAAGCTCAGCTCTCAGCCTCCTCTGACAGTTTGTGTCTTCCAAATAACAAGAAATTAGGTCATTCATTTGTTTTGCATGTCAATAAACGTGCTGTTTTAACTTCAGCTGTGAGATGTTTTAAAGCTGGCAGCATAATTGAAGTATAAATGTACACATCTTGATAAATTTCATTTTTGATCACTGGAGGAAAAATAGTTTCGTTCATGCTTGTATTTTTGTGTTTTGCTAGTTTTCCATTTCCACACTAACTTAGACCTAGACTAAATTTCTATTTAATTTGTTTATCTGAGATATGAGTAAGCTGTATAAGTAGACGTATGCTGAATAACCTCATGTTGTTTTCCATGTCTGTGAGTTTGTATCTGGCGCCTCCTGGTGTGTGTGAAGTGATAGACACACAGTCAAAGTGTAAACCTGCAGGCGCTACAACTAGCCCCAGTTTCATCCACATAGATGGAGAGAAAGAGGGGAAAAAAAGATTTTTTTTAAATTTTGAAACATTTAACAGAAGCTTGATTTTAGTTTTTACATACACTCACACACACACACACACACACACACACTTGCACACATACACACACAGTGTGAGGCTGTAAGTAGGTCAGTCCAAATCTCTGACTCTTTGTTTCAGTGCAGTCGACTGAATCAGCATCAGTTTTTTTCCTGATTAAAATCTCATTTAAGTTCAGGAAAGATCAAACACACACTCACTTACACAAACACACACAAATACACACAGACACACACTGCTCTGTCCGAGGCATCCTTGGTTTCAAAGGAATATTCCACCTGTATGTGTTTTGTGGAGGAGAAAGAATTTGTTGGATTTTCAGATTTATAACCAGAGCCTTGAAGAATTAAAGAAATGAAACACGTTTGTAAAAGATCTACATCTTTGGATCGACTTTGGCTTCAGGGCAACATGAATTGGCCTCCAGAGTCAATTAGACCCAAATATAAAGTATAAAAACTGTGCATCAATGAACTAAACATACCAGACAGCAGGTTTTGCTGAGAGTGATGATTTTCCAGGTTGAAAATGAAAAAAAAACTGATCTGTAATCATCCCAAAGTGAGGAATTTTTGAGCTCCATTAAAAGATAGATGTCTGTGTGTCTGTTTCAGGTGGACTTTCCCACTTCATCTTTCGAGGTCCGGTTCAGTACACCTCCTCCTGCAGACTTCTGCCCTCAGTACGACTTCTCCAGACTGGACACCATCAGTCAGATCCAGCTGCAGGATGTGCTGCACAAAAAGGCCTTCTTCTGGTCAGACACACACACACAGACACACACACACACACACACACATTACAAAAAGTATGTTTAATAACAGTTTCCTGGTGTCTGCCAGACAGGCTTTATCTGCAGAGGTGTAGCAGAGAGGAGCAGGTGAGGGCAAGATAAAGCGGATGCAGCAAAAAATCAGACATGGGTTTTCATTTCATGGAGATAGCACCTTCACCTTCTGATGTTTGTGTATCTTTTTTCATAAAATGAAGCTGAGGAATTTTCTGATGGTTATTGGTCTACAGAAAAAGCAACTTAAACTGTGCTGTCATCCTCTGATCAGGATTAGAGGGGGAGCTGAGCTGGGCTAAAAGCTCAAGTGAAATACACTTTAAATTCCATAAACCAGAACAAAGCAAACAGAGGAAGACCTGTTTACCAACAGAAACAGAGGAAGGGTAAATAAAGGGCGTCTCAAACGAATGGGGTGTTGATAAAGTTGGCCTGTAGCAGATTTATTATCAGCTGGCACAGCTGCAGGAGCGTCTGATGTGCACACAGATCTTCTACAGTGAAGCTGAGTCAGCAGACAGAGATGCTCCAAACAGTCTGATAGAGACCATAATTCACAGAAATAGGTTTTTAAATGATGCAGTTATTACAGAGTTATTACATGAAATTTAAACGAAAACCTGCAAGACACCTTTCAGTTTTCTGTTTCCAAACAACAAAAATTAACTTTCATTAAAAAAAATTCTGCTTTTTTTAATTAAATGAATTAATTTTAATTAAAAAAATAATAATAATACTCAATAAATAATCAGTGTAGCACATTAGAAATAAAATGGGTGTACTTATAAAACCTGGTGCTTTGTACATTCTCTCTATGCATTTATTAATTATATTTTCGCAGGACAGAAATATTTTGGGAGCTTCAGAGTTCGTAGATCAGTGTATGTTGACTCTGCAGTGTCTCTGCAGGTTGACGGCGGAGGATAAGCGTCTGCTGTGGGAGAAGAAGGCTTTCTGTCAGGCTGAGAGCGCAGCACTGCCTCTGGTTCTGGCCAGCGCCCCCTGCTGGCAGTGGGCCTGTCTGCCTGACATCTATGCCCTGTTGAGGCAGTGGGCCTGCCTGAGTCACCTGGACGCTCTGGGGCTCCTCCACGGCTCGTACGTTCCCCTTTATCTGTCTGTTTACCTCTCTATGTGCACGTAAATTACATTATCATGTCTACCTGAGTGACATCAACACGTCTGTGTTTCAGGTTCCCTGATCAGGAGCTAAGGAGGACAGCAGTCCAGTGGATGGACTCCATCTCAGACCCAGAGCTGCTGGACTTCCTGCCTCAGCTTGTTCAGGTAAAGTGAGGGCTGAAATCAGAGGCTTTTATTTTGTTGATTGCAGGTAGCTCTTGCTTTTATTTTGTAAAATCTCCTAAATTGTGAATAATGACACTCCCCTGTTTATGACTCTGTTGAAGTCGTGTTTTGGTATCATCTCTCCTTTAAAATGAATATTTCACTTACTGTTAAGCTCCTGTGATTAAAATGATTTCCAGTGGGTTTATAAGACTGCAGACAGTAAATTTAAGTAACTTCCCTCATTATGTTTCACTGAGATCAATAAAACAGTTATTCAAATACCAAGGATTCAGAAATTCAGACACCAACTAATCAGGTGAAAGAAGAGCAGAAACTCTAATGCTCTGTGAGTTTCATTTACAGCTTCAGTCACAGTCATTTGGTGTGTTTAGAGAGAGATCAGCTGGTAGTGTCAAAAAATCCTTCTCTATTTCTGCAGGGATCTTTTCTGTTGTTCTGTAAGACTCTTAAGAAGCAGAAACAAGAGCTTCAGTGAATGACTTTAGTAAGGAGCATTAGCACTTTTAGGTAGATTAGGTCACAGTTCTTACAGTCTGTTGTACTTTTCCGGAGTGAAGCAGATTACTGCAGCAGTTACTGAAGATTTTATGCTTTTCAGCGGCTGACATCTCAGATTATTTCAGATTATTTCAGTCCATCTACCAATTGAGGGCGCAGGAGTGAAGCCAGAGTTGAGAGAAGGCGTCTGTAATGTGCTGCACTTGCTCTCTGATATCTGTTCATAAAAAGTTAGGTCTTCATGATGATAAAAGAGTTGTATTAAGGTGAAGTGGTTCAACTGTTTGCTCTGCACGAACCCGTGTAAAGTCAAAACCTGTTGAAACACTGTAGAGCCAGTTAAGCTACAAAAACCTCTATATAATGTCTCCACATTCAGAGTCTGTAAGAAACAAAGAGCTGTTTGTGTTTTTATTTGAGTATATGCATACAGCAGGACTTTTAGTGTGTCTGTCTCCAGAGCTGATCCTGATGAACCTTTTCTTTTCGTCTTCATGTTTCAGGCTCTGAAGTATGAGTGTTACCTTGACAGCTCTCTGGTTCGTTTCCTCCTACGACGAGCCATCGGGGACGTTCGCATCGCTCACTACCTCTTCTGGTAAGCAGCTGTCTGACCTACAGGAACACACAGAGTTAGCTGGAGTCTGATAGAAACAGAGGTCAGTGTGGACAAGGGATAGTTTAGCTCATTTTAGTGTGGTTCTGTGAGAGACAAATCTGGAGTCATAAGGGGATGAGAACCAGGACAGAAGCTAGACAGGGTCTCTGTGGGGGTTAAATAGAAACACAGAGAAGAGACTGAGTGTAACAGAGGGAGTCTTAAATGAGCAGCAGATATTTGTTATTCGACACGGCTGAAATGATGTCTGATCAGGACTTTGATTGGGGTCAGGTCCTTGTTAAGTCAAGAAAATTTACACCAGAAAAATAACCTCTTAACTCTCAGCAATGATGGATTTCAGTGAGTTTGTCTTTTCATAAAAACATAAAAATATAATATAAAAATACATAAAAAATGTCTCTCAGGCTGCTGAAGGACAACCTGCAGGACAGTCAGTTCAGCGCTCGCTATCAGCACCTGCTGGCCGCTCTGCTCTGCTGCGTCGGCAGAGGTCTCCGAGAAGAGTTCGACCGTCAGTGCTGGCTCGTCTCCGTCCTCACCAAAGTGGCTCACAAAGTTCGGGACGCCACACCGTCCAGCAGACAGGTGAGGGAACAGAATAGTCCTAAAGGCTCTTCATAAAATCAGAGAATGAAAAGAGAAAGTTTTTGATTGTTTTTGTTTTCTCCTGTTAATTTGTTTTGTTGTGTTTTATTTCTTCACTGTTGTTTTTTGTTTTGTTGTTAGTTTTTTCCTTTTTTCTTAAAAAAAAACAGATCATTGCAATTCTAGTTGCCTTCTGGAAAACCTTGAAAAAATAACATTAGCTCTCTTCAAAAAAAAACACTTTAATCATTATTTGAATGTATTTTAAGTCCAGCTCATTTTTGACACGCAGTGTTTTGCCCCTGAAACAATTTAGTTTGCTGTATAGTTTTAGAGAGATAAACATAAAAAATATTCCCCCGTGGGACACTGCTAATTTATAATGAAACAAACAAAAAATAACATTTGACCAAAAGATTTGCTGATTTTATGTTTGACACTTTGATGAAAATGAATATTATCCTTCACATTTAAATTGTTTCTGACTCCTTTATGTTTTGTTTCAATGCAGTGACAGTCCAGCAGAGGGCGACATGTCCATAACAAACAGACACTGTGATATCAGCACGTTAGCTTTAATGATACAGGATAATAATAGGAATAATATATAAGGCATGTATTTATGTGCTTCAGAGTGTCCTCAAGGAGGGTCTGGAGGAGATGAAGCAGTTTTTTGCCATGAACAGCAGCTGCAGACTTCCTCTGAACCCAGCGCTGCTCGTCACAGGGATCAACATCCAGGTACTGAACCAGACACACGCCTCTACACCCATCTACCCTATTCATCTGTTACCACACACACACACACACACACACACACACACACACACACACACACACACACACTGTCAGAAAAAAACAAGCAGTTTGAAAATGCATGTCTAAACTTTCAGTTCTCCGCTTTGTTCCCAAAAGTTTTTTTTTTTTTCTGAAATGTGGTTCAGACGTTTTCATAAATCAGCTGTCATCAGCAAAAAATGTCTAGGAACTTCTCAAAATATGAAGTATACTCAGGAGCAAAAAACAACTTTTTATTCTGTTCGCTACACAGTCCAGTTACCAACTTTTTTTGTGCGTTTGTGTGCTCAGATCAAATGTGATGCTGCAGACCAGTCAAAAGTCAAGCTTTTTCGGGTCCATCCTCAAGAGGACCAGAAATCAATTTTGAAAAAGTTTGCTTGTTGATCGGAGGTCAGATCTGATGCATTCAGGGAAGTCAGGAAATCTGAACACTGTCTTCAGCAGTTTAGTATCTCAGTGTGAATGTTTGATCTGGGACAGATTGTTTGCCAACTTTCTTGCAGATATTAGAAATCCTCCCCACACCACCAGCAATGGCAGCTGGGATGTCATTGTGTCGACTTTTTTGTTCTGCCTGCTTTTGCTCTCCACACAGGCAGTATTTACATGTAGTAGAGCTTTGTTTGTAGACTTTTTTTTAAAGGTTACTGAAGTGTTTCTAACTGAAATCCAGTGATTTTTTGTTTGTTTTCATCAGAACTGTCTCTTTTCTCTGTTTTTCAGTCGTGCTCCTTCTTCAACTCCAATGCCGTTCCCCTCAAACTGTCCTTCCAAAACCTCGACCCTCTTGGTGACAACATCAGCGTCATCTTCAAGGTGAGACGTCACACCTGTTTGTCTCCCTCCAGTCTGGTTTTAATAAGCTGACCTTTGACCCTGATGTCACTGTATCTGTCCAGTCAGGAGACGACCTGCGGCAGGACATGCTGACCCTACAGGTGATCCGGATCATGAATAAGATCTGGATCCAGGAGGGTCTGGACATGAGGATGGTCATCTTCAAGTGTTTCTCCACTGGGAGAGGGCGAGGTGAGGACGGCTCAGGAGTGAACGTGGTTACAGGGGTAGACTTTATATAGTACGGTTAAAGGTGTATACCATGAAGGACAGGTATACGCCACATGTGGACAGGTGTTGACTGATCTGGGCATAGTTTAGGTTTTAACGTAAGGCGGACAGGTGTACAGAGGAACCACAGGTGTTTACTAAGAGGGCAACACAGCTGGAAGAGTGTATATAAAAGAGGACAGGTGTGTCTGACAGGGGGACAGGTGAGAACCACGTAGACATCACAGGAGCACCAAAGGAGTACAGGTGTATCCCACCACATACCAGTCTCTGGAAAGGTATGATTGACAGGTGTGTTGTCACCTGTTCTCAGGTATGGTGGAGATGATCCCTCACGCCGACACCTTGAGGAAAATCCAAGTGGAACACGGAGTCACGGGGTCGTTCAAAGACCGACCGCTGGCTGACTGGCTGCAGAAACACAACCCTACTGACGAGCAGTACGACAAGGTAAACACGCCTGAGCACACACCTGGACATGCTGCGATCAGTGCAGGTCCCTCCTGAGGAAACTTAAACTGTATTTCCTGTTTAATGTAGATGTTAAGTTGGAAACTCATGAATCATCTTAGTTCACCATATCAGGTACAACTGTAACTGCTCTGACTCTGAGCTACAGGACTCACCTGATTCACCTGAGCAGTATTCTTACCCTGCAGGAGGAGCCGTCCATCACTTACATAAGGATAAGCTAAAATAGGAGAATGTAAATACGATAAACCCAGAAATACTCTCTCTCTGTGTCTGTTCAGGCGGTGGAGAACTTCATCTACTCGTGTGCCGGCTGCTGTGTGGCGACGTACATCCTGGGAATCTGTGACCGCCACAATGACAACATCATGCTGAAGACCAGCGGTCATATGTTTCACATCGACTTTGGGAAGTTCCTGGGACACGCGCAGATGTTTGGAAACATTAAACGGTGAGGGGTTATTTTCACATCTTAATACAGTACACAGAGACAAACATGTAGAGTTGCCCCTGGTATAGTATGATATATAGTATAATATAGCAGTATAGTATAAATATAGTACAGCATACTGTAGACCGGGGTTAGTGAGAGACGATTAGAAACTGTGTGCTTGCATAAGGATTTGGTGTCACAGGTGCAAGGAAGAATACATAAGAGGAAAAGGATGTAGGATGATGGATTAACAGAAACAACTGTGTATCTTGAGATGTGGATCAAACTCGGCCCAGGAGAGGACCTGGTTCCTCTTTTTCAAAATCCCAAATCACTAACATTTGATCTCATCATTGCTTTGACAGAGTCTCACAGGACTCTTAATGATATACCTCGTTTGGAGCCACAGTTAATCAAATCACTGCTGCGTACATCCAAACTGAAGATAGACTTATTTCTGTGTTTGCTGAAGAATCAGGCTGATTATTGACATTTGACCTAATCAATATGATATCAGCATCAGCCCTCACAAGGTCCATATCACCATCATCTTTCCTATATGATGACACATTTTTCCACCCTGAATTACAGCTTATCAAATCTGAAACAGCCGCTGGCTAGAGTTTGATTCAAATTCTGTTTTAATGTCTTTAACAGTAACACTGCAGTTTAATATTGCTTCTGGCATAAATATCAGCCATGTTTTGAAATCTGTAGGATCACCCAGTGTATTAGCTTTTCCATTTATTCATTAAAACTGTGTCTATTTCTTCTTGGTTAGCTATGACAACCCTGCAAACAAGAGTTTAATGTGCATGAAATAATTCATTTGAACTCTAATATTGACTAATTTTTTATCTATGTATGTTTTTCTTTATACTTTTCTTACTATTGAACAAACAAGATGGTTGCATCATATGTTGAACAATAAAAGCAGTACATTAAATGTGATATGCTCTACAAAAGCGTTTCATATCAGCTGATTTTCCAGAATTAAATACATTTCTGCTCTTTAGACTGTGTGAGGGAGTTAGAGGACTATTTGAGACAGTCTGGCAGCCTGTGTGCGTCTACTGCACACAGTCTGTTTAGTGTGTCTCATGTAGGATAACTTGCCACTTTCTAACCTGTGACTTCTGCTCTGCAGGGACCGAGCTCCCTTCGTCTTCACCTCCGACATGGCGTACGTCATCAATGGAGGAGACAAACCGTCGAGCCGCTTCCACGACTTTGTGGATCTCTGCTGTGAGGCATACAATCTGATCAGGAAACATACACACCTGTTCCTCAACCTGCTGGGCCTGGTGGGTACAACACACACACACACACACACACACACACACACACACACACACACACACACACACACACACACACACACACATACATACGGAGTCCTGCAGCTGGAACAATATCTACCATGTTCATTAACATGCACAAACCTTTTCAAAACTGTAAAGTTCTGTAAAAATGTGTTTTTTCTTAAGTATCATAATAACAGCATGTATGTGTGTGTACGTGTGTGGGTGTGTTTCTGTAGATGTTGTCCTGTGGGATCCCTGAACTCTCTGATCTGGATGACCTGAAGTATGTTTATGACGCACTGAGACCTCATGAGTCAGAGGCCGACGCCACCATGTACTTCACCAGGTACACAGATTTACACACACCAGGGTTACCATGTGAACTAAAATGATCCCAGTTACTTTTTCATGCTGTGAAGTCAAATAGTCCCAGGGCTGAGGGAAATCCATGTACACTTCTTAATTTTCTGATTTAAAAGCTGCTGCAAGAAGAAAAAAAGAAAAGGGGAACTGTGGAGGTGAAGGGATAGAGGCAAAGTTCTGCCTCGTTATAGTTCATATTCAAAACAAAAGTGAAAGTCACATGAACATGTTGTTTTGAAGTCGATAAGAGATGTAGGTTCTGATAGAGCCTCTTTCGACAGCCTGTTTTTGTCAGACTGGTTTCCTGCTGATAAACTGTTCTCATGATTCTCCTCATAGATTAATCCAATCAAGGTGATTATCTGCAAACATACCACTGATCATAATGTATAGAAACAAAAACCATGTCTCACCCAAACACAAAGAACTCGTCCTAATTCTGTCAGTACAGCAGTATTTAAAAAACAAGGTTCCCACTGATCTTTAAAAAGTCCAACAAAGTCTAAACTAAGTTTTGGAAGTTTAAGGTCATCAAACTTTTTACTCAAGAGAGGTCATGAATATGAGACGTTACATGTTAGAGACATTTTCAAATCTAAACTGTCTAAATACAGTTTTATCCTTCTTGCTGTTTGTGGATCTGCTTGACAAAAACGGGTTTTACAGCTGCATATTTTGTTCGTATTCACAGCAAAGGAAGTGAAGATGAAATTATGCAAAGTTGGAGAAACTCCGCTTCCAGTTAGACATGCAGGCAGTGAGATGACCTACAAGAAAAGCTATGAAAGCTGCTCTACAATGTGGTTAAAGATACCCAACCTGTGTCAGCTGACATTTGTTCTGCTGTGTAAAAAAAAATGATGTTAATTTTTCTTTTCCTGGTCTTAAAAAGTCTTATTAAAATAAGTGCAGCAGCTTTGATCGCTGAGTAAAAGAAAACAAAGAAGAATAGTCAGGTTAAGTGTGCGCACAGAGACTCAGACTCAACCCTCTCACCTTCCTCTCTGTGTGATCTCTCACAGGTTGATCGAGTCCAGCCTCGGCAGCGTCGCCACCAAACTCAACTTCTTCATCCACAATCTGGCTCAGATGAAGTTTGCCTCGTCAGAGGATCGTCCCACGCTGTCGTTCGCACCCAGACTGCACACGGCGAAGAGCGATGGCCTCATCAGGAACCTGTACATCTGCAGACACATCCGCACCTCCAACCCCAGCAAAGGATACGTGAGTACAGCTCCACACATGAAGGCGCACTGCGCACATTATTTCTTCAACCTTTTTTATGAGTGACAAAATGATTTTAACAGATTAAATCAACAGAACATGTGGGGAAACAGCTCCGTGCGCCAATGTTTGAGTTTCACAGGTGCCAATGGGGATTGTTTTTTTTTTTGTCAGGCGTTCGTGGTGAAGGTGGAGCGAGAGGGTCAGCAGGAGGTTCAGCTGGTTCAGAGAACATTTGAAGAGTTTCATGAACTTCACAGCAAACTCAGACTCATCTTCCCCTCATCTAAACTACCCAGGTACACACACTCACTCACAACAGAATCACAGCTGCGTGTACCTGATCACAAACTGTTCTTAAAAATAAGGATAAAAATCAAGTAAAGCGGTTATCTTATTTGCTCTTTGTCCCTCCCAGTTTCCCAAGCCGCTTTGTGATTGGCCGGTCCCGTGGCGAGGCGACAGCTGACAAGAGGAAGGACGAGCTGAATGGTTACGTCTGGCATCTCATCCATGCTGCCCCTGAGGTTGCTCAGGTAAGTCATTCACGCTCAGACACGAAGATAAAAGTGAGCTGTTTCTCTTATTTTTTCATTTGAAGCTCCTCTGAGGATTTTCTATGACATTGTGAAAGAGACTGAACTTCACATTGACCGCCCTTTATGACACACAAAAGCAGAAAAAAAAAAGTGTCAAAATTAATCATGAATATGCTGTAATCAGAAATGCCTGAAGCTATTGGAGGGGGGCGGTGTCAGTAGGCTGCTCAAGAAACACTTCCCACCTCAAATATTCACAAAAAAAGATAAATAATGTAAGACGAAGCTAATAACTCACTGCACAAAGGTGAGTGATCATCATTACTGGCTGCTACAGAAAATACTTGAACAACACAACACCTTTAGCACATATGAAAAAGTTTTCCAAATGAATACATGAAAGATCTTTTGAACGTATTCAAACAACTGTGGTGCACAGAGATGATATTTACTGCAGTTTGCATGTGCTTTGTGAATTACACCATGTGCTTTTGGCTCATTTGTGAATGTTTAATGAGTACAAAGCTAAGCTGTGTTTTTTCTAACAAAAAATCAGGCCCTCCTTGTGTATTGATGCACAGTCAGTTTAGAAATATGGCTTGGCTTGAATAATTGGATTTACACTATGAAGGTCTGTTCTCATTTAGTTTCCTTCGTGTAAGAAATATCGCAAAGTTTATTTGATTTCAATATTGATTAGGACTTTCCCTTTTCCACTATCATAAAATTATGGAAATCGGGTCTAAACGGTATTGTGTTTCTGCTAAAGTTAAAGGTGGACCATGTTGGAAAAGCAGTACAAACTATCAGGCAGCTACAGGTGGAGAAAGAAGAGCAGGGATCAGAGCTGGAGGATGAGCAAATGAAGCATTATTACATGGTCCCTTTCAGTAGTAGTACATGTAACTTCATGTCATCCAATTTGACTGACAGACATGCTTTAGAAAATAAAGAGGCTATACAGTTATTTTTTTTAGTTTTGAAGTCTGTGTAAATTAAAGTAACTGTCGTGTTTGCCATAATTGAGCAGCCCAACATTTTGCCACATGAACTCTTGACAGCTTTTAGATCATTTCAGGACGTTCAGTCGCTGAGCTGCGTATGTGTTCTATACATGGTGTAACTGCAGCTGCTGTTTTGGTCAGTATCAGTGTTCATGTATTGTGTTTCAGTTTCTGAAGTTTCATTTTAACTCAGCCGTTTCTTGGAAACGTTCTCAGAGGGAGGAAACGTATCAGAACACGCACACACACACACACACACACACACACACACACACACACACACACACACACACACACACACACACACACACACACACACACAAGGGTGTGGATGGCTGCTGTATCAGGTCTTTCCAGTTTTAGAAATTTGGCATGTTGAAGGACGTCTGCTCTCAGCAGGTCACAGCTCACTCACACTGAACTTCATATCATTTCACATGTTATGTCATCAGAAAATACTGTTTTATTAATATCTCTATTATTATTTTTAGATATCTGCACATGTTTTCAAGTAAAGCACGTTCAGCTTCTGTCATCTGAGAGCAGCTTTATTTAGATCCCTACATTATTCTGCAGACACTCCCCGTCTGCGAGTCCAGAGTCTCTGAAATAATAAGCTTTATTGACTTCCTTTAACACATGAACTTCCTCATATGTCAGGATAAACTGAGTCATTAAAGGTTCAAAGGATTTATGAGCTGACGTGTCAGGCAGGGTGGTTTTGTTCTTGAAATGATCAAATAAACAAAATTTGACTGAATGCATGAAAAATAAATGAAACTTTTAACTTGGACTTGATGAATTTTGTGTGTTTTTGCAGTCTGACCTCGTCTACTCCTTCTTCCACCCACTGCCCCGAGATGAGAGACCAGGAACTACACCCAGCAAACCAGCAGGTACACACACACACACACACACACACACACACACACACACACACACACACACACACACACACACACACACACACACACACACACACAGTAGTCTAATTTTAGAGGTCAGAGTCAACTTGACTCAACATGGACATTAATCAGAGTCAGTGTAAAGGTCTAGGGGTGTCCAGGGGTCAACTGTTAATTCATCATAAATAATTCTGTTACCACTTAAAACTATAAAATATGAAATGTATTTAAAATAGAAGAAAATGATGAATGTCCATGTAAAGGCTTCAGTCAAATTAATAACAGATGATGAGGTTTTAGGGTTCAAAGTTACTTCATTATAACTGTCGGTAAGTTAAGTTAACAGAGTCAACAGGCAACAAATCAAACAGAGTAGAACAGGACATGATGAAATGACCACAGTGCTCAGAACAAGCAGCAGGTTCTCTGCCTAAAAACTGATTTCATCACAAAATCTCTGAGCCTCATTGCACTGCATTAAAATCTTGCACATCAAAAAAAAATCTGCTCAGACGGGTTTAAACAGGTCAGTATATTATTTATCTTTACTTTGTCTTTAAAGCAGAGATGATGGACTCAGCGTCTTTAAAACTCCAATAAACTCTGTAAATCTTCAGATGGAGAGTTTTTTTTAGCTCCATCTGACACCTCACAGCCTGTTAAAGTTTAACACCTAACCCCAAACCCTGCACTGGTACACGCACACCTGTTCCACACACACACCTACACACACACATGACCAGTCCGGTTCAAAGTCCAGTGTGTGTTCCAGTGTCAGTGTCAGAACAGTGTGCATGTGTGTGTGGCTCACACGCACACGTGCACACACACACATGCACACATATATACAGGATTTTTGAATAAGTTTAAAAAAAAAGGTTTATAAAAATAAAAACAATATTAAATAAATTGATTGATTGATTGATTGATTGATTGATTGATTAATTAAAAATATAAATAATTAAAAAAATAAATCCGTAAAAAAGAAGAATAGAAATCAATTTAAAACTAAAGAATTAAATAGAATAGATTTTTCAAAATACATAGTATAAATGAAAAAAGATGAATGAATGAATAAAACAATATGAATGAAATACAACGAATTTTAAAAAAAATACATAAAATAAAATAAAATAAAGCAAGTAATTAATAAAAAATAAATATAAAAAGATAATTACATTAATGAAATCAAATAAACTAAATAGAAATAACTAAAAAAATATAGAAATAATAAATAAATAATAAACAAAATAAAAACACCATTAATGCATGTATACATTACATATTATATTATATCAGATCAAGTAAATTGATTTAGGTAGAATGAGATATAAAATAAGTTAAATATAATATACTTGTTAAACAACATGACTTTAAATAACAGCAAAACAAAAGAAATTGAATTGAAATTTAAAATAACCGAATGATTTAGTAATATAGAATTGAATAAAGAATTAAAATGATACATTGAAGTGAAATGAGATACACTTAAATCAGTAAATAAAATAAATATGTTAAACAGCATAGAATAAATGGAAATAGATTCGGAAAACATAAGATCAAAGATTTAGCTAAACAAGCCTTCTTGTTGTTTTTATTTTTTTGTGTTTGTGTTTGTGTGTTTGTTGCAGAGGTGACATGGTCTCCAGCCTCAGGGAAAGAGCTTGGTGAGGTCAAACTGTCCATTTCCTACAAGAACGACAAACTCTTCATCATGGTCATGCACATACGAGGACTAGTAAGTCTCTGTATTAGTGTACACTTGTGTGCGCGTGTTTTGTGTTTGTGTTCAGTCAGTCCACTCTTTGTTACAAGGTTGCTATTGTTGAGGAAAATTGACCTATTTACATAAACTAGATCTAAAAGTCCACCAAATTAGGAAAAAGAAAAACAGTAACTGGCAGTAAAACCAACTTTTGTGTGTTTTTTCATCCATGCAGCAGCCCCTGCAGGACGGCACAGACCCCGACCCCTATGTGAAGTTGTACCTCCTCCCAGACCCCCAAAAGACCAGCAAGAGGAAGACCAAAGCGGCACGACGCACCTGTAACCCCACCTACAATGAGATGGTACTAAATGCACCTCCCTATCAGCCAATCAGAGGGGAATGATTGACTCCCCCTGCACACCACTCTCACCTGAAGGAGACCTTTATTCTGTCAGTCTTGGTATTCCTAAAGAGAAGTTCCACATGATTTAGATACATGGGATACAACATTAAAGGAGAAGCTAGGTCGGAGGAGGGTTGCAAAGTGGTTTATAGAGGAAGTAGACAGGCTGACGTAGTTTAAATAGAATGTCCATTTTACATTGTGCATTTGAATCTGCATAAGTTAATCAGCTGAGCTGTCTGCTGATAGCAGCTGGCTTTAAAATTTGCTGACTAACTGTGGGTGGAGCTTGGCTTTGTGGCCTGCCCGAGCTAACAGTATGTTCAATTTTTGGTGTGAAAATGCTCTTACATTTTCAGTAACAACTCTTAGCTAGTTCTTTCTTTTTTCATCTGTAATTTAAGGTGGTTGTATTCAGACTCTCTGCTGATTGTTTGTTTGGACAGGAGTGTGGGTAGAAGTGTGCTATTTGGCACTCACCTGTGCAAATGTTCACATGGACACGCATGATAAGACAAAGTGTAGCCTCAGCCAGTCTCAGTCAGGCTTGGTACACGCAGTCAAAGAGTTGGTTGTGGCCAAGTCTGACATAAGAGATAAGACCCGCTCAGTTTAGGCCCAGCTGGTGTGCTCAGTCAGTATTCATTTTAAATATGAGGTGAAAACCTCTTTATCCAAGACTTTAATTGTGAAAATACACCAGTGGTGATAATGAGAACTCTGACTAATTTCTGGTGGTACGTTATCTTACTTTGAGAAGTTCAAATTAGTTTGATTTAATTCATTCTTATGTGCCAACATGTATCTAAGAGTCTAGGCTCTGTCGATCTGTTGTGATAAATCCACATTTTTGAGCAGCATCTTGTTGAGTTCGTATGTCCGGAGTAAAACGTCATCAGAAAACCTTTGTCTTTTTGCTAATCCTTCCTATATATCAGCCATGATGAGAAAACTTAAACTCTTCCTGCTTACCAAACTACTTTTCATAGACAACATTAACCAGTGTATGGTTAATTAGCTAATTTTACTCATCAGTGTAAGAGTCAGACTATGTCACTGTAATTTAGACTGCTTATCTTTTATATGTTGTCTTTATTTCTCTGTCTTCATTGTCTGTTTACATTTGGTTCTTTCATTCATTTCTCTCTTTCATTTTTTCCCTCCCCGCAGCTGGTGTATGAGCGGATCCCTCGAGGGGACCTGGACCAGAGGGTGATCCACCTTAGGGTTCTTGGTGACGGGGCATTCTGGGAGAACACATTGCTGGGAGAGACCTTCATCCCCCTGAAACGGCTGGTCCCAGGTCAGCACTGGGTGGACTGGCACAAGCTTGGCGCCGCCAGCTCAGACTCCGCCCACTGAGGGACAGGAAACAGGAGGGGTAGAGGAAAAAGAGAGCTGGTTCTCCTGATGAGGACAGAAGACAAAAGGAAAGTCCTTTCAAAGTAAAAGCCTTGTGGCTGTTGCTCCCTCTGTGTTAGAGGGAGTTTAGGGTTAGAGTTTGAAGCTGAAGTTAACCTCACTGACCACATCAGGATAACTTTTTCTTCTTTGGTTTGTTTTAATTTAAACTCAGACAGAAAATGTGGGTAATTTATTGGATTAAAAAAACTAATTTAAGGAGTTTTAAGTCAAAGTTTTGTCATTGAGACAGAAGTTTTTATGGTCAGGTGCTTTAACAAACTACCATTAAACCACTGTAAAATTAAACTAAATCATTAGTTCTTTTGTTAGCTTGGCTCAAATTCGATAGAAATATGTGGAAAGACTGTGGAAATTAACTTTATCGTAACAGTTAAATTCTGGATGATACAGCCTGGTGTCAGCAGGTATAGAAGTTAACGTTTCAGGCGAGAGTTTTTGTGAAGTTGGCACGGTTTAAAGAGTGTATGGGCTGTGGATTCACTCTGATTTAAGCTCTTATTTTAATGAGATGTCAGAAACTTGAAGAGTTTCCTGTCCAGCGTCTCTGATTTTCCGTCTCCAGATGAAATGATTTCAGTTTAAGGATCATTTTCTCTGTTTTATTTCTGACTGATGAGTTTTTTTTCTTGCTGTCTGAACATTTCTCAGAGTTGAAAGAAGTTAAGGAGAGAAAAATAAAAGGACCTGAAAGTTAAATTTCACATGATCAAAATAATATTTCAGTGATTTAATATGTCACAGTTCTTCAGTCATTACTACTGGACGGCACGCCTCTTTCTGTTGAAGGAGGAAGTGAAGACAAAATACCCCTTAGTGGGGACAAGGTATGGACGTCCTGCCTCATCCTCTAAACAAAACACACATGTAAGTCGAAGCCTCAGAGCTCCCTCAGGTCAGTGCAGTCCACAGCAGAACAGTTTGTTCTATGGGTTTGAAGCAGAAGCTCTTTTCCTTTCTTCCTTCCTTCCTTTCTTCCTTCCTTCCTTCCTTCCTTACTTCTCTAAATTCATTTTTGGTGGCTCTGGCCTCTGGTGAAGAGTCTTTGTATGTATGCTGAACTGTGTTTACCACAGTCAGTATGTTTACAGGAAAGTCTCAGTCTCAGCGTGTTTGGCAGTTTAACTGGAGCATGCCCAGAATGCTTAGGCCAGTTTGAGTCTGATAAGAAGTTCGATTCAGTGTCACACTAACATATTTACATGTTTTTAAAAGTCCAGTTTCAGTCAGACTAAGGCAGTAAATGGATATTTTTAACAGCATGAAGATGTACTGACTACTGCACACCACACAATACATGAACAAAACTCATCTTTCAAGTTGTTCCTGTCTAGATACAAGGCTGATGGGTACTTAGATAAACATGACTCTGTCATCAAGCCTGGAACATTATTTTTGATTGACATAAATGAAGTGTTACCTTTACTAGATCTGTGCTAGGTTTTCCAGGGTTTGTAGATGCTGACACATCTGTGCTGTTAGTGTGAAATTGGTTGAAATAGTTGTCGTTAAGGTGGTTCAAGTCAGTTGGTAATGCAGTCCAGTTTGTAAGTTAAAGAATATCAAGGATAAAGGGGGAAACTAATGTATGAAAACCAACTTAAAAGTCTAATGTTAACACTCTTGACCTAGCAGTGGATGAGCATCAGATCCCTCATCTGTACCATTAAATAACTAAATCAAACTAAACTCGTCAGAAAAATAAACACTTGAAAATAAATAAGTTTGGTAAGACCTCACTATAGTGACAGAAACCGTGTTAGAGAACCATTAATTTAACCTGCATTTTGATTTTTTAGTTTGACTCATCGCCCATCTGTTAACATGGAGGAGGAAGGGCTTAAGACCTATACTGTAGCAAACTTAGTAGGGGGAGCTCTGGCTTCATATTTATGAGGGGTTTTATCATTTTGTCCAGTGGCATTCTGGGAAATTGAGGCTGAAAGAAAAAAAAGCACATTTACTATCAGAAGGTGGCTCACGTTTCACTCAGTTTTTTATTTTCAATAAATATTTTTAACTTTTTTTAAATGAGGAAAGAAATGACATGTGTTCAAGGACTTTCCAGGAATTAAAAAATGTATCAAAAGGTTTCAAGGAACTCATTTAGCAGCTTTGTGTGACCTCAAAACAAACCCAGGCCCATGTCGTGTCTTCACAGATCAGACGACTTCAAACTTAGTGAGCTGTGTTTGTGTACAGAGCTTTAGCCTAAATGTTGCTAACAGGAAGTAGCTGAAATGAAGCCTGTGTACAGCCAGGAGGCAGACTGCAGGATATTTTTCTAGTGAGGATGAGTGGGTTTGATTTTCTATCTGTGGTGCATGAGAGCTTCTTACAGATCCCTCCTGCAGGAGGTGCCGCTGCTCACTTTGCCTTCCAGCTCTTTGCCTCTTTGCTCTGATTTCTGTTCCTTCATTTCATTCCTTGTTTTTAATCCTATCTGTGTGTGAATTTTGTACTTTTTGGGAAAAACTTTGTGGTCATTTTTAAGCTGCCTCTGAGGGTTTCTGATAATCCAGGTTGCAGCGATTATCGAAGGGGACCAGGTGATTCCTGCAGGTTGTTTTTGCGCTGTAGACGAGTCAAAGTGAGGGGCTAAAACTGCAGGAAACAAACTCCAACCACCTGATCTGTTTGACGCATATCTCCAAAATGTCCAGCATGTCTAAAGTTAAGGATTCTGAGGGTCCAAATGTTTCTCTGAGGGATTTTAAGGTCTTTATAGTTTGGCGTAATTCAATTTGTAATCAGTTTATGACGTGGTGCATAAGAAGAAATAACTCTTTCATCCAGCCCTCTTAAAGTTCTTGTGAAACACTGGAAGTCAATGAAAGTATCTTGTAAGTGAAGGTAGAAATTCAAATAAAGACCTCAGAAGCCCCGCCCTCTTTCTTCCAAACTGTAGCTTTACAGAGTTCAGTGAAATATGAATCGCTGCAGTCTAAATAAAAACCGTGCTGGTCTGACAGAGAGCGTTGTTCAGTGAAGGTGGAGGAGTTTGAGCCCCAGGAGAGAATGTAAGTTCAAAATGAACTGAATCTTTATGTACTGTACATACTGACCTTAAAGAAAATGTGATTCTGACCCACCGCTCTGACTTACAGGCTCTTATTAATGTGTAACTTTAATTTTCAGACATGTTTTGTATTATTTGCACTATAAAATAAACTTGAATTAAAAAGAAGTCCAAGATTTTTTGTCCTTCTTTCTTTAAGTTGTCTGTATTTTAGTTTGACACATTATGAACAATCTTTACAGTATTCGTGTTTATTTAAAGCTCCTTTAAGAAACCTTCAGTTTGTTTTGATTCTGACGCCCCCTGTGGTGATAACTTGTATTTCTGCTCTGATTTCATCCTGTATCTGTGTTGGTCATGTATTTTGACGAAGACATTACATATTGCTTCATTTCAACACCTAAACACTCAAAAATGTGTATCACATTGAAACTCTGGGAAAAAATGTAATGAAGGCTGTTTTGGCAGACTGACACCTACCCTCTGCCAGAGGTTTAGACATTAAAAATATCAATTTAGAAATATTGACCTCTCCCGGTGTAGAGGCAGACTCCTGAGGAAAAAATCTGTCCCTTTTCAAGTGACCCTTCTCTGTACAAGACAAACCAGGACTAAGGTCAGAGTTAAATTTCATTTACTGTTAAAGGTACAAAGGTGGACGGTTTAGTGCCAGAGTGTTGGAGTACTGAAGTGCTGATGTATTGCACATGATTGTAAAGGTGTGGCTGCAGATTGCACATGTGCCTTAAGTCTGTTCAATGTAAGTGCCAGTGTGATTTCAAATCACTCCAATACACAAAATCTGCATGACCTGACATGTTTCTGCACCAGGTGTGTACTAATACATGAGGATAGCACTAAGATGTTTATGTAATATTGCTCCAAAGTTGCAGACATGGATGCGTTCAAACCTGTCCTGACCCTTGAAAGTTGCAAAAGCTTAAGTGTTCCTAGATGAAGAGTAATCTACTACCCCATAAGGTGCTCTTTTTAAACTACACATTTAAAAAAAAAAAAAAAAAGCTCAGTGACTCGTGTGTTTTTATCTGAAGAGATTTGTTTTCTTTTATGTAATAATTTAGAGGATGTGGAGGTTTCTGTATTTAAACTATATACAGTATAAGGCAGTTTAGGACCTGATATGCAGTGAATGACAGTGACAGAGAATAAAGTGACTGTCTCAGGTTCACAGTGAGGATAAGGTAGACTGCATGTGAGGTGTGACAAACTGTAACACAAGTAGTAATAGGATACAGTAAGTGACAACATAGTGTACAGTATCAAAACTGTATTAAATGTATAACAGTGTTTTACAGTTTGGTTTATCATATATGTAAATGCATATGGGGGAGATCGGGGATGGTTGTAACACCATCGTATCCACTGATCGGGGATAACATAACACACTGAAATGTACATATAACTACATGATCATTTCAGTGTTTTCCCATTTCATCCCCACTTTCACACAGTGATTTTTGAGGCTGTTGGTGCAGGTTATTAAAAGAAATTTGAGGTTTAAAATACAACTTTATAATAAAGAAGATTTTTTTGACATCTGGCATCAACTCACAAGGTTTATGATATTCTTGCAGGGGTTTAAATTGGTTTCTTCAAACGTAAAAAAAAAAAACTGTGGATACTTTGTATAAAAATGTGAAAATTCCTGTTCAAAAAGTTACAGATGCTGGAGCAAAAAGTGTCACAACTATTCTTGGTCTCCCCTATTATGAAATCGTGAAAGTAATAGGAAAATGTAATATATAGCTGCACATATTAATGCAATGGCAAATAAAATCATATAGTATCATATAAAATCTGTGATTTTTCTCCTTTTTTGATGGCCCTTACTCACTGTTGCAGACCACCCTTTTATCATGCCTTAAGCTAAAGTGATATTTTTTTTGGCTTTGCAAAAATTTCACTTAAATCGCACTGTAGTTTTTCTCAAAGGTAAAAGTGCTGCCCTTCTCTTGATTAAACACATGCAAATATATTTTAAAGACTGTGGGGTTGTGGGTGCCATATCGATCTTGTTACAGAAAGGTGGGGACTGTGTGGGAAGATCGTGCTGATTACCACGTGTCTGCACACAGATTTGCACACTGGGACCTTGAACCCACGGTGGTTGTGTAACAGAGTGGGACACACGTGGTGCTGTCAGGTCACACGACGCTCCCTCGGGTTCAGTAACACCGCGACGCTCCCTGGAGAAGGATTCTTCGTTAAATCAGAGTGGAGTAACTGTCAGCGGTCCCTTAACTTTCTGATGAAATCTCTAACAGCAGCGTAAAGACGGACAGACGGAAGCGACACAACGACTAAAATTACTCCATTTAGTGAAAACTGAATTAGTATTACAATCTAAAGGGTGTTCAACAGTATCACCTCGACAACGACGTCGTCAAATCTCGCTGAAGAAAGAGGATATTATCAATCTACCGTCGCGCTCTGTCACGTAACCGCTGAGTCGTTAGCTTCCTGCTTAGCTGCGGTTGGTGAGGGTTTGAAGCTGAAGGAGCTACTACCGCCTTTTTCCAGAGCGTAAAATCAGTCAAAATGGCTCTTCTTTCCATTTCAGGATTCGACTTCATCTCGCAACAGGATTCAAGTATGTTTGGTCTGTATTTTCTCTCCAGCTCTGTCCCCGTTTTTACCAATTCCACTACCAGAAAGAAGTCTAACCACCACTCCCACCAGCGCGCCGGGGTCATGGATGATGTTTCCTGGGCTCATTCTGGTTTTGATGGTGGGTATGAGGGCCAGTCCGAGTAAAGAAGATGTTTAATGAAAGGACTTTTTTGACATGGAAAGCGTAGATGAAATCTGTTAGTCTGGGCTGCAGCCTCCCACAGTTTGACAGCTGTCAAAGCAGAGAGATACAGCTTAACTGAGAGATTTTTTTTTTTATCAAAGCTGCTCAGGTTATTTCAAATTATCACTTTTTGGCACTTTTAAGGTGAAGAAAATGTTCAAAAGTATGAGCAGCGAGGGACATCTATCGAGCGGGCAGAGCTCGTCCTCTCTAGCCGGGCATGGAGTCACCCCCCCCGGCCTTGAGAGTCAGGAAAGCTCGTGGATCGGCCTACTCTCCGTAGTATCTAGGCCTGCGATGTCATTTTTGCAGAAATACCTCCCTACCCGAATCAAAAACTTTGCTCTACCTGAGAACGGATCGGGGTGGATGACAGGGGAGTTAAACTCAAGCTTTGTGGATGAAGAAAGAGAGTTTTTGAAACAGCTGGGCGACATGATGCCGCTCACGCAGCACCCAGCTTCTCACTTGACCTACCTGCAGTGTGAGCACCATGGAGCCGGAGGGACCCTACCGTGGCTGACCGCCGACTCTTTGCGGGAAATAGGGATTCAAAGTGCAGAGGAACTGGACTTAAATCTTTGCCAGCAGACTCAGTTTGGCTATGTATCCTCTGTCAGGACTGTTCTCAGTCTGAGCTCGGTGTCTTCTCAGGAAATAAAACCCTCGGGCAGGAAAGACTGGGCCAGGTCCCCTGTGTCAAGCAGTGGGGGCAAAAGCAGGACATGGTGGGGCAGCTTTTGGGGAGGTGAGGACAGCTTACAGAAGGGGCTGTTGTCAGATTTGTCCAAGGCCAAGGAGAGCACAGTGTCAGGCCGGCTTTGTCCACAACAAGCAGTGGCTGAGATAAATGCCCCTGCTGTGTTTGTACAGAGTGACATAAGAGGATGGACGCAGGGAGAAAACACTGGACCCACTGACCACAAAGACCAGCAGGCCAACAATGCAGGCCTTCACACAGTCCAGAACACAGAGACATCCACACCTGACCAGCATCTGAGCATCAGTGACCACCTGAGCAGAACAGGAGCTGCCGCCGCCTGCAGTGAGGTGGCAGTTCTGACCCCTGATCAAGACAATGGTTACTCTAGTCTGGAGGAGGAACAGGTCCACATGTGTCACCTGTCTGCAGTGAACGACTTGGGGAAGGAGCCACAACATCAGGAGCCTGAAGTCAGCATCACCACTAAGACTGAAATGACGGAAGACATTTCTGAGGAAGGGGAGTCCACATCAGGAAAAGCTGATGAGGAGGAGGAGGAGGTAAAGAAGGACGAGGAAAATGAGGAAGCAGCGACTGAGGATGCACTCGCCACCCCTCAGTGCCAGAACAAGGCCATCGCTTTCATCATGGGCTGCCCCTGCAGCGACGACGATAGCAACCAGTCAGATGGCGAGTCCAGCGTTGATGATAATAATGAGGATGACGATGACGATGGCTTTGACAGCGAGGGCTCGTCTGGTTTCTCTGACTCCTCTGATGAAGAGGATGATGATGATGATGATGATGCAGACTCAGACAGCGAGGCGGACTCTGAGGCAGAGCGGCTTTGGACCTCACTGTGCCAAAGTTCAGACCCATACAACCCTCGAAACTTCACCGCCAGGCTGCAAACCCACAGCACCCCACCCAGGACCATCCCCGCCACCACCCCTCCCTCCTCCACCCAGTCCACCCCCGCATCCTCCCCTGACTTCCCTGCATCCTGCCTCGCTGCCTCACCCCCCCTCACCTCCTCCTCTCCACCCTCTGGAAATGACACCTGGGACGACTCGACCTCAGCCAGTGAGGTGGATGAAGCAGAGAGCCTTCGTCTTTGGAGCTCCTTTAGCTGTTCCTCAGACCCCTACAGCCCCCTAAACTTCCAGGCCACAGTCAGGACTCGAGGGCCCGAGTCTAGGGCCAGGGCCAAGTCCAAAAGGGCTTCCAAAACTTCCCCTCAATCCCCCCATCCTCACCCTACATCTCCACCTGAATACAGGAAGGAGGAGGCTGAGGAGAGGTTTGACAGCGGCTTCTCGGAACCCTGCACCTCCACCAGCCCCCACAGCTGCAGAACCAGCAAGAAGGTCAGTTTGTGTTTGTCTTACACTCATTATTTGTGGACTGTTTAGCTGGTTATGAAGCCAGGGTATTTTTCATTTCTACTTATTAATTCTGTGATCAAATTTACATTCATGGAAAAAGTTTTAATTGAATTATGAAAAAAGGAAAATATAGAGTTAGAAAAATGTTTTAAAGATTCTGTAGACTTCAAACTTTCACCATCATTTCCAGATACATTACATTATTTACACATCTGAAAATGACCTACTGGTTTCTCTGTACAAGAATTGGTGGATTTTAATGTATTCTGTGGGTTTATAGGTCAAAAACATTTATATAACGGTGAATATTACCCATCAGACAAGGAAAAGATGGGTTAAAATCATGACTATAATAAAAGAGTCATAACACAATAGGGAAGTTTTCTTGTGTGGACTGAATTTTTTGAACATGTCGAAATTTCAAACAATGCAACCAGGACCCAAAGACAGAGGAGAAAGAGTTTGACATTTAGAGTAAATTTGAACAGTGATAGTTTTGTTTTTTTCTAAATGGTGTTTCAGTTTTTTGTCCTTTTTAAACGTGGAGTTTCCTGGTCTTTGTATTCAGGGCTTTCCATGATGAAACTTTACGACTAGAAGTGAAACACAAATTCTCAACATGACTCAGGACAGAGTTTTTCACTGAACCATAGAGTACGATGTTTAATGTTGATATACTCGGAGTGAATCCAGATTCAGTCTGAACACTCTGAGCTAGTCATTCTTTGATTGTTGATGTGATTTGATGTTTGTCCTTAAATGTTATGTAGTGTTGAATGTACACACTTGAAATAGACTGTAACAGAGTTCATAGAGTAGCATTAAAAAACAGGGCAACAGAGGCGACAGTTTATACAAAGTGAAGAGATGAGGTTTAACCTGAGCACAGACATCACTGGTTAAAGGTACAGTGTGTGTATTTAGCAGCAGGACAAACTTGGTAGAAATCCATCAGTATATTTAAACTAGTTTATAAGCTGAATACCAAAAAAATATTTAAAGCGTGGCCCCATAAAATACACTAGTGGGTATTGGTAAAGATCCTTGGTGGTAAAAACTAGGGGTGGGAGAAAAAATTGATTCACACAAGTATCACAATTTTTTGTTTTATAATTTTTACATCCATTTTTTTGTTCAAAATTTTTTTTTTTTTTTTTTTTTTCCCAAATGTAAGAATAAAGGTCCTTACACATCGGGGCCAACGTGAATATAGAACGCAAAATTACAAAATATTCAGAGGCGAATTTTGATGCGCCTGACTATACACATCAAGCGCGATGCGATTTTGCGACTTTCCGGGGGGGGGAGATGCATCCCCGGAAAAATTAGCTCCAAGTTTGAAGAGGCAGAGGACTAGACACTAGACAGTACCAGATAAGCGCATAAAACTATGGTAACAACCGTTAGCTTACGTTAGCACGGATAAAAGTTAAAAGACGTTTAGCAAACTGTTAAATCACACAAACCATCGTCAAATGAGAAGTCCAACGCTATGACTCTCCACAGGTTGTCCTTCAGGTCATTATCTTTGTCATGTTTGTGCTTTTTATCAAAAAGTACTCTGTTTTCTGACCCATAAACAATCAGCCGGTCAGCCATGCTGGATATACCGTAGAATCTGACTTCGCAACAACATGCAATCTGATTGGTCAGAAGTGGACACACAGTATGTGAAACTTTAGAAAAATCGACCATGATCCGAAAAAATAAATGTCGCAATATCACAGGACGGGAAAACGTCGCTGATGTAAACACTTGTATTGACAGGATACAAGTTCGAAAAAAATATTGACGTCTAAAATAATCGCACAACAAAAACGGTCCCGGTGTGAAAGGATCTGAAATCTTAAAACTGACTTAAGTGATGTGTATTTTTGGGGCAAATATGGTTCCTGGAGTAGTCAGTAGACAATCATAATCATTCAACTGTTTCACTGGTGTTAAAAATACAGACAGAAAATTTAGAAAATCAACAATATAGTAGAATCGCAACTTAAATCGAATCGACATCCAAAAAATTGTAGAAGAATCGAATTGGGAGAAAAGCACATTAGTAAAATAGTAAATAGTAAAACTTAACTAATATGGGATCATACAAGCTATGTATCAAAGCAGCTGTTAGTCTTTAAAGGCCACCATAGCGCCACGTACAGGAAGGGTGGTCAAGAGAGCGTTTCAATCTAGAATCAGGACACTTTATATCACTAAATACTCACACTGATCCAAACAATGTTCTGAAATAACAGTATTTTCATGTGTCACCAAAGTAAATCCCGTTCTGAATGTTAAGATGTTCATGTTTTTGTCACTCTGAAAAGTTTCCTCCTCAGCAGCTTTCACTCATGACTCCTCTCTTCCTCCTGTCAGGTTCGTTTCTGCGACGACGTGGAGGAGTTCTTTGCGAGCTGTAGTGAGGAGGAGGAGGACCGCCGGGGCCCCTGGGAGGAGCTGGCCCGGGACCGCTGCAGGTTCCTGCGGCGCTGTCAGGAAGTGGAGCAGAGCATCGCCTACTGCCTGCAGCCGCAGCACCGTAGCCTGGTGTACCAACGGCTCACTGTCCTGTATGTCCAGAAAAATTAAGCGATACGTGGAAGTGGAAAATAATTAGTGCACCCTGTTTTTGTCTGAGGACGATTTAGCTGTCCTCTTCTCTCAGTTGAACACGTCACAGTGACGAAATCAAAAAGCTGCACTTGTTTGAGACACTTAAAAAACACAGAGAGAGCAGACGGACAGACTGTGATCTGCTGAACTATTTACTGACTGACTTATTCATCTCTCTGATGGGGTTCAACCTCAGATTAGAGTCCATGTTTATTTCTACAGCTTCGTCTCTTCTTTCTGACGTAGTCGACTAATCCAACAGAATCAGGGCCGCTTCATAACAGACTAATTTTCACACAAACGGGGGATTTGAAGGGCTGAATCACTGTGAGAGGAGTGTTTTTGTGGAGATGTCAGTGTGTTTTTATTTCCAGGGAAAAGGAGAAGATGTCTAAAACCCTCTGCAGCTTCTTATCAGTTTCAGTGTTTTTAGACCTTACCTCTGTTTTTCCCCTCACGTGTCCACCTGCTTCACGTTTTCAGTTTTTGTGCCAAAGGTGACGCCCCAGACTTCGAAACAAGCTGCTGTTTTCATCTTAAATACTAACAAGAAAGTGAAGAGAAATCTGAGGCGTCAGTATATAAATTAGACAATTAAAAAAAAAAAAGACACATTTTGTCTAAAGAGATACCTACATTTGTGTTTTAAAATACAGGGTACATCATTTTCTTTCCTTTGTGTATTACTGATGTTTCAGCTCTGTTCTCTTTGAATTTAGGATGAAAACAGCAGCTTCTTCTGTCTGACGCTTTTTTAAAACTCATTCGTTTCCCTCTTGTTAAAAAAAAATCAAACAAGTAAAGAAAATAAGCTAAAATCTGTTGAATAGTAATGAACTCAGTTCAGTGTTTGTACATGTTGCACATCAGATAAAAAGTTTTCAGTTTTATCCTTGAAGCCAAAGATTGCTCTAAGTTGAGCTGAAGAGGAAGAAGTGACGTGTTAACATCTGGATCTGAATTTATCTTCTAAATGTGGAGAACTTTCCCTCACCTGCTTGTTCAGAGCTTAAACATAATCACTGATAATCAGTAGCCAGCAGTATTCAGCGTCTAAACCAGAGTATCAGTCACTGAGAACTTGTGTTGAAGTCTGTATTAGTTCAGTTGTTTTCTGACAGAAAACACATTTGCTCCACCTGAAGACTTTCTTAATCGCTAGGTTTTCTTAGAACTCACGAGGGTCCCAGTTTTGTCAAAAGTTTGATTCTTTATGCAAAACAGCTGCACAGGAACTTCAAATATTCTGAAAGCGTAAACTTATCTTCTACAAAAGGAGCAAACACTACAGGTATTGGACTTCTTTCACCTTCAGCCGTTCTGTGCTGCCTCCTGTTTGCTGGAGAGGGACATGGCTGCAGACAGAGCAAACCTCTGTAAACACACGTGCAGCTGGATGTTGGACCTTACTTGGATGTCAGCTGTTGAAGGGAATGAAGTGATCTCACTAGTGAAGGTTGCTCTTTGTCGTGTCCTTTTTTCAAACTTAATAAAAAAACTTTTTTTGTTGTTAAATATTAAAACTGTCAGTAGATCTTGTACCAACAGGAATCCAAATGCGTTTGCAGAACTACAGCATTGATTCCAAACTGAAAGTAAAAACAAGGAAATCTCAAAGTTAGCCAACTTTTTTATTGCAACAGTTTGTGAGAAAGACACGACGATGACCAAATTTCAGGCTTGTGAGATCACTTCACTGTCCAATAACAGCCGAGAGCTAAGAGGAGGTCCAACTTCCAACTGTGCGTGCTCTAATGGAGCTCAGCTGTGTCTGCAGACAGGTCCCCTTCCTTCTTTTACTAACGGAAACTTATATGAGAAACCTAAATACATAAAAGAGGCTCAACACTTACAACAAAGAAATGTTATTAACTGTCACTAATTAATCCTAAATCACAGTTTTTGTCTGATCAAAAAACAGAAAAACCTGTTTTCATTTCTTAGTGAGTGGACATCTGACGGAAAATTTCACTTTTACTCACAGGGAAAAAAAAAAGCAAACCTTGTCAGAATCTACATATAAGCTTCCTCAACAATTACAAAGAGACTATTAATAGTGAAGACTTGTGCATTTCCAATCTGGAGGTAAACTAGAGAAATTAATTTTTGAACTGAATAAAGGCCCAAAGTCAAACAAGTTTCTTAAACCTAAACTTTCCTTGAAGTATTAAATGTCAGAGTTCATATAAAACCAATAATTGTGTCTAATGAAAGGCTTGTTCTCTCATAAAACGATGAAAAACATGCATTTAAAAGTGGCGATTCAAGAATGAATCTGAGTTGTATTTTTACATATTTTGGGGTCTAGATGTCTTGCAGGTACTGAAAAGTTGAGAACTGATGATAAAAGATTTGTGAAGGTGTGTAGAGGTGGATCAGCAACTCCTGTAGTAGTGTGAGTTTCCTGATTTGTGAATGGAGTTTGCTGCTACACAACTCATCCATCTTTTACATCTTTGTCTTGTCTCAAGCGGGGCTGAGCAGATTTTTGTTACACAAATTTTGCTTTAGATACAAAATAACTCGAGGTGAATCTTTAGATCAGCAACTCCAGTTTCCTATCAGTTTAGATTGATGTGTTTGTAAAGAGTGATAAAACAGCTGTTTGTGGTGTTGTCAGATACTAAGAATAACAATCTGAGCCTCACCGGGACAGAATAAAGAACTTTTGAGTGAGGGCATCTCCACCAATCAGAGACCTTGTTTCATTATGTTGCTGACCGTCCAGCCTGTTAACCTGCTGCAGGCTGAAAGAATCTACTCCAGCTATTCTCAAATGTTTGGTTCATGACTATCTGACCCCAAAATGTCTAAAAATACGATCAGGTTTTAAAGCAAACCATATTACCAATTAATAAACAAAACATCTGAGTCTGTAGTGAGATAACTTTAAAAGTTCAGAAGCAGAGGAAGTTTTTTGTACAGGTGTTTTTCGTCCTGTAGATTTTAGTGACAGAGTTCAAAACAAGTCACAGTGTTTGCATGTCACTCCTACTGCTCTGATAGAAATTCTCCATGTAGCTAAAGGAACTGGCTGTTTTGGTGTTTGATTACGGCAGTGTTTAAAGTATTGTTTCTGTCTGATTAATTATTAAGAAATGAAAGCCAATGCTGTATTTAAAGGAAAAAACTTACCAATCAAAAGATTTGCAAAAAGCAGATGTCAGCTGGAGTAAAAACAGATAAATCTTTGGTCATATTTTAATCATACTTGCTTTTTATTTTTCTAAAGCATCTTCTGTTCGGTGGCTGGCTCGTTCTGCTTCATTTCCTCACAAAAAAGTTTGGCAATTAAATATTAAATCAATATTTAATAATCCCACTTTGTCTTTTGCTTTTTCTTTCTCTGAAACTGATACTTTTATCTCCGTCTCCTCTGTCTTTAAAAATAATCTGGACTGAGACGTGGGTCAGTCCACAGAGGTCCTGTTTTTCTAATCCAGCAGGTGTCTTCTTTTGCTCTATCTGAAGATGAGGAACTGCAGGCTCATTGGCATCCTGATGAAGACTCTGTTACCCAGAAGACCTAGACTCCCTCTTTTGTATATTTTTCATGCAGTCTCTTGAGCTGTGCAGTCATGAAACGGTATTGCTTCCGTCCTCTCAGGAAGATGGCCCCTGATCCTTGTTGGATTTCATTTGGATGATTTGAACCTGCAAAGAGTCTGGACCAAAGTGGGATCTAAACCAGCCAGGGTTTGTTTCTTTTATTAATCATTTATCTTTTTACTGATTAATACCAGATTTAATGGGCTGTAACCCTACAACCCAGCCACTAAAATGACACTAATCAAAACTCAGAATAGAGGTGAAGTACTTGAATTTTCCCTCTCTGCATGTTGACACTGTGGTAAAAATGTCTGTCTTAGACCAGCCTTGAATGACCTGAATCCCAGCATGGATGTCAAAATGACCTGAGGAGCGACTGGACCCCTATGGTGAGGCCTTTTGTCAGGTCTAAGGATTCTACTTTTCAGGGCCAGCAACTATACCTTATCCCCTCTTCGGATATCACCATAGAAGCCTTCTTAGAACCACAGTCTGGTCTTTGTAATTTTTCCCCCCACAAATTTTAACAGTAAAAAAAATTAAAATTTAGTTTGTTGATTTAATTTGACACCTTTCAATTGCATAGTTCTGCAAGCAGAGTGACCTGTTGGCGCATGCTCAGTCGTTTACCTCCACCTGGATCTCTGCTGTTATCAAGTCTTTTCATCACCAAGTTGTCTTTGCTTTTATAGTCTAATAAAGTCTTAAACTTTAATAGTTGAAGACTTTAGTTTTATAAATTGCAAAGTATAGAGTCAAATTGGAAAATTTTGTGATTGCAGATTTTACAGCAAATATTAAGTTTCTTCTCGAAGTCCTAGAAAGTTCACCAGTAGCAATATCGTATTACCACAGCATCCTCCAGGTGGTATTGATAAACTGTTTTTATTTTATTTTTTAAATCTTTTTCTGACTTACTCTGATTCATTTTTTCACTTGGGTGCAGATGGCTGTAATTGGCGTAGGTGAGCTCACACCTCTGCCAGTTACAGTGAAGACTAGGAAGACCAAGACTCGACATTCCCACTGTCCCACATTCTTATCAAAAACTAGGACAGGATGGAGATCATTTGGTGTTTGTGTCAAAAAAAAGTCAGTGAGCTTTTTATGTTGCCACCTAAATGACATCAAAGTGTGACCAGCTAATATAATATAATATAATTTGATGTAAATACCATAAGTATGAAAAATATAGTATTGTGGTTTTTTGTAATATACCATAATATAACATTACATAGTATAATACATTATATTTAATACAATTGTTTTAATTTAAAATGATATGAATACAATATTTTGTAATATAACAGAGAACAAAGAAGATCAGATATAACCTAAAAAGACATTTTCCAACAACTATGAATGATCTTTATTATCATCTTTGTAGTTGTAGTTATACTGGAAAAGTTTGTATAACCAACACTAAAGGAACAACTTGAGTTTGTGAGACTGCTTCATTTTATTTAAACAGCTCAGATCCAAACAGGTCCGTCTTCTAATTGCACACTCTCTTCAGGAGCTCCTCTAAATCTGCAGCCATGGTCTTTCTCCACCATTTGACCTTCAAACCTTTTCGACTATTTTTGACTAGATCTTGGAAAGGGGGGTCTTATGATCAAGGTTATCTTGAAAACATTACCATAAATGTGAAAAAACTATATAAAGTGAACTTTTAATAGCCCAAGAACTATTTTCTAGATTAAAACCATCCTTCAGTCTTCTGTTCAGACTTTGATGGACTTCGGATAACTTAAACTAAATGCAACTTCTGTCAAAAAACAGAGATCATTTCGGTCCATCAGACTTTTCTACTGTTCCAGCCTCTCTTTCTAAAGTTCACAGAGGCCCAGTCTCAGACTTGTTTGTTCAACATGTGACCCCCTCAGACTCTCCTCCACAGTCCGGTCCTGGAGACGAGGTGATGGGAGACTCTCCTTCACTGAGCCTGCCATCCTCCAGCTCCACCAGGCCCTGCAGGTACTTGATATACCTGATGGCGGCCCTTAGCGTCTCCACCTTGCTCAGCCTCTTGTCGGCGCTCTGACCTGGCAGGTGATCCCTCAGCTTGGCGTAACCCTGGTTCACACACCTGACCCTCTGACGCTCGCGCTCGTTCCGCTTCTGGATGAACGCCGGCTCGAAAGGACATTCATAGACACTGAAGTGTCCATGGTGGTGAAAGGAGGACAGGTAAGGCAAGAGACCAGGACCCCTCAGAGAGCCTTTGTAGGGGTCCATGGTGGAGGGGTAGAGGAGGAAGGGGACGGAGCCGGACAGAGAACGCTGTGGGACGTCCTCTCTGTGACCGGGAGGGGGAGACAGACTGAAGCTCAGGTAAGACGCGGGAGAAAAGGTGCTCATTTTGGGGACCTGATTGGACCTCTGAGACCCCCTTTCCAGACCAGCAGAGATCTCAGTAAACGCTCATCCTCAGACCATCTGAGTCCTGTTGAGACACAATCGGAGTAAAGTTGTTTTTTTTAGCTAATGCAGAAGCACCTTAACACGAGGACAAGGATTAGCATGCTGCATGATTTTAGCAAGTTGGCGCTTTGCTATCTTGCTCTATAAAACTGGAGCTCTCAGGTAAATCATCACTATATCACTTTTATTCTTCTGTTTGAGTTCAAACATAAATCACTGCTTCTGACACACTTTGGAATGTTTTATTTATTTATTTTTTGTAGTATTTTTTTATTTTTTTTCTAGGAACGCTACGGTGGCTGAGAACCACCACTGCTGCAAACAAAAAAGAATGCAAAGAAAAAAAAAAGGCCATGAGGAAAGTTACTGATTCAAAAAAAAAAAAAAACCCAAAGCCTGCTGCAAATAAAAAAAGAAATGGTGTAGATAATTTCCTTAAAAAGCCACAACGGAAGTTAACAGTGCAAATAATAATAATAATAAAATGGCAATGCAAAAAAAAAAGAAAAAAAGTTACTAACTGGGAAAATAAAAGGATGCAAATTTTAAAAAAGCCACAACGGAAGTGAGCTGCCCGGGACCAATAATGATGATGCACTGGTGTTTTATGATCTTGGCACAGAAGACGACGGCGAGAAGACAAGCAAAGAAGTTAGTGGAAAGGTTATTATTTAATTTTATATTGTTATTTCAATGTGTCATTTGGTGAGGCCATGTTGCGCCTGAGCCGATATGAAGGTGAACTGGAGGATGCCGGTGTAGTGTTAGCTTCAGATCACCTTCATATCAACTCAGGCGCTACATGGCCTGACCAAATGACACAATGAAAGGTTCATGACCGAAATTAAACAATAACCTTTCCACTTACTTCTTTGCCCGTCATTTTCTGTGCCTAAATTGTAAATCACCGTTGCATCATCATTATTGGTCCTGGGCAGCTCACTTCCGTAGTGGTTTTCTTTTTTTTTTGTTTTAATCTGCATCCTTTTATTTTCACAGTAAGTAACTTTTTTTGTTCCATCGCCACTTTTTTTTTCTGTTAACTTCCGTTGTGGCTTTTTAAACATTTTTTTTATCTGCACCATTTCTTTTTTTATTTGCACTGAGCTTCGGTTTCTTTTTTATTTTGCATCAGTAACTTCAGTTGTGACCTCTTTTTTAAATTTTTTTTAATTCTTTTTTATTTGCAGCAGTGGCGGTTCTCAGCCACTGTAGAAATCCCATTGAATACAGACAGCAATGAAGACATGTAAGAGATGTTAACAAGAGGGTCTTAAGTCTCTTGAGGGAGAAACTAAACTTTAGAGTCTCTGAGAAGAAATATTCATTTTATTACTTTCAATGATGCCAGATGTGTGATTTAAGAATTAGTTTGACTCATTCAGCTCAGTGTTGAGACACAGAAATCAGTCTATTACTTCAGAAAAACAATTATGACACTGCAGAAACTATCTAACTGTAATTACAAACTATCTCAATTATGTAGTCAATTTATTGGTTTACAGTAGCATGGGTGCAAAAGCATTTATCCATGGATCACTCGGTGTTTATTGCAAAATGCTGATCTGCTGCACTGGCCCCATGGATGTTTTTGTAAATTAGAAACAAAAGAAGAACACCAACACCCAACAATAAAGCATTCTGATTAAATGTAAGGCCAACAACTGCTGTAACATACTGAGGGTTGATAATCTATTGATGTGCGTTCATCTTGTAGGTGAGAGAACTGTTGTTTCTCTTTTCAGCCAGGGTTCAACAAAACAGGTAATCCAACATTTTTTATCCTGATCAATTTTCCAGTTTGTGTTTTTTTTTTTAACTTTGAAGTGAGATTAGGATAATTTTAATCCAAATCCAGGTTGTCCTGGTCCCAGCAGAGGGCTGGATTCAGATTGGACTAGACAAACTAAGTAGAAAAATTTTACAACAATTTTTGTACTCTGAAAAGTTTCGCATTTTTGAATCAGTACTATTAGGGTTGTGAAAACATTAATGATCTTCATCCACCAAAAAGCATCAGAGTCAAATATGGAACAGGATCTTTCAGTTTGTTAGGATTTAGGCGCCCCCTGCAGACAAAGTATGGAGGCTGCAGTCCTTGTTTGAGCTCCAGCAATCTGGATTTGGTTATCCTGAAAAGTTTAATTCTGGATCAAAATTGTCTTAATATTAATTCTATTTCAAACCAGGTTAAAAGTGATCTGGATTAACTGATCGTGGACAACGGTAAAAGTGCGTTTCAAAATGTGGATGTTTGTTATCCAGATCATACCCTGAAATGTGAGCTCTGAATTTAGCTTCAGTGAAAGAACAGAAGTTTGATCAGTGTGAAAATCATGATTTGGATGATTTTAAATGCAAATACAAGTAAGATCTGGTGAACAAAAGAACAAAGTAAAAGAAGAAAAGTGGCAAACCAAAACTTGTGGAATCTAAGATCTATGGACATGGATTGCATTGAGTTCTATAGTTTTTAAATTTACTGCATTGATAGCAAATATGTGTATTTATATAAACAATATACATTGCTATATTTGTTTAAATTCAGTGTTAATGAGATGCTGAGTTTTCTTTGTCTCACCTTCGGGATGCTCCTGCTGCTGGTTTCCTCCTCTGACGCTGCACGATGAAACTCTGAAGCTTTACCTGCTCTTACTTGCCGAAGCAAGCCCCGCCCCTCCAGGTGTGTGAGGAGACGTGAGGTAACGAGAGAAAAGCCGACACACTCTGAAATGTGCACCACAACTGTAACACACTTAATTCTCCACCCTCATTCAAAGTTGCAGTGTGGGAACTTTAGATGTATTTTTTAAAATGTTGCTGGTTCTATGTGTTTTGTTTCGTTGCAATGATGTTTTCCACAACCCCCCTGTAGATTTTAACCTCAGTCATTTCTGAATCACATCCTATCAGGAGTGTAAATGTGCGTGTGTGTGTGTGTGTGATATTTGCGGTGTGAAACATCAAAGCGTACAGACAGATAAAAATGAGTGTTTGCAGTTTCCTCTTCCTAAATCCTGTATTTCCAGATGAAAGACATCAGCGCCACACACCCTTCCTGTCAGCCTCTCATCACACAACACACACTGATGACTGTTTACACACACTCACACACCTGTAACATGAGCTGCTGTCTCAGACTTACCCGCACTCCACTCAACCACTTCACCACATTTGATTTAAAGCAAAAGGATGTTAAACACACTTCTGTCTTGTGCTTTAACAGTTAAAACATATTTTAATTTATAGCTTTTAAAGTGATCAGGTTTTCGTTGGTGTCTCTATTGTGGTTTAGATCAGTCACAGTTGAGATGTGGTTTGACCAATCAGAACCAAGTATTAAACGCAGCATATTTAGTGTTTAAATGTGTGTATGTGTCACTTTTTATGGTAGATGGAGCACTTGGATATAGTTTCCTCTAAACAGAAAAAGTTTGAAACTGCTGTTTAATAATGTTAGAGCCAGTCTTTAATCCTAATCTCAGCAATAATGGCTGCTGAGTTATGGCAAAACTAGAGATAGAGGGTATGTCCATTCAGGACAAAACAGGGGCAGCACAACAGGCAACACAATATTATTTATTGTACTTTTACAATTGTGAACTTTTCTGAAAACATGGATGTAATTTTAGGGACGTAACCCACTGGTCCAAAAGATGGTGTTCATCATGGAGCTGGGGCAAGACTGTAGCCTCTTAAAAAACACCTACAACACTAACCTGTCAGTCAAATTAGTAATGCAAACTCTCAGCATCATGCTTTTTCTGTGTTTTTATCATGAGTAGAATTTCACTGCACAGTTCATTAACAGGGTTTACTCACTAAGTTACAAGTGAATCGCCTCCAAATCGTTCTGTTTGTGCATACCTCCTTAAAAAACATTCTCCTCCCTCTGTCTGTCAGATGTTTTCAGATGTGCAGGACTTTCCGTCTAAATTCAACATTATCCACAGAGGGTCCAAATGATGGTGTTTCCTCCCCACACAGTTTATAAATTTGTCTGCACAAGAGTTAAAAAAAAAAAAAACTCTAAAAACAAATTTTCTAACCAACCAATATTTCCACATGGACTATTACTGTTCTTGCTCACAATTACAGTAAAATATATTGAAAATGAAACATATGTTTTGTGGTGCCTCCGAACAAGACAATGCATGAATCCTCATGTGCAAGTGAACACGTGTCAGTCCTCTCTAAACTAATATAAACACCAATATAGTGATTGTCAGTGAATTAGTTCATCTTTAAGTCCTGCAGCTAAAGCTCATGTTTGAGTACAAGTCCAAGTCATTAATCGAAGCACCAAGTGGAAACTTAAGAAACTCAAGTTGCTGCTTAATATCCACTTCAGTTTACTGTTGCAGCTTTAGATATAGATAGATTCGTACACAGGTAGACAGTGGGCTGAAACTTTATTCATGTATTCATCTGTTTATGTGCATAATGAACAGAATCATCACACCTACAATTACCTGTCTCTCTGTTAATGTTCACACCTGGGGAAAAAAAACACACACTGGTTTGTCGTCGGGCTTCCATCTCAGGTGTTAACTCGTCCTAATCTCTCTGTCTGTGTGTGTTCCTGAGGAAGAGGGAGCACACACACTCACACACACACATCTATTTGTAGTGTGTTTGTGTAATACAGAGTGTGTTCGTGTGTTCAGTCTGTCAGTGTAACATCAAAGATGAAACATGTAGAGACCTGAAGGATCTTCCCTGAGTTTAATACCTGAGTTTATCCAACCAGACGTCCACTCTCAGCTGTAAATGACCAGAAAGAGTTATACATATGATATTAATGTTTCCTGCTTTGTGCTCACTACTTGTTTAACAAACAACCTCATTGATACAGACACCACATGCTTACAATACAAAATGGTTTTTAGTCATGACGAAAAACAAACCTAAGACCTGAAGGATAAAGTCATAAAGAAGTCATAAAGTTGTAATGTCACCTCATCCAAATGTACACATTCAAGTACTGATTTATACCAAAGCGTAGTAATACAAAACTAATTGGCATGTTTTGTCCAGGTTTCCATCCCCATAAAGTCTGATTTTGGGGTTATTTTTTCCATAAAGTTCACAGCTTTGAGTCTCTGGATCCATTGTTACAGCATTAGTTAACTGTGATTACTTCATGTGTGTTTAACAAGAGTTACCTAACCAATACTTTTACTTTTTCTCCAACCCTGTAAGTAGGGATCACCAAGATTAGTTAGACATTTTCTTTATTACTTTTTTATATATTCCCAATAATTTAAGTTTTAGGGCAAAAATCTGGGAAAAATCTCTGTATCCTCTCCAGCACAGAGATTCTAGCTTTATGTCATATTTCAAAATGACAAATGGTGCTCTTCTTATTCTAAATTTCCAATCCAATTCTAGCTGGTACAGGACTCCACATTCACATTTACCAATCTGTTTTATTTTATATATGTTGTTTTTTAAATGAGTCAAACTTGAGTGTGTTCACTCTGAGTTCTTGTTTTTGTCATTGATAAACTTAAAAATGTATCATTTTTATGTATAAACTTACAAACTTAACTAATGGATGAACTATGTAGTTTCAAATAAGATATTAATCATGCTTTCGAAAGGCATCTCATGACCCCCACCATGGATACCGCTGTTTCAGAGGAGTATGAACCCACCTGGATGTAGGAATAAACAATTCAGTTTCAAGGGTCAGTTTGCATTCTGCCCCACTCAAGGAATCAGTCTGTACACGTTTCTCCTGAAGACTGGGTGCCCTCCAGTGGCCTCTTCAAGTATTGCACTTATGGCTGTAAGTAAAGCTCACATAGATGCTGATTAAAGACTATTTAATCAAAATTTTTAGGCACAAAATAATAAGATTGTCTATTCTAAAGCTCTTGTGAGTAGTTTGTTGAGGTTAACTAAATAGATTAAAATTAATACTGACACAGGAAAGCAAATTTTATTTTTGATGAACAGTATATATGAATCTTAATAGCTCTCAGTTACTTTTAATATCTAATGACACATTATTTACTGAGTATCAGGTGTATTATCAGCCTTATTAGCCTTATACGTATGGCCTTTTATCTGTCTTGGTCTTTCATTTTATAGTTGGCTGATAAAATTAGTTGAAAGGTGTGCTACTTTGGCTCTGCTGCTGGTCTGTCTTTCCCTCAGGGTGTGTTTTCTCACGCCTCTTTGCCTCGATCAGCTTAACATCACATGACAGTGTTACATTAATGTGCTCTAAGTGTAACCAGTTAACTATTTATTCCTGCTGCTGGGGTCTTATTGAAGTCCAGGTCTCTCTGATTTCTCCTTCAGCTGGTCTGTGTTGTTGCTCTGGAGTCTCTTCTCTCTCTCTTGATGATACCCCAGAGATCCTCTATGAGGCTCAGGTCTGTTGGCTGGCTAATCAAGCATAGTAATACCATAAACAGCAAACCAGTTTCTGGTAGTTTTGACGTTATGGGCAGGTACCAGGTCCTGCTGGAAAAGGAAATCTAGATCTCCACAAAGCTGCTTAGAAAATGGAAGCATGAAGGTTTCTAAAACCTCCTGGTAGACATCAGGCTGTGTTGATTCTGGACTTGACAAAACACAGTATAGACCAACAGCAGCAGATGACTTGGCACCTCAAATCATCACAGACTGTGGAAACTTCAACCTTGGATTCTGGACCACTCTGATCTTCCTCCAGACTTTACGACCTTGATTTACAAATGAGACGCTAAATAGACTTTGACCTGAAAATAGGACTTCAGGTCACTAAGCTACAGTCCAGTTCTTTCTCTTCTTAGTCCAGGTGAGACTTTTATAGCGTTGTCTCTGTTTCAGGAGTGTCTTGACAGTGGGATCTCAATACTTGTGGTCTAATTCCTGGACAGACCTCTGTGTAGTGGCTCTTGGTGCTCTGACTCCAGCCTCAGTCCTTGTGAAGCTCCCCTAAGTTATTTTTTTTCTGCTTCTTTTTATGATTCCCCAAAAGCTGTACTCAACTCTGTTGCTTGGTCTCCTTCTCCTCTCTCATTTTTCTCTTCAGTCAACTTTCCATAAATGTGATTCCATACATCGTTCAGGTCTTTCAGGACCTTGGACAGCTCCTGCAGTTGCAGCCTTCTTACCTTGAGGTAAGAAGAATTTAATGCAGATGAAACAGGAAAAAAAACTCAATTTGAAATGAATTTGATTGGAAAGGAAAAGTAGGATATTTTATGTTATTGCACAGTTTGATATTTTTAGGACACTTAGCTTGTGGGACTTTAGTACAGTTGTAACTGCTGAAAAATAACAGAAAAAAATTACACACAATACCAACTCATGTGCACACACATACATACGAATACAGAGTCCTGCAGCAGATACAGTACCTACTATTTTCATTAACGTCCATAAATCCTCTGAAAACTCAGAACTGTCCTGGAAGTTGTGTGTTTCTTTACCATTAAAATAAAATAATGTGTATGTATATTGTGTTTAATATTTCCTAACACCATAGGTCCATAGGATGACAGATTACCACCTCCAATACTTTGGTTCCAGCAGGTAAAGAAGTGAAGGAGCCAAGTACAAGCTGCGTGAGAGGCAGGCAAAGGTGGCAGCTGAGTTTCTCCTGCAGGGTGTTCGAATCAGAGCCAAGTATGTCACACATACAAGGAGTTGCACTGCAGTTAACATTGCTTTTAATTTATGAAATATGACAAGGAATAAATAAGTGTGTACTTTACCCCTCAATATACTGATATTAAACATGTATGGATAATTATCACGACATTGTTATCACTTGCCCAAACTTTCATTGTCTTGAGTATAAGTGTGGTATAATTTGTGCTAATTTTATTAAAAAATAGTGTCACAGTGTGCAGAGTCAGTGCATCACAGTGCATTCTGAACAATAAACTGAACAAGAACACCTCTATACTGTCATACGATGTTTACAAAAATCCAATTAAGTTTCAGATTTATTTATGCAAACTAAAATCTTTAAATTCCCCAGTCTATTAATTATAACTCAAAAATATTAACCTAAGTCTGTAGGAACCAAAGTCTGTAATTTGCACTTGTTGCTTGTTGTGATAGAGAAAGTTGGTGGATGCAAAACACGTTTTTATATCACTTTAGAGAGCAATATAATAATAATAATAATCTTTATTGTCCCCAGGGGGAAATTTGCTTTCACAGGTCTTATTCTAACACAAAACAGGAGTACAGACAACATATACCATATGACACAAAACATATTACAAGGACAGGCCATGAGAACCCCCCCAGAATACACAGAGACCTTCCTAGCGGTGAGGCAGTTTAAGCTTGTTTACTGTGGCGATGGCTGTTGGGATGAAACTCTTACTAAACTGAACCCTCTTCCACTTGGGTAATCTGTATCTGCGGCCTGATGGCATGAGGTCAAAGTGACGATGCAGAGGATGCTCATATGATGTTATTCTGTTAGTGTTTGTGAGAAGTCTCTATGTGATGTCCCTTTATAATTTCATTTCAGGCCTTGACAACCTCACATGCTCACTCACTTTTCGGTAGATGTCAGTTTAGTCCTCAATGACTCAGGACTCAAGGTTTAGGGTTTTAGGACTCAGGGTTTAGAGAGGAAACTGGGGTTCAGCCTGAAAGTGAACCGTCTGTCTGTCTGTGTCGCTTTCATACCACCAAAGGGCGCTCGTGATGCAATTCCTGTTGGTGAGCGAGCGCCAGGCTGACCTAATAGGCTACACGAGGAACATTTTCATGACAATGATTGCTGAGAACTTTATGAAAGAATGAATACGCAACAGACAAGAAACCTAATTAAAAACACCAGAGATATTTGAGTAATAATATGAATAATATTTATTGATTTAATAACTTCAAGACACAACAGACTAATTACAATCGATTGGAGGAGCACGTGCAGCCTTCACAGAAAGCCTGCGCTCCCTCCTGTTTGTCTACACAGTAGAAAAATAACCTCGAATTTGTAAAAATGTGCAAATATTGCACAACTGCACACACCAAAGCTCCAAACTCACGCGCAAAGTTTGCGTCATGCACGCAGATCCAGGTGTGTGTGCGCGCGCAGCCTGTCAGCTTGTCCATGAAATTAGAAAGCGAACATGAATCAGAGAAAGTCCAAACTACCACGGCCTCCACAAAGTGCCGTCATTCCGCGCAGAGGAACGTAAAGATGAACGCTTCCGCGCCGCGCTCCGCCGCCTCTGCTCGCCGCATACGTGCCGCTGCAGCGCCGCTCTCTGCAGCACGTAGAAGCGTTTGATCTCCTCTCTTTCTGCGGGCTTTAGGGGCGCATGGAGCGACAAGTGGCGCAGGGTCTCCTGCAGACACTGAGAGAAGCCCTGAGAGTAACTGGGGGCCACACGGGCCAGAGCGCGCCGCTTCAGGAGCCCCACAGCCAGCTCCAGGATGTCCGCCTTCTCCAGCCGGGAAGAGGGCTCTTCTCCCGGGGGGGCCGCCGGGTTCAGGAGCGCTCTGAGCTGCTCGATGCTGTGGTTGATCCGGTCTCTCCGCACTTTCTCCACCATCAGTTTACGCAGCTGTAAAGGAAAAAAAGACATCGTGAGATACTGAAGAAGAAGAAGAAGATGATGATGATGATGATGATGATGAAGAATAAGGAGAAGAAGGTTTTCGGTCCTCACCTTGTTGGAGCTGTTAGGGTCCTCAGGTTTCTCTTCAGGTCTGTTCTGGGTTACAGGAGCCATGGTTCAGTCTCTGTGGGTCTGTGTGGGTCTGTGTGGGTCTCTGCTGATCCCGGGTCTTATTTATACTGCTGAGGGGGCTCCGGTCCGCGTGGACTCTTCACACTTAAGACTTTCCCACAGTCCGCAGCCGTAAAAGTCATAAAACCAGACACAGACAGCGTCCTGTCTGAGACACCTCCTGCACTTCCTCCTCCTCCTCTCTGATCTGAAGTGTGCCACGCTCTGTCACGTGCTGTCACACCTCCCACCTGACGTTCTCACGTCCACGCAAACATCAAAGACTCCTCACGCTCACACACAAACAGATGTATCAGAATGATGCCTCAAATGGTTCACGGCGAGTCACGTGACGGCGGGCACGAGGTGACAGCAGGAAGCAGCTAACAGCCTCACACTGAGCTGTTGCTGTGGGAGACATCCACGCGCCACTCGACGGGAAACATGCAACAACAAAAACAACAACATAAAGAAATCCTGTAGCCTACAGCACGTTAAATACAAACTCAACATTTAGCATAATAACGATAAACATGAAAAATACTACAAAACAGCATGAATTTTAAAGTCAAGACTGATGAGACACGAGTGGAAATAAAATATGTTTGGGCATTAAACATGACATTAAAATATTATTGGTTGAAATTAAAAGGCAATGAGAACAAGTGAAAGATTAATCATTTAAGATTTAGAAACTTTGAGAAAGATTTTAAAAACTTTGAGTCATTTTCTCATGAGATTAAAACTTGGTCATACAAATGTAACATTATGGTTTAAGTCTTTTTCAGCTCAATCATAAAAAGCTGACTTAGAAAGAAATTAAACTCTGAAATCAGGGGTTTATGCGTCTCTATTTTTTCAACACTATTTAATATAGTTAATGTGAAAGTTGACTTAAATTCCACTGTCTTTATCTGATTGGTAAAAATCTGAAAACAGTAAAGAAACCTTATCAAACCTCAGCTGGAGTGTGATTCATTTTTATGGCAAACACTGTCAGATATCAAAGTTAATACAATACAAAACACAACAAGGTTTTTATTAACTTTTTATCTGCCTTTTTTTAAGCACTGTCTACCTGGTGCTATTGCAGGCCCTGTTCACGTAGACAGCAGTAGAGGGATGGTATAGGGGGGCTTCATACACTGCGGGGTGAGGGGTGTTTGTGTGATGGTTGGGGGTTTAGAGAGAGACGGTTTATGGTGGAGGTGGAAGTGTGCCGTCTGTCTCGTCTGACTCAGACAGACTGACTCAGGGGTGGATTTACTCAGAGATCACTGTGTTACACCCTGATAGATGAGAACAACAGGTAGCAGTGGTTAAAATCTTCAAATGTACATTACACAACACCATACACAGGTAACAATAAATGCAGACAAGTGGGGTCTATAAAAGACAAACCAAGAGATGGAAAATAAAATCGGGTGTCAGATCAGAATCAGTTCCAGTGAGTTCCATCCCTTAACATCATTTGATGTGAGGCCAAATGGTTCCTTTATCCATGGCTTCAACTTAGACCCCAAACAATGACAGCCCCTAAGAAGCAACCAGCAGGAACTACAGCCGAAGAAGAAATAATGGCAGAGAAAAAAAAAAGTCCAAAATGCTGTCTCATTCAACCCAAACCTGGTGTGCCTAAAATATCCGGTCTAAGAAGCAAGAACAGTATGCACCAGTTTACAATCAAATCCACTCTCTCTGTGAGACCGGCAGCTTTCCAGCAATAAACTCTATTTATATCTTTGACATCCAAGAGTTCAGCAGTTTTTCGACCCCGCATAGAAGATCAGAGTATTTCAGAAACTGTCCAGATCCAATCCCTCGGAAAACAAAGATAATCTGTGATTATTTATAGATTAATTTTAGCAAAATATTGACAACATTTTTCTATAATTGAAGGATACCATCTTTGATTTGTCCCTCAGTCAGAGGCTGTGTATCAGCTGACCTGTAATGGCCCAGTGAGGCTTCCCTATCCCAGCAGAAAAATGAAATTTGTGTTGATGAAACAAAAAATAAATAAATAAATTACCTTACTTAAGAATTGATAAAAGAGTAAATAAATTAATATGCAAAGAAGAAAGGCCTCAGTATCAATAAAATCAGATAATTTCCCACTCCTGATAAAATGGAGGAAATTCTAATGTCAGATTTACTCTAGAAACTTCAGAGTGACACCACAGGGGTTCGCATAGAAGTAAAACATTCAATGACAAAGTGCAGCAGGGTCACACACCAGGAAACAGGGCCTGATAAAATGGCTGTTCAGGGAACTCTGATAAGTCTAAAGTAAGCTCAGAGAAGTAAGACTGGTTAAGGTCTTAAAATCTTGTTGTTTAATTTGATAAGTGAGAAAGCCTGGTATTAACAGTTGTAGCGTGTTTTTTACTGCGTTGTTTCATGATATGATCGTTTTTGTTTTAAAGGTGTCAAACTAGATGTTTCCATCTTGCATAAACACAGCCCACAATTTCAAAAAGTCAGCTGAACCTGAGCACTTGGACTGATTGAATCTGCAGGTTTGTTTTTGTTGAAACTGCCAAGACAGGATCATTCTTCTAAAAATAAAACTTTGAGCACAAGGTGAGAAGACACAACTATGAACTTTTATTGTTAAATGTTTTGATGATACATACAAATATTTTTATTTATATATATTTTTAACTTTACTTTTTTACACAATGCTCGATTTTAAGATGCTTGTGTTTTATGTTGGGATGCAACAGCATTAATATGAAAAATTAAGAAAAAATGTACATTACTGCAGCCTTAGACAACTGACTCTAGAGTGACCATCCAAAATATGAAACTTTTAATGTTTCATTGAAACTGTCAGGACTGAAGAAGAAATATTCTCGTATTAGAAAATGCCACGTTTATTTTATGCGCATTTTAATTCCACAATGACCAGTTGCACTTGCCTACTTGTCCTCAATGAAACAATGTACAGCTCTGTGTGACATTTTCTGTGAACACAATTATCTTACTGCATTTACTTTAAAATTCTTAAGATGAATATTTAGACTTTTGCATTTCTAATGTTCTCTGTTGGATCAACGTTTCCTCGTCACTGTTTTCTCTCAGAAAGTTTCATTCAGTGATAAACAGATTTGATTCTGTCTTAATGATATTTCAGTTTCTGTGTGTGTGTGTGTGTGTGTGTGTGTGTGTGTGTGTGTGTGTGTGTGTGTGTGTGTGTGTGTGTGTGAAGAGCAGATAAAGTGAGGTGCAGCCAGTGTTGAGCTCTTATCTTTATGTGTTTACTGTCCTCATCAGGACCAAACATCTGCAGCAGGAAGGTTCCCAGATCATAAAAAACACTCCTCTCAGTGTGTGTGTGTGTGTGTGTGTGTGTGTGTGTGTGTGTGTGTGTGCTGTGAGTGTGGGAAAGCTGCTGCAGCCTGGGCCTCCTGTCTTTGTCATGTTAATGTGTGTGCATGTATAAATAGAGGAGGGGGCTCCTGGCTCTCCTCACAGCTCACTCTGCTCAAGCTCCACTGAAGCTCCTCTCTGCTCCTCCATGGCTCCTTGCTCCTCCACACACTCCCAGCTCTCCTCCAAAGACAGACACAAAGTAAGTCCTCCTCTCTGAACTCCCTCCCTTTCTTCCTCTCTCCCTCCTCTCTCCTCTCCTCTTTTCTCTCTCCACCTTTGGCTGACCTGACCTCTTCCTCTCTCTCTCCTCCAGCTGAGGAAACCTCTGGTGGAGAAGCTGCGCAGAGATCGCATCAACAGCTGCATCGAGCAGCTCAAGGTGCTGCTGGAGAAGGAGTTCCACAAACAGGATCCCAACGCCAAGCTGGAGAAGGCCGACGTGCTGGAAATGACCGTGGTGTTCCTCAAGCAGCAGCTGCAGCCTCAGAGCCCGCAGAGCCACGGCTACTCCCGCTGCTGGAAGGAGACGCTGCACTTCCTGTCCTCGGACCCCCTGAAGGAGCTGACGCTGCCACACCTCCACCTGCTGCACAGAGGAGGCCGGGACTCCGAGCCCGCGCCGCGCTCCTCTTCCTCACCTCCTCAGCCTGCAGAAAAGCAGCCGTGCAGTCCCCACAGAGACGTGTGGAGGCCGTGGTAGGAACTGAGGATGGTGATGGAGGATCTTCATCAACAGACCGCGGGACTGCTGTCATTTCCTTCATGAACCGGTCCTTTATTTTGAAAGGACAGAGGAAGTGAGCTGGTGTTACTTCATGTTGAAGCTGCTCAGGTTGTGCTCTGTTGATGCTCGCTGTAAACTTTGAGGACAACTTCATGTTTTCTGAGTGAGACTGACCTTCACTCATCATGTCTGCTGCCTTTTACAAAGGCCCCGAGAGTGTGTGTGTGTGTGTGTGTGTGACTGTGTGTGAAGGACAGAGTGTGTGCTCTGATTTAACAATAATTCAGTGTGAAAATAAAAAGTCTTTTCTTGTAGAAAAACCAGATATATTCTTGTACTCTCTTAGGAGAAACTTCAAAATAAAATTATTTTATAATTTATCCAAGTGTTTTCTGCATTTTATTTTTGTGTTTTATTTTGGCGGGTCAAAATGAAAACAAAATTTTTCCTGGAAATGAGAGGATTCCTGTTAGTTAAGGAGGGTTCAGTCTGTTGCTGAGATTGATTGCAGAGAAAGTGATTGGGCTTTTCTGTCATAAATCAATACAAACATCCAGCCTGTGTGTGTGTGTGTGTGTGTGTGTGTGTGTGTGTGTGTGTGTGTGTGTGTGTGTGTGTGTGTTTAGACCGTGCACACCTGCCTACTCTTACCTGAGGGGCAGACTCAGATCAGCTTACGCCTGCAGACATTAAAACAGGGCACAGTTTTCCCACGACTCGTTGATTATAGGGAGTAAAACACTGACATGACAGAACAAACAGCACACTGTTCACCACACTGATACACACGCAGTACTCTGGATTTGTAGGGGCCACATTCTAGTTTCTTTTCAAGTCTCATATTTTGATAATTTTCTGCAGTTCGTTTACTCTTTAACTCTGTCAGTGCCCTCTTCAGGTGGTGAGGATGTCAGTCTATCAGTAAGTCAGGACTATGTGATTCAACAGTTTGACCTTTGACCCATCTGTTGACATGAAGAAGGTGGAGTCAGGATATTGTTGGATAATCTGTTATTCAACTAAATAACTGTTTTACTGTCTTCATTAAATAGATGAAAATAAAGGCACCTTTAGTTCATTTTTCATCTATTTTTTTTTCACCTTTTCCCAATTTTAATTGAAGGAAAATTTAATAGTGCAAAAATGTCTCACAGTTTTGTTTTACATTTTCAAACCAAAAAGGAGGTCCTGTAGTCTACTCCTTTAGTCTTTGAGATTTTGATTAAATATGTCACTGTAGGAATATTTATGAATTGATACAAATGTTCCTCATCATATTAGATATAAACAGAAACTCCTAAATCCAGTTTTGCCGCTGTGATTTTACATGCAGGACTTAAACTTATTACTCTCCTTCAAGTGATTGTCAGAGACTGGCTCATTCATGAGGTCGGTGTCTGAATGTTATTCTTATAACCAAAGCAGTGATTGTGTAATGTTTGCCACACAGACACATTACATGCAGGTGGAGCTATAAGCATTTACCTGAGAATATCCATTTTAGTATGAAATGTTGTAAATTTATCATATAATCTATCATACAGTGTTAAACATGGATGACTTGTCAGCTCTGTAAAAGTGAAACTTAAACTTTTCTTTCATCCCAGCCATCAACAGACATAAAGTTAAACTGTAAATCTAATTGTAAGTCAATAAATGTTTTCTTATATATGGCTTTATACATGATTTTAGTTTGTTTGTATCGGGCTGAGAGTTTATTTTACAGACAGGTTCAGTTTGAATCAGTTATTGGAATCTGTAAAAGAGGTAGAAAAGAGACAGAGGATTTTATTTTTAGTCGGAGGAAGGGGCTGGACATCAGCACATCTACAGAAAACATCAGTGCCCATCAGAGCTATCATATTTCGGCATCACAGTAGTTTCTCTGACACCTTTATTTGAGTGGAGAGCTGATTTATTCCAGTTATTTATTTTTTTTGTCATTTAACTGGTACTTCTTACAGTTCCATATTATTCTAGGCTAAATTTGACGCGTCAGACATCTGGGGTCATGTTGACTCTTAAAAAAGTTTGAGTAGTTTGAAAATTTGAGCAGATTATCTGTGTTTAAGGTGGAGTGGAGTAAAGGTGGTACAGCTGTGGCTGATTGGACCTCAGATAATCATCTCTCTTCTTCAGATTAGTTTTCCCTCCAGATTCAGAGGAAGATTAGTGAGGGGAGGAGGGGGGAGTTGGCTGAGGAGGTTTCTCACCACCACAGTGTGTGTGTGTGTGTGTGTGGGTGTGGGTGTGTGTATGGGGGGGGGGGTAATTTAACACGGCACACTTCCTTTGTCCCAGGGATGAAGGGCAGAGAGGAGGAGGAGTGTGGGAACCTGGAGGAGAGGAGGACTCCACAGAGAGGAGGAGACGCCCTGCAGCCGCCAAGCAGCTGTTTGATGAAACTAGATCTGACACAGAGCTGGACGAAGGGGGGTCATGATTAACCCCCCCACCCATGAGGCATGATGGAGGCTGCACGTGTGACAGCGTGCCCATCGATCCACATCAGGATAATCATGGGAGACTCTGAGTTTAACAAATAAATCATCATCTGTTACCGGGCAGATAAGCCCTGCTCTGAGCCTCTGCTGGGGTTTGAGTCTGCTCATATATTTGTGTCACATGGTTATAAATGGAAGGATTGACTTTTCTGTTTAATCAAACATGCAAATATATGCAGGAACATAAAAGTTTTTGATCTTGAACTTAAAATAGAACATTTTCAAAACATATTCAGTCAAATATTTGTAAGTTCTTGCAGATATATAAAAGATGAGCATCTTTTAAAGTTCACAGAGCTGCACAATTTTTTAATAAAGTAGCTAAAGGTGACAGAGCGAAAGTTTTTATTGAGGCTAAAATGTTTGTTTATCAGGGATGTGACCAGCCATAGCAGGAAATGGGTGCAGAGAAGAGCACGGCACATACCTCAGTGCGGTGTGTAATAATATCAGGGTATTCCTCATAATTTCATCTAGTTTTAACATGTTGAATTAAAGCTTTTAGCAGCATAGACAGACAACTTTCAGAGATGTAGAATGGTATATCTGTACATATTGAGGCCTTTTTTTTTTTTAAAGGAAATATGACAGCAGCTACAACTGCAGTCAGGAGCATTTTTTTTTTAAATCTGACCCACCAAAATAAAGCACAAAACAAAACGCAGAAAACATGTAGATAAGCTATTTGTAAAACAAGTTTATTTTGAAGTTTCTCCTAAGAGAGTACAAGAATATATCTGTTTTTTCTACAAGAAAATACTTTTTTTTTTTTCACACTGAATTATTGTTAAATCAGAGCACACACTCTTGTCATTCACACACAGTCACTCTCTCTCACACACACACTCTCGGGGCCTTTGTAAAAGGCAGCAGACATGATGAGTGATGGTCAGTCTCACTCAGAAAACATGAAGTTGTCCTCAAAGTTTACAGCGAGCATCAACAGAGCACAACCTGAGCAGCTTCAACATGAAGAAACACCAGCTCACTTCCTCTGTCCTTTCAAAATAAAGGACCTGATCATGAAGGAAATGACAGCAGTCCCACGGTCTGTTGATGAAGATCCTCCATCATCATCCTCAGTTCCTACCACGGCCTCCACACGTCTCTGTGGGGACTGCACGGCTGCTTCTCTGCAGGCTGAGGAGGTGAGGAAGAGGAGCGCGGGGTGGGCTCGGGGTCCCGGCCTCCTCTGTGCAGCAGGTGGAGGTGTGGCAGCGTCAGCTCCTTCAGGGGGTCCGAGGACAGGAAGTGCAGCGTCTCCTTCCAGCAGCGGGAGTAGCCGTGGCTCTGCGGGCTCTGAGGCTGCAGCTGCTGCTTGAGGAACAACACGGTCATTTCCAGCACGTCGGCCTTCTCCAGCTTGGCGTTGGGATCCTGTTTGTGGAACTCCTTCTCCAGCAGCACCTTGAGCTGCTCGATGCAGCTGTTGATGCGATCTCTGCGCAGCTTCTCCACCAGAGGTTTCCTCAGCTGGAGGAGAGAGAGAGAGAGGAGGAGGTCAGGTCAGCCAAAGGTGGAGAGAGAAAAGAGGAGAGGAGAGAGGAGGGAGAGAGGAAGAAAGGGAGGGAGGTCAGAGAGGAGGACTTACTTTGTGTCTGTCTTTGGAGGAGAGCTGGGAGTGTGTGGAGGAGCAAGGAGCCATGGAGGAGCAGAGAGGAGCTTCAGTGGAGCTTGAACAGAGTGAGCTGTGAGGAGAGCCAGGAGCCCCCTCCTCTATTTATACATGCACACACATTAACATGACAAAGACAGGAGGCCCAGGCTGCAGCGGCTTTCCCACACTCACAGCACACACACACACACACACACACACACACACACACACACACACACACACACACACACACACACACACTGAGAGGAGTGTTTTTTATGATCTGGGAACCTTCCTGCTGCAGATGTTTGGTCCTGATGAGGACAGTAAACACATAAAGATAAGAGCTCAACACTGGCTGCACCTCACTTTATCTGCTCTTTTATTGTACTATTTTTGTTGCTTTTCTTGTTTTTGGGGTTTCAAACTTAATGTTATCACCTTGCAGAAAAACAAATCTACCTACCAGTACAAATAAGGTCACATGAGCCTGAACTCTCACTTTGCAGCAGTATTTAACGTACATTTACGTCTGCTGCTGAAATAGAAAACAGGAAATATATTTTGCTGAAATCAAATCACACACACACAAAAAAAATCAGGTTATTAGATGCATGTATTTATTGCATCTCAAATCAGCAGGTTTAAAATAATGAAGTTTTATACTTGGCGTTTAGTGTTTCTGAATTTTTCTTTCCAGTTTGAATCAAAGTGAAACCAACTCTAAACATCACCCTAAAATCAATGCCAAGCGTGCAATGGTAAAGTTTTTATGTATGCATATATGTATAATTAATGCAATTTTATTTTTAGAAAAAGTAAATTAATAAAAGGGTCACTTTGTGTCTCAAGTTTGGCAGAAAAAATGATTTTGTTTCTCAGCTGCAATAAGTACAAACCTGCAGATTTACTGAATTTAATTTTTACAGAGATTAATGAATGATTTTTGCTGATGACTTTTGGATTTTAATAAAACTTTTTTGATCATATAACTTTAAAATACAACATTTAACCTGGATGTTCTGCTGTTAAATGCTATTTTACATGCTTTACAGACAATACAATAAAAAATACAATGATTCAAACTTTTTAAGTTGTTCTAAAGCGTTTTTATAAATATAATCAGTTTTGATTTAATCTTTATTTCCATCTTACTGAACAAAAACACTGACCCTGACAGAGCTGCAGGGACTCTCACAGATTTGGAGGGAAACTCGTAGCTGTCAATTATACACCATTAACCAGAGTCCTCTGGGAAGGCACACTTCTATTGTGTGTCCCCCCACCTAACTCCCCCTCCTCCTCCTCTTTCACTCCCCCTCTTCACAGAGTGTGTAATAAATGGGAACGAGAGTGTGGGAAAGGAGGCTGAGATCCTGCTCACACACCCCCCCAGTCAATAGAGCCCCCTCCTTCCCCCTCCTCCCCCCTCACACCAAAGCCTTTCAACCTGTGAGATCAGATCAGAGGCTCCACTGAGCCGGGGGCCACGTGTGGACCGTCTCTGAGCATTCCCGCCCTCGTTCACATCGACCGACCAAACCTCATGAGAGTTTCAGTGTGTTTATACTCACCTACTGATTACTGCAGCCCCCCCTCTCTTTAACTAAACATGTGGTTCAACACCTCAACCCACCTCTGAACAAGTTCTCACACTGTTTACATTAAAGAAACACAACAACAAAATCACAACACCAGTCATAATAGGTTTGGGCACCACTCAAAACTCTGATTGAAATAAAATAAGAATTTGATTGTTTGCAAACTATTAAAAGCTTGTATTTTATTGAAAATAATGCGTGGCAGCACATTTTGCACCTTGAACTATGTATTGCTCAACCTCTATGGAGCCTTCACAGATGTGTAAGCTACCCATGCCATGGACACTAATGATTCCCAAATCATCAGGGATGCTGACTTTGAACTGTGAGCTGATAACAAGCCAGGTGGTCTCCCTAGTCCTTTTTGTGTGCAGAGGACATAGTATCCAAGATTTCCAAAAAGGATGTCAATGTTGATTCTTCAGCAACAGGACATTTTCCCTCTCCCCACACAGTCCATCTTAAATAGACTCGGGTCCAGAAAAGTCTGGTGTTTCTGGATTATATCTATATAGTTTCCTCGTTGCACCGTACAGCATCCATGGTTTCCAATACAAATGTTGAATCTTCATTTATCAGACCACAGGACAGTTTTCCTCTACTCCAGTTTTGACCTGTATTTGTGGATGCAGTGTTAAACTGTGAACATAGACAATGGTTTTTGGAAGTGATGTTGAGCCCATCCAGTGATTTCCAACCCAGAGTCCTGTCTGTTTTTAACCTTCCTCCTGTGTTAGCTTTTACTACTCACCCACTATGTTAAGGGTCAGTTTTGACCTGTGTCTTAAATCAGCTGTAAATTACACTAAAAACATTTCTCTATCATCCAATTTCGTTCTCATCTCTAGGTTACCTTGTTAGGCTTTATTATCCATGAAAATATTGCTGATAATAGTTTTTGTAGTGGTCCTCTGGGCCTTTCTTTGTCAGTGTGCCCCTCATACTGAATTGATCTTACATGTCTGGACATGCTCAATGTTGTTTTTTGTGCAGGGAAAAACATGGCAAAATGAGAATTTCATAAATCTCACATGATTGGAAGAGGATCTGACTTTCAGTGTGGTGCCTGAAAGTGCACATATGATTTTAATTTTTGCTCTATTAGATATTATAGTCAGGTCAACAGCGACCCTGACACGAAAAGTGCCATAATTTTAATAAGAGCATTTTGTAATTTAGTCAATTTAATTTTTCAATTTTTATTTTGTTGAAATAGAGATTCTGTTGAACTATTAGCTCACACAGTCTCTCACAGAGAGGTGAACCTTTTCCCATATTTACCTCCGCCAAGGAGGTTATGTTTTCGGTAGCAGTGGTTTGTTTGTTTGTTTTTTTGTCTGTTAGCAACTTTACGGAGAAAGTTACAGACGGATTGACCTGAAATTTTCACCAGAGGTGCGTCTCAGCCCCAGGAGGATCCCATTACATTTTGGTGGTGATCCAGATCGTCTTCTGGATCCAGGAATTTTTTGAAGGATTCTTTATCATTGTGAGATAGGGCACATTTGGGAATTTTTGCATTTAACTCTATAAAAATGTCCAGAGTCTTTAGTAAAAAATTACACAAAAGGATCTCAATGAGTTTTATGAGGTGTCAAAGGTTAATCCTGATCCAGACAAAATTCCAGATACTGTGATCCAGAACACACAAAAATAAGGGTGTCGTTGGAATTTTCAATGCTGAAAGATAACCAATGAAGATACAAGGAAGTGTACGCTTACAAATATTGCATAATAAATCATGCATTTATGTATCTAATATGAGCTTTGTTGTTTTAGGAACATTATGAGCAGTGAACGTACAAGTTTAAACACAAATAAAAGTTAATAAAAGACATGTAACACTAAAAGTTTTGGTGTGAATCACAATATAAGGGGGGACATGAGCTGCTTGGCGGAGGTCTGCGCTCTCAGAGTGCTTTTCTAGTTCCTTCTGAGAGACTCAGCCTCTCTGAATGTCCTTTTTATACCTGGTCGTTCTAATAACCTGTTGCTCACATGAAATTTAATTTAATTTTATGCGTTTATCATTAAACATTAAAACTTTCCATTTTCATAATTTGATATGTCCTCTTTGCAGTATACAGTATAGAGGGTTAAAATAATGAATCCGATGAAAACTATCAAAATCTTACTGCTAGAATAACTGTCCTCTGAGATGTTTATTTTCACTGATAAAGATCTTTTTTACTTTGTGAATGTGTCTGGTTTATTTTCTGTGAGTGAAGCACTTGTTCATGTTGCAATCAAGTTTTTGAATGTGTGATCATGGCGAGGCAGCAGGTGCAGAAAACTTTTTGTCATTTTCTTCTTCTGTGGTCCTTCTGTGGGCCACGTTCCTGACCAATGAGTCATCGCACAAAAACATTCCTGATGGATCATTTAGACGGAGGAGTCTCCCTCCCTCTACATGCACACGACTGACAACACGTCTCTGTGAGTGTGTGAGTCTCAGGAATGTGTGAGAGCGGCATGCGACTCCTCGTTCCCACACTTTAAGATCCATTCACCCTGCGGCGACCGCCACTGATCCCCCAACATTATGTTCAGGCCTCAATAGGCCATCTGGACAGCTACCAGAGAGCCAACACACACACACACACTGCACACAAACCACCTGAGGAGCTTTGGTTACAACACTTTAGTTTATCTGCAGGATGTGGGTTTAACAGTGGAAGTGTGGTATAAAATTATTTACATTTGTCCAACTGAAACTGGAATTTTAAAACAAATTTTAACATGTTAGTCTGACTCATATCACTGTTAAATATTTTCCTGTAAAATAACAAAGACCTGGCAGCAGAGTTGCCGTTGTGTTACTGTTAAAAAAATATATTTTACTGTCACTTAAATTTACAGTTTTTTACTGTTCATGAAAAATACAGTATGGGACTGTTTTTTATTTATTTCCTGTAAAATAACAGTAAAGAACTGGCAGCAGAGTTGCCATTGTGTTACTGTAAAATTAACATATTTTTACTGTCACCAAAATATACAGTTTTGTTCTGTTATTGAAAAACACAGCTTTCACTGTTTTATATGATTCCTTTTGCAACACTTTGCAGTCAACTTATTTGTTTATAAATACATTATCAGTCTTCACAAAATCCACAAACTACAACAAAATGTGCTTTGTGAATTTAGAACAGATCAACATGTAACTGCAATGTGGAAAAAAAAACAATTTCTTTATGTATTTTGAATTTTATTTTAACATAAATTAAGAATCTCTATCTTCAGCACCTTCTTTTAAAACAAACAAACAAAAAAGGGTGAAATTGAGAATTTGTAATGGGATTGAAATAATTTACCTTTAAAATTCAGTATCTATACGGTCAAAACTGGTCTTGGCATGCTCCACAGTTCCCATGCGGTGCTTTGTCGCTTAACAGCATTGAAGGAAGCAAGGAAACAAAACTCCAACTGGAGAAGAAGGAACCCAAAAAAAGACAAATAGGGAGGGAACAAGGCAATAAAGTTGTCAGTTGTTGCATCATTTGGTGTACAACCATTTGGCCTCTAACTACGACATTTGTGGATTGTTTTGGTTCATGATGTAACAGATCAACCTGTCCTAACAAGCTGCAAGAGAAGCATGCTGCCACCTATTGGAGTGCAAGTGAATATCTGTGGTTAATAATCTCATTCTTTTCCAAATCTTCTAAACTGAAACAGGGACAGTTGAAAGTCAATCTCTGGCTGCTGGAAACAACATCTCTACGATGGAGATGCTGGTATTTGATCATTTGAAGCATGCAATAAGCAGTTAAAACAACAACAACAGCAACAACAGCAACAACAGCAACAACAACAACAACAACAACAACAACAACAACAAACATCCCAGGTGCTTACAAACAAGAAGATGTTGCAGTCAGAAACCAGGATTTAACCTCCCTCTCCTGACCATTTAGGGTGAATTTTACTGACTTGACCTGCTTTGTTCACACATGAAGTAAAATCAACTTACTGCAGAAATGTGTCGCAATTTTTTTAGGTTTCAGGAAAAGTTCCAGAGAGATTTCAGGAGTTTTGTGATGACATGTTTATTTGCTTTTGTTCTCTCTCTGTCTTTATCTGTTAACAAAAGTAAAGTTTTCCCGCCATGGGAGCAAACTTTTGGATGACAAAGTGAGGTCACATGACCTGCAGATGGTCAGAGGTCAGAGCACGTGACGGCAAAGAGGCTTCAGGATAGACTTGAGAAACTCACAAACAGAAATGCTTTGGTTTGTGTGTTTTTTGTGTGTGGGTGTCAGGGTGGTGAGCGCGTTTAGTGTCTTTCTTTTCTGTTTCCTGTCTTGTTTTCTCTCCCCCTCCTTCCCCTGCTCTTTGTCCGGACAGCAACACACTCAATTTAGCATGAAGTCACTGAAACCCTCTTTGTCATTATCTGAGCTGTTCATTGGTCTGTAAGTGTGGGAACCTGCAGTCCCACTGACACCCACACACTTCACCCACCTCAGAGTGCTGCCCTCAGTTTGGACTGCAGGTTCACCCAGTCAACCTTGAGAATAAATGCCTTATTGTTACAATAAAAACAAATACAATGCATAACTCTGGATATGTGAAAGGGGAGTTGGGCTTATCAAAAATGCAAGTGAGTACATTTATTTCTGTAACCTGTAATTTACCTGCGATGCATCAAACGAAATGTTAATAGACAGTTTAAATGACATCAAATTATATATTCGCTTCAGAGTAAAAAGGGGGGACAAAATATCTCATAGTCCACGGTCAGGTCCTCAATATTCACCCTTTTGCAACATGATTAGAAACAACTGAAGCAACACAGTGCTCCCTATAGGCTCAGACTTGAGTTGGTTGGTTTATTGATTTGTCTAAAGACCATGGAAGACCATGGCATATCAATAACTCATGTTCAAGCTAGCTCATGGGGTTTATGGTACTGCACTTAACAGGTTTTAAACTAAGAGAACATAATATATAAACTGGAACAGAGTAGAGTCAGCTTGGAGCCACATACAGCATGGTCTTCCACTTTTATTCCCGACCAACTACTACTTAATATCAAAAGGCCCTTTATATGAAAATAAAGTTTATAGTCAGCATCAAAAGTATTGAAGATGGGATTTCAATTCAAGTGAGATACATCTCATCAGGGAAGACCTGAGCAAGATTACATAGAACCAGTCTCTATTCCTTTTTTTTAATTACTAAAAAAGTGTCTGAATTGTGACTAACTTCCCACTGGATGCTCAGCATATCATGCCATTTCAAAGCCTGCATTCACATATGATATAATAATGATACAATTCAGCTCGGTAGTTCTTTATTTCATTCTCTTAATAATAATCTAATTTACTAAATAGCTATTTTGTAATAAGGTCTCAGATTTACAGATACTAGGTCTTGGATTCACAGGAACCAGGTCTCAGGTTCAGTGTAACTAAACCTTAACATCACTGTGACTGGTTGTCAGATTTAGAGGCAATCTCAAAAATATGGTAACTAGGCCCAGATTTAAAGTAGCTAAGTACCATGTGACTAGGTCTCAGATTCACGAACTATGAGTTTCATAGCAACAAAATATTGCATTCATTGTAAGTCACAGTAGGTCTTAGATTCACAGTAACATACTCTCAGATTCTCTGTAATTTATCTTAAAATCAGTGTTAAAACATTTTTTAAGTCTAACATTCACAGTGACTTGGTCTCAGGTTCTCTGTAACTACTATTTAGATTGACTGCTGCTCGGTCTGACATCTACGGTAACTTGGTGTCAGATCCACGGTAACAAAGTCTCAGATTCATTGTATTCCAGCCTGGCAATGTATCAGACCCCCTATCAGTAGGTTTTGAATTCCTAGTAACTGGTCTCAGATTCACTGTAACTTGGTTTGACAGTAACAAGGTCTTACATTTGCTGTAACTAGATCTCAGATTTACTGTAAATAGGCTTTAGTGGCACAGTACTTGAGTCTCAGATTTTACAGTATGCAAATTTGGGTTTCAAAATATCTAGGTTCCAGATTCACACCCACCAAGTATCAGATTCACTGTTAACCAAATTGAAAATGCATTAGTTTGGATTAGATAGACTTCATGAATCCTTTTAGGAAGGTTCCCTCAATGAAATTATGGTAGATTAACTGACTCAAAGTTCACTGCACCTAGTTCTTAAAATCACTCGGACAAACTATCAGAGTGACTAATTCGCAGATATAATTTAGGTCTCAGATTCAATATTTCACTGTTTCTGGTTCATTTTAACGAGGTTTAAGTTGCATTGTAACAGGGTTTTCAAATTCATATAGAACAGTGTTTCTTAAGTCCAGTCCTCGAGCCCAGAGTCCTGCATGTTTTAGGTGTTTCCCTGCTCTAACACACCTGATTCAAATGATCAGCTCGTTATTAAGCCATTCCAGAGCTTGATAACGAGCTGATCATTTGAATCAGGTGTGTTGGAGCAGGGAAACATCCAAAACATGCAGGACGGGGGGACTCGAGGACTGGATTTGAGAACCACTGATATAGATAGGTCTTAGATTTGCTGTAATAAGCTTTTAGAGTTATGACCACAAAGTCTTAAATTCACAGTATCCAGGTTATAGTTTCACAGTAGCAGGATCTTAGATTCACAACAAGGTCTTAGATTTGCTGTAACCAAGTCTCAGATTCACTGTAATTAATCTCAAAATCGCAGTAACTAGGTTTTAAAATCCTTGTAACTATTTCAAACATTCATAGATGGACTATTACCAGGTTTCAGAATACAGTAAGTAGGTTTCAGATTTACTGTAACAGACCTACATCTGATCGAAATTTAAGGAGGTTTTCAAAGATTTAATGCTCATGTGAATACAGTTAGAGAACAGTCCTGGGAAGATAAAGATGGCTGACCTCTAGGAAGTGTGCATCTTAGTTTTCCCCTAGCAGCTCCCATAGTTGATTGTCTTTAAGTGCATCCATATGGTAATAAGCAGCTTAGCATTTCCATGTGAATATGGCACAAAATGAGGCCTGATTATGAGACTGAATATGCTGGATATCTGACCGTTGAATCCATGTTGATCTGTTTGCAGAGTCCAACAATGAATATAAGCAGTGAGAGCGGTATCTGAAGCATGCAGCCGACAGCACACTTACTATTGTTGTGCCTCTATTCATGGTGGAAAACAATGCATTCCTCTCTTTTCTCTGCACATTCTGTGAAGGAGTGATGCCTCAAACACAATGAGAGGACCTGCTCTGCTCCAAATCCAACCACACTCCTGACCACTTAGTTCAAATGTAAATGAGCATCAATGGCATCTTCAATAACTGTTCATCTAACCACAGAATACACACAATGATCCAAGAGTACAAGGGTTTGATAATCAGGGATTTGACCATAAGGACATTATTGGGGAAATACAGGAAGTTTGACAAACTTTCTCCCAAGAAAGAAGACAGTCAAACTGAGACTTTTTTTTCACATTTCATCTACTCATATTTCTCTGGTGAAAAATAATGCTGTTTGGACATTGTCAACATAATGCAAAAAGATAAATAAATAAACAACAACAGTAAAACTGGTCAAAACCTTCTCTTTTCAATTTGTATAAATATCAGGAAACACTTGTACAACTTTTGCAGGGCTCATCAGGTTTCAAGCAAGAAGATGTGAAGTTTAGCTGGGATTATTTCAGTGTTCGCTCCAGTGTAGTAAATCAATCTCAGTGCATCCTTTTGTTTCAAACTTATCGGATTTAGGCAATTGTGTGATGCCCTCAGCAAATTAAGGCCTGCCAGCTTTGTTCTCATAACATCTGTCAACAGAAACTGCTTTTGTAACTTTGGAGGATGAGCAAGTGTGTGGCTGAGAACTCATTGTACATTTTGTCAGATATCTGTAATTCTTGTTGAACACCTGTACAATTCATGTAACACTGTGCACTTCCACTCTTCTCAACTTTATTCTATATATGAGACAATATCTTCAAACACATTATATGTTTAGTAATATTCTGCTCTGTATGATCCCATATTTTTGTATTCTATTGCGTTTTTTCTGCTCAATTCTATTCAACTTTATTCCATCAGTAAATGTAATTTTTAAGTATAATTCCACCCAACTCGATACAGTCTTCAATTATCTTGTGTGCTATTCTATTTTTAACAAAAGGCCAAGTTTATGTGACTGAAGCCCTGTGACTACAAGCACTCTGCTGCTCTCTAGAGTCCAAAGTTGTGGGCTACACGTAATTTTCATTCTACAGCTTTAGAGGACCAAACTTGTTTTGGGACATGTAAATAATCTGTCTATATGTTTTTTGTTTGTAACACTATTAACAAAGAAATTAACATTCAACAGGAAGACTTGGAGGACATATCAGCGTTTGGTGGGTTCCTGCTTATGTAGGTATTTGATGGGATGGGGGATTAAAAACATTGCTTTACTTATCTGTTCCGTTTTTATATCTTTTTATCCCGTAATTATGACTTTCTTTTTGTGTATTTTTGAATTTCTACATTAGTGCCATGACTTTTGATCTTGTAAGTTTGACTTTTTAATTATATCTCATAAATTTGACATTTTATTCAAAAGCATGGCTTTATATCTCAGGATTTGACTGAGTTTTCTGAATTTTTATTTCATTTTAATTGACTTTTTTAATGATTTGATAATGACTGTATTTAGGATGTTTGGATGTGTTTGACGACACACTTTAGTTACGTTTGTGTAGTGACTATGCTGACCTGAATTTTAGTCACCGTCTGGGTGCGGGAATGAGGCGATTTGGATGTGCTTCTAGTACAATCCAATATCTAATCCAAGGTTGTTATTGAGTTATCTTTCTGCCATTTATTGATTAAATGGAGAACAAACAAAAAAGACAGATACAGTACAAGCCAAAAGTTTGGACACACCTTCTCATTCAGTGCATTTTCTTTATTCTCATTACTATTTGAAATTGTAGATTCTCAGTGAAGGCATCAAAACTATGACTGAACACATGTGGAATCATGTGCTTAAGAAAAAAGTGTGAAATAACTGACATCTTTTATATTTTAGATTCCCCAAAGTAGCCACCCTTTGCTTTTTTTGATAGCGCTGCAAACTTTTGCTGTTCTCTCAATGAGCTTCATGAGGTAGTCACCTGAAATGTTTTTTACTTCACAGGTGTGCCTTGTCAGGGTTACTTTGTGACTAAGTACTTCTGTCATCAAGAGCAAAGGGTGGCTATTTTAAAGAAACTAGAATATAAGACATATTTTCAGTTATTTCACAATTTTTTTATGAGTACAAAATTCCACGTGTTCATTCATAGTTTTGATGCCTTCAGTGATAATCTACAATGTAAATAGTCATATAAAAAATAAAGACAAGACATTGAATGAGGTGTGTCCAAACTTTTGGCCTGTACTGTACGTCCAACTTACTATGATGGTTATGTGCGTGATGAGGGTGAGAGTGGTGTCAGAGATTAGCGGTAAAAACCGTGTGCTCTTCCCGTTCTCCAAATCACTACGTCACCTGTGTCATTTTGTGGCATTTACCTGCCCATTCACCTGAAGAGCCCCTTGTGGTGACCGTGCGAGTAACAAAACAAAACCCAAAAAATAATATAGATAAAATGGCTCATACAGTTGGATTCTCAGTGATCCTGTAAACTCACCAGGAGACTCCATGATCAGAGCAGTTATTCTAGAGCATCTCACTCTTTTTTAGCCCTTTAAAAAATGACAAAAAAAAAGGTAAAAAACAAAATTTTGATTTAAATAATTTAATTTTATTGTCAAAATTAGCTACCTTGATTCTCCAGAGTTACTAAGGCAGGCATGTTCTGAAAATAGAATAAACCATCTGCATCTTTGAGGACAGCACAAGAAGAAAATACAAAATACTCTTCAGAAAATATGATACTAAAGGTTGGTAATAACAGACAAAATCGGCAGATTTTTGTCATCAGCAGTTTCATGATGCGAGGAGATCTTTTGACATTTCACCAGAGAACTTCAAACCCTCTGCATCAGATCTTCATGCGAGTTTCATGGTGAACACTCAGCTCATAGTGCAGTTAGTTTTTCTGTCCAGATCACTGCTCAGCAGAAAAGATCAAATCTACCAGGACTCAGACTTGAAGAGGAAACGACCTCTTTCACTCACAATTATTTACATTTATTCTTATCATGGTTAAACCAACAAACAGGAGAAATTTGCTGACATGCTTTTAGAGATGTAACAAACACAGAATTGACCTAAAATAACTTTTGTTTTCAAGCAGAACTGGGACTGAGATATTTTAGTCAAAGACGGATAAAAACAGAGATATTTGTAAATGTTCACAGTTCACCTTTAAAAATGTTAATTTTGTTAATTTGTAAATTCACATCAGAACTCGGGGTTGGGGCTTTAATTTTAGTCTGATAAAAATAAAACTATGTATATCTAAAGTAAAAAGATCATCCCTTAAAATCACTCAGGTATTTCCTGTAATCAAGTCGAACTTTCAGAATAAGAGCGCAGACGGTGAGATGTGAGAATCGAGGCAACTCTGGTTTCTTGATGGAAGACGCTCTCATCACTCTGCTCCCTCTCACTCTGACACATTCATCCAGGTTCAGTGCAAAGACAGGGAGGAAGGGGTGGGGCTGATGGACGGGGGCCTCTGATTGGACAAGCAGGCAGCAGCAGGACCGGACTCGCTCTCAGCCCATGTAGGGGTACTTCCAGTCTGTGAGGGGGACGTGGGTCTGCTTCACCACCTGAGGAGACGTCCACCTGAGGACGTAGTGTGGGCCGCCGGGTTTGTCGTTCGTACCTTGAAGAGGTGGAGGGGTGACAGGTGAACACCTGAGCTCTCAGCAGCTCTAACAAACAAAAAGTGAAACACAGACCTGCAGAAAAAGTATCCCACCCTCCCTGACTCACTCAAAGAAAGCATCATGGTCAGGGACGGGTGGGATGCACGAACTATCAGGACTAAGAACTGTGGCTTCATCTTCCAATCATATCTTACTGTAAATGAGTGGCAAGTGTCGTGGCACATCCTCTTCATTTGCTGAGCATTTGGGCTAAACTTAGTTAACCAAATCACCATCATAAATCTGTCTCCTCATTGTGCTGCTAAATTAAAACTTCAACGCTTGACACTGAGTCATCCCCAGCAGGTTGCGACATACTGTACTTTCTTGTTTTGTCACAGGGCAATCTAACCTCTGAAGACAACAAACATCTGTGCCAGTCAGGAAAACAGACGCTTTCTGTCGTGCAAGGTTAGACATTTATTGTCTTTCATTTCTCAGGCACAACATGTGCGGTGGATGTGCTTAAACTGGGATGAGTGGCAACATCTGACAAAAACTGTGCAAGATGCAAACACAATAGTTTAAGTCTTTCTGGGTTTGGTTTTTCTTCTTATAAAAAAATAGTTTTTTTTTTCTTGGTTACTTTTACTATGCAACAATTCATTGGTAGGTAGAGAAGTTGAATTGGGGTCATATTCATTGTTATGAGGCCATAGAGTCCTAACAAATCATTGTTAAGGCTAAAGGAAGGTGCACATTCCTCTAGCACCCAAGCAGTATTGGTTTGAAGCATATATTAAATGCATATGATGTTTACATTTCACTCTAAACTTGTATTTGAGTTTTTGGCTCTGAATGCACAAGGGTGTGTGTAGTTCTGTCTTCAGATCCATTTTCCCTTTTGTTATTGCTGCAGCTTCTCTCACTTGGATTGTCTGCAGGTGAGAGTGGCCACACCTGAATTCTGTAAGGCTGTGATTGAAGCTGCAGGTAGCAGAGTATATAAGCTGAGTAAAATCAGCAGTCTAGGTTATTTGTGGCACATGAGATGTGAGGCTGAAAGGAGAGCCAGTTTGTTGAACTTATGTTGGACTAATGTTTCATTTCTCTTCCTCTGCAGGGGACATTTTTGCAAAGTGTTTCATTAATTCGACATTTTTGTCTTATTTTGATGTGGCCTAATAAATGTTAGCATCATTTTTGAGGATTCACATCTTGTTTGAGATTTTTTCCCTTCCATTCACACTACCATCCGAGAGTATAACATTCATGTTTCTGTATCTTCATTTATTTATACACTCAAACCAGTAGCCGTAAAACTGAGTATCAGCATAGACGGAGTTGGGCTTTGTTTCATGACAGATTGTCCAAATTATAGCTCTCCTGCAAGTTGATTCCATCTCATCATATTTTCCTTAATGGCTTTTTCTTCCTTCAACAGCTGCAGATTTCTTCCCCATCACACAAACTTTCCCAGATCACATGACAAAAAGTAAATATCTCTGCATCCAACTACACAATATAGGAAATGAATTGAATTATTGATTTTTTTCCTCCCCATTCTCTCCTTGCCTTTATTATTATCCTCTGGTATCATCATTTTTCTGAGAGTATCAGCTCCTCCAGACTCACCGAACATCAGATTATTTCATTAAACTGTGTTTTCCATCTGCTGTCTGACTATTTAAATTGATTCCTTTTTTAAGAGTCAGTACTTCATGTCAATGTTTGTCATGTTATATCATCTGTTAGGGAATAATAACTTCTTAGTAACATTAATCAGCTTCAGTGATCACCCTCGGAAGAAAAAAAAGCTCTCTTACCTGAAGCTCTAGCGCCTCCAAATGGCTGCTGAGCCACGATGGAGCCAGTGGATTTATCGTTGACGTAGTAGTTTCCTGCAGCGTTTCTCAGGGCCGTAGCTGCCTCATCGATCACAGTCCTGAAACACAAACACACTAGGTAATGTCTCGTGGTGATGAAGACGAAAGTAAACATGTTTCATAACAAGTGAGTTTTCTGTCACGGGTGAGACTTTTTTAAAGTTTGAGATCAATAAAACCAAAGATGATGAAGGTTTCAGGACATAACAGGAAGTGTGTGAGTTTAAAAATACTCTTAGACCTTATAAATCAAACAGTGATTGAACTCTGTGCTCTTACTTGTCCTGAGCGTATACGGCTCCGGTCAGGGCGTACGGGGATGTGTTGTCTATCAGCTGTAGGACCTCTTTGTACTTATTCTCAGGATAAACATAAACTGACAGGACAGGCCCGAAGATCTCCTGAACAACACAGAGATTTACAGATTTCAGTTTTTACAGAAAAATACAGATTCATCGTCAGTTTAAGAGTGAATGGCTGGAAAAAGTCGGACACCTCATTCATGATGGCGTCCTGTGGATCTGTGGTCTCTACGATGGTCGGCTCAACAAAGTAACCCTTACTGTCGTCGCAGTGACCGCCAGCGATGATTTTTAGATTAGGAGAGGACTTGGCGTGGTTTAGCCACTTCTTTATCCGAGCAAATGACTGCAGGAGGAAACAGGAAGACATGCAGTCAACAACAAAGTTCATCAACAGCAAACTCAAAAGGTGGAGTTAGACTACAGGTGTAAGAAGCTTCACCTTATCGTCGATCACAGCAGAGAAAAAGGTGTTGAAGTTTTCTACAGGCTGAAAAGAAAGAAAAGAAAAATCAGTTTAGAGTTTAAAAACATAAACATCATCAGAAAGATTTTCCTCATGAACATTTCAAGCTGTGACTCCCACTTTAGAGAGGAAATAAACACTGTCTGCTTTGTTGTCATCCAGCTGACTCTGAAGAAAATGGAAACATTTTTTAAGCTTCTGCTGCCAGTAATTAGTGATTGACAACTTCCTAGAATAGCCTCGACTTCCTTCTGTATTGTTTGGTGTCCAAAGAGACCGTGTTAAGATCATTCCAGATATCTCTGCAAAATAAACGCCGACTTTTCTAGTTTCTCTCAGAAGACCAACTGTGCAGCTGTTTGTGGAGAGTCTTAGTTTCACTGTAAATACTAACACAAGAGGCTTCACTCTGGCTGACTTCAATGCTAACAACCTGAACGTGAACCTACTTTCCTGTCATTTAGATTCAGTTAATGAAGCTTATGTTTTCCTAAATAAACATCACAATGCAGAGTCTCAGTTTCACTGTACATACCAGATTAAACAGAGGCCTTACTCTAGCTTGAAGTTTATTTGTTTGTGTTGAGTCTCAGTTTAACTTTATTTACTAAATAACACTGAGGCTTTGCTCTGGCTTACTGTTCATTTCGGGTGAGTTGGTTTCATTGTAAAAAGTAAGTTTCACAGTAGCTTCACTCCAGCTCACCATTCATCTGTCTGTGGTAAGTATCACTTTCAAGGTAAATAGTAAACTACACAGAGGTTTCAGTCTGGCTAAGTGTTTATCTTTCAATGTAGAGTCTGCGCTTTACTGTTAATACGAAGTTACACAGAGGCTTTATTCTGGTTTAACTGTTCATCTATTTGTGGTGAGTCTTAGTTTCACTGTTAATGTAAGTCACACAGAGTCTTCTCTCTGGCTAAATGTTCATCTGTCAGTTTCACAGTAAAAAAATTGAGTTACATGGAGGCCTCTGACCGGCTTTCTCTGTTCGTGGTGTGTCCCATTTTGACTAAAAGTAATGAGTAACAATGAGGCTTTACTGCTTTACTGTTGATGTGTTTGTTTTAAGTCTTAGTTTCAAGATAAACAGTAAGTTACACATAAGCTCAACTTTGGTTATTGTTCATTATTTTTGGACTGGTTCTTTGTCTTTTTTTTTATGTGGATCAGATCTTTTGCAGTGTGATCTCAGTATGAAGAGCGAGGTCAGAGTGGACTCTGACAGTACTTTTCAGTTTCACAGTTTTGCACTTGAGGGATGGATGAGGGCAGAGACCACTTACACTCAAAAACTTAACACAATGGCAGACATCTTAGAAACTCTCTCTGTCCTCCTCCTCCTCCTCCTCACTATCATCTGTTGAAAATTTCCCGACTCCTGCTTCACATCAATGTCAACATGAAACCATTGACTGAGCTTACTTCAGTGACCACGTTTACTCCTTAAAACACGGTGAAAAAGAATCAGACCTGAGCAATTAACCAGAATCAACATTAATGTTTGCAGTGTCAACAGTCTGACTCAGCATCAAGCAGGTTAGTGTCTCAGTGTAAATGTTTGATCTGGTACAGATTGTTAACTGACCTTCATGCAGGTATCTGTTTAGAGAGAAAGAAATCCTCCTCATATTATCTGCCTGTTTTTGCTCTCCATACCAGTGTTGTTTTCGTTGACGATGATGAAATATTTTCGTCAAAGTCATCGTCAATGAAAACAACACTGCTCCATATAGACTGTTTTTTCCAGCAGACACCAAAGCCTGCTGATATCTAAATATCTATATCAGTATTACTCAGACTACAAAGCCCATGTGCACAGATTATAGAGCAACAAAGCTTCTATGCAGCTAAAATATGAAGTTGAAACTTTTTACTTGATGAGCAAATCCTCAGAAAGTTCATCTGCAGTGAAACTGGTCATTATTTACGACACTAAATGTTTTGTATTTTTTGGTTTTAGCTTCTTTACGGTGACATTTTTCTGATCTCAGCGTCAAATTGAAGACTTAATTGAGGTTTTTGTCTATTCATCAGCAAAACTAAAGAAGCTAAAGACCTGGTTTCAAACTTGGAGGGACTGGTTAAGTTTGAACGCCTTGATCTTCTGTATTACACTCACGTCTCCAACTTTGATGTCTTTGTGGATGTCCAGCAGCTCCTGTTTGATTCTCGGCCACAGGCTGTCGGGTACGTACATCCTGGAGCAGGCCGAACACTTCTGACCTCCGTACTCGAATGCTGAGCGGACGGTCCCCTTCACCACGCTTTCAACATCCGCTGATTTATGGATGAAGTGGAAGTTTTTCCCTCCACATTCTGGAAACATTCAGACGCAAATTCATCATCAGTTATTTTAATATGAAGGCCAGTATAGTTGTTACTGAAGAGAAGAGGCAGAAAAGACTGGAAATATTTGAGAAGTGTCAATGTTCTCCAGATTTTGCGATCATTCTTTACATTTTCTCAACACTCAAGGTCACTTCACAGATAACATGAAAGTCTGTATACAAGAAATAAATAAAGACTCTGGCATCCATCATTGTATTATGAGTCCTTGGTTCTGCTTAATTAGGATTATCTGGTTCTGGAAGTTCTGCTCACCTCCTGCTAGTCGAGGGAAAGTCCTGTAGGTGTCCAGGTTCTGTGCCACCTGCTTCCAGAGACGCTTGAATGTCCTGAAAATCATGAAAAATAAGCAGTTTATGCATATACATGGGCTCACAGGGTCATGATTTTATGTATCACTGCTGCTGCTACTTCATGTTTGTCATTTTTGCAATTGTATGAAAACAAAGCTTGAAATTCACCAGCTTTTTTTTTTTTTGTTCCACAGTCTCTCAAAAAGTCAGAAATATAACTCTTTTCTCAAACTGCAAAATTATTTACACCTGCTGAATGAGTTTGAAGCTCATGCCGGTTTTTTTTTCTTCATTATCAGGACCCTTGAGCAAGAACTTGGATAAATCCTCACATGTGTTGTAGTTACTCTCAGAGCAGTGGATGAAGAGGAGAAAGAATTCAAAAATGCCAAAATTAAATCTGGAAATGTGCACAGCACTTACAAACTTCTGGCTGCTTGAAGTCAAACACAAAAACACATTTTTCTTTGTATTTAGTAGTGTTACTGTCGGTGTAAAACATTTACTATAGATTTGTAAGTTGATCTTTTCAGAGGAGGCTGTCATCAGAGACACACAAGATGAAAAGAAACGTGTTTGGACAATGGACAGAGTTATGTTTGAAAATTGTGTGAAAGGTTGGTGTCACACAGGCTGCTTGAGTTTCTGCTGTCAGCCATGTCCAAATGAGGCCAAAAACCACCCGATATTGAAATTTCTCATCTTAATAAATTGAATCAGGGTCAATTCTGTACAGAAAACTAAAAGAAATCTCCTTACGGGACGCTGCCTGTGAAGTTGACGCCAGCGAGGTGCGGAGAGGAGGTGACAGTGTCCCCGAACACGGGACCATCAGCTGGCAGGAACTGGACAATGTTTGGAGGCAGACCGCTCTCCCTCAAGACTTTGTAAACCGCGTAGCTGGCAGACATGGCGGTGTCACTGGGCTTCCACAGCACGACGTTACCCTGAAAAACACAGCAGTGATCTGATTACATGTGGGCTGGATTTTCCATGACTCAGACTCAGAACTAAAGGAGGACTGTACCTTTAAAGCTTAAGTTTGTAAATATCAATTCATTTCAAAACACTCTGAAATGTCTATGAATTTGTTTTTAAATACAATGAAACAATGATTTTAGTGTTTATTATCTACTTTGTTGTATCTATTGTTATCAATTGTTTTTATGTCTGAGTTGTTTTTGTCTTTTTATGTACAGCACTTTGTTTTGGCTGTGGTTGTTTTCAAGTGCTTTATAAATAAAGATGAGTTGAGAGTTTGAAACCCTGTGAGTGTGGACTGGTTACTGCAATACCGTCGTTTGAAAGAGTCACAGAGCTAGGCACCATGTCAGCCCATCAGGGATTTTTATATTCATTCAGGTTACATTAGATAAAAGTCAATCATTACAAGATTGAAGTCATTATATTACAAGATAAAACATCCTGTATTCATATGATTCAAGTCATTATATTGTGAATAAAAATGACGCTTTGTTGCGGAATCAGGTCATTTCATTGATTTATTGAGTCAACTGACAAAGTCGTTATTATATGAAGAAAATACCATTTTGATATGAGATTTAGGTCATTCTATAACACAGAAAAGACATCCTGTAGTCATGAGAAGTTTCGTTCCAAGATTAAAGGCATCACATAAGAAAAAATGTTTTACTTCATAACTAAAGTAGTAATTTCACATAAAAAGAAAGAAGTTTTGTTAAGACTCAATGGCCTCTTAATATGAAGTTTTGTTATTAGGTTAGATTTCAGCATATTTTGACAATTTAGACCCTTTGTGTTGAGAGAAATCATAGAGTAATGCTCAAGGGAGGAAGCTGTATTGACTGGGGAAAATGTTTTCAGTTCATGAGAACAAAATATCTCTTTCACACTCACCATCAGAGCTGGAGTACCTGCCAGGTTTCCACCAATAGCAGTAAAGTTAAAGGGAGCCACAGCTGCTACAAAGCCCTGAGAGAAAAGGTGAACACACAGGTTAACGCACACCAGGTATGAGAATAAAGAAACAGGCAACCAATTCTAAAACAAATAATATAATGAGAACAACCTTTTTGACAATGTGCACTGTGGGGTCACTTGATGTGATCCAGAGATTCTGATTTTAAGAAGTCTAAAGGATTTCTTTAATAAACACACGGAGATTTTTACAGTAAAAATCAGGAGAAGTGAGCAGTTCTTGAAGCTGTCGTGTGTTACTTCTTGTTTTTACCTCCAGTCCGCGGTACAGCATTGTGTTGGTGCTTCCTTCGGCGTCTAACGGCTGCTGTTTCTCCAGCTCGATGGCGTGTTTGGCGTTAAATCTGAAGAAGTCGATGAGCTCTGCAGCTGCATCGATCTCAGCCTGAACCACCGTCTTACCCTGAAACACAGAGATGGAAGCTCAGGTTCGCCTAATTCAGACAGAATAGAAGTAAAACACGAATTTCAAGAGGAATGAGAAGTGTACATACACCATCAACAGATTTTATTCTACGTGGAAGTTTGTTAAATGGTATTGAGAAAGGAATCCCTCTCTTTCGATGTGAACAATTCCTCCTTAACGCTCTCTAATGTAGTTTTTAAAAAACAGTCTGTCAGCAACCAAAGTTTTCAAATCTGAATTTCTACTGAGCTTAAAAACAAATCCATGAAAAACAAATCTAACATTTTCCCCCTGCTACATTCCCTCTACCTGTCCAATCATGGTCTTGGCGAGGATTTCTGCCCTCTTGGGTCTGCCGATGACATCGGCCGCCTTGAAGAGGACCTGTGCTCTGTCCTGGACGGGCTTCAGGTCCCACTCTTTCCTGGCCGCCACAGACGCCAGGATCGCTTTGTTGATGAGCTCCTGAATCGGTCACATTCAAAGAATAAAAAGATGTTGGCAGGGGCTTCAGCGAGTAAGACGATGCAATATTAACCTTTCTGTCTCAAAAACCAAAGCAGGACCGTCCTAAACTAGTGCGAAATAAAAATATTCACTTCCTGCAGTGAGGGAAGACCACAGTGGTTCTTTATAGGTTCACGTGCACATATAAATGAGTGTGAAGTAAAAACAAAAAAAAAAACATTTGAAAAGAAGAGAAAGAAAAAGAAAAGACATGAAAGATGTTTTGTTTTCTCCTGAGCTCCACATATTCTGTAAATGATCAGGTCATGACCCACACTGGACATTTTCTCATCTATCAGATCCTGAAGTTTAAGAAAGTGTGATTTTAAAGATAATTTGTTGGTGTGTTCTCTTGGAGATGTTTTGTGTTTTTATCCTTATTGCTCTTTTTTAAATCAACATCATACGTTTACCCCCGAAACTCTGCACAGTAACTCCTTTTAATGGCTTTCGGTCCAGTTCATATGTAGCCGTGTGTGGCACAGAGATGTTTTATTGTTTTTAGACTGGAGGTATTTTAAATGACATTTGTAAAAGTGTATGGTCTAATGTCACACCAAGAAATTTCATTTCTTCCACTGTGTCGATGTCTGAACCACCCATTAATACTCTTATCCTGATACATCCTGACTTTTATTTCCAAAAGGTGAGTCCACGCTAAACCTGAGCATGGCAGGAGTATGAAGGTATTTCACTGAGACGTTCTGGTAGAGGTACAGAAACAAGTGGATCACACAGACAAGGCTTTTAAAGGTTTTTAAATCTTTTATGTAAACACAACATCTAAAAGTAGTTGATGGTTTTCAGTTTTGTCACACAAAACAGCAATCACTCACATTTTTTAAAAATTGGATGAGTCGTTTTAAGTTTTGTGTTTCAGTGGATTTATTTAAACATAAAGGACTTTTTCAGCCCGATGCTTACCTTGTCTGCATAACAGAACTTTGCCACTTTGTGTGAGTGATTGAACGGCTTTAAAAAGACAAAAAAAGAGAAAGTTAGTATACATTTACTTTCTGTAACAATGAAATAAAGAAGCTTCAAATGTAAATGATTCACAGCAATACTTTGCACTCTTAATGCTTTGTAAATTAAATGTTTAAATACTGATGTTAGTTTGAAAAATGTCCATGTGGAGCAATCGTTTACTCAGATTTCAGCAGACTCTGTTGACTTTACTCACAGATAACTGATATCTGATGTCTTTGGTCCACACTTGTTCATCCCCAACAACACATGGGATCTCCTCTGTCGTCCCCTTCAGACTGTCCAGCGCCTGAAACAATTGAACATCAGTTACAGTATAACTCAATATAACGGATGGATTAAAGACGATAAATGTGTCTGTTTGGTAAAAACACTCAGGCTCAAACCTTCAGCAGCTCTTTCCTCTCTGCACTGCCCTCTTTGAAGCCCAGGATCGGCTCATTTTTCACCTCCACAGCAGCACAGGGGAACGATTTAAACCTTCAAACACACAGAGAACAAATGTTTTTTTTAATGAATCTCTTATTTCTGTTCATGCAGAGCGCAGAAAAAACAGCTGATCAGCGGGAGCCTTTGACCTGGGCTAGCTGAAAGAGGCCAGGATAACCTCTGCCAAGGTTTGGAGGATTTTGAACTCTTTTAATGAATAATCAGGAGCTCCAAAAACTGGTTTGAGCTCGATACACACGCATGCTGTCCCAGATATTTTGGCTTTACCCAAATACAACTAGATCAGCAGTTTAACAGACACAAAGTCTAGAGAGAAACTGGCGTAGTCATATTTTAGGGCTGCATGTCCACTACAGTCCAGAACAACACATAACTTTTTGGATCAAAAGGGAATTCTTTTCAGTGAAAACCTGGGCTACATTTCTGCATATTTTGGGGGCAAATCAGGGACAAACAAGTTCAACTGGTTTTAAATTGCTCGGTCAAACAACTTCAGACGGCTGACGTAAAACAGGCTGCAGTTGCTGCTCTAAAGTCCTCGAAGGCAAACATACCCAGTGAGAGTATGAGGCCTTAAGGACTTTTGTTTGAAGAATTTGACAACACTACAGGAAAGATCCCTGCAGAGAGAGAGAGAGAGAGAGCGCTTTGTTTATATAGTAAGATCCTTTTTTTACCCTTTACATCACTCTCTGTACTCCAATAGCAAAGCAGTCATTGCTACAGCTCCATCACTACCTCAGTGAGTTAGTAATTTGTTGTTTTACAAAATTTTAACATTCAAGCCACATAAAAACCATCGAAGAACAAACTCAGCGGCAGACCACCAGCTCCCTTTTTATTACTGCACTACACTTACAAGTCAGTCAAAACAAAAAAAAAACACAGACAAATATCTTTAAGCTGCAGCACAGCCACCCTCTGTAGCACTGTGGCTGCAGCTCTAGTGAAATACTACTGCCACACTTTTATCCTAAAATAGAGATAATGTTGTGTGAAGGCTGAGTCTGGTTAAACTGGCATACAACCACTCATAAGGAGCAATGATTTACCAGCACAGGCATGTGGATGTTGAGCCGCAATGAGGACTGAAGGCTGGTGGTGCCAGCTCTGCTAGTGTTAGCCACATTCTGCTAACCACTTTGACACTGTTTAGATTCTGTGACCCTGTGTTCACCCGTGTTACATAAATAGCGTTCAGTTCAGACTGTCCATCAGAGATTTCTGAGCTTTATACCAATTGGCTGCTCTGAGTCTAAATTTCCATTAAAATCAGTCACTTCAGTTCATTCCTCTGGTTTAAACTCTGAATTTAAGTGTCTCAGAGTGTCTTGTCTTCAGATTGTGATGGTAAACATCATATATTTGGGTTTGAGAGTGCCAGTCAGACAAAACAGCTGCCCCCTGTTCCTGAAGATAACTATTAAAAGCTGTTTTCAGACCTGATTCAGACCTTTCTTTTTTCAGATTTATCCAGCTCAGTGAAAAAAACACAGCAGGATCTTTGGCAGCTTTTCTTTTCATTCATGATTAACCACCAAAGTCTAAACTTAATAAACTGAAGGTCACTGGGTTGGTGATAGTGCAGGTGGGGAGGCAGCTGGTGGCATGATTGGAGTTCTCACAGTTATAAAATCTACTCTAAAACATTCCTAAACCTCCACGAGAGCTGTGTTTTTTTCTCTATATACAGGGCTCCGATTCAGATGCAAACTGAACTCCTCTCATGCTTTTGTAGTCCGGACACCCAAAGTGAAGCATAATAAACATCTGGAAATGTAAGGAATTTTGAAGTACTTGAGTTTTGACAGCTGTCAAAGAAAAGAATAGAATTACTCCTCCTCAAAATCAGAGTTTCTGAGGATTTTTTTTTGCACTTTCCACAAGTTTTCCCACATCCATACTCTCATCTACCTCACTGGATATTTAAAACTTGTAATATCTGGACAAATTCTAGTGTTGAATTCATATTGTGGGCCTTTTGTTTGTTTTTAGGTAATAGTTTTTAACACTATTAGTATTATCTCAGTCAAGCACCCGAATAACCTGCTGCTGTTACAGATTAATTAAGGTTTGATAAAGTACAACCACCCACCTCAGAAAGTCTGACCCTGTAAATCCTCACACACACCCTTTATTACTCCGAATACAGCTGCCACATCATGTGAGTGTTTTCGTTTGTTGACTCTTAAAGGGGCAGCTGTCTGACCAGCTATTGGTCTGAAACAACAGTCTAATATAAGGTTAATCACAGGTCTACTTCAGGGTCACCGTCTGTGCACTTTTTAAATTGTTCTCTGGTTTTTCTCTGTCCTCTTTATGTATTTTTTACTTCTACTGTGCTCCATCTGAAGAGGAAAGGTTGAAGTTATTTTGCAAATCAGGATTAACATTAGAAACTCAGTGGGAAACGATAAACTATAAAGATGAGATAAAGATGATAGTTGACGGTAATCTTTTTTTGAATGGCCAATGCTAATACTGATTATGTCACAGCAGGTCTGTCTCTATGTCCGCTCCTCTGGGAACATTTCAACCTCCAGCCAATGAAAAATTATCACCTAATTTACATGAAGCAAAGTGTAAATTTGGCAGCAAAATATCTTGATAGAAAAAGGTAGGCAGTAAAAGATTTCATTCAAATGCATTATATCCATAAAGAGCCACTGATTAAATCTACAAAAACTGTATAATCTCACACAATTTGTCTGTAATATTTGAGGGAAACTTGAGTGTAAATGCTGCTAGTGAAGGGATTCAGTCTATTTTCAAAGATTCTGACACTGTTGTAGATACTGTCTGCAGTCACAGTGCTGAGTTCCTGCAGGGATATCAAGTAGGCTAACGACAACGTGGGAGAAAACTGAAACACAATTAAAGTTTTTAATCATAATTTTAAAACAAACACCCATGTTTATAGTCAATAACAAATAATGCCAATAATTCACTAATCACAGACGAACAGGCCTGTGCAATAATACTGCATACTGTGAGATTGAGTCACCCTGAATCACTGCTGAGGCAATTTCCTCACAGCCCAACCTCGCCCACTCAGATGTGAATTTTCCTGAGTCTTACCCGCTGCATTCTCACATCTCATAGTCTTCACACATAATCTGTGGGAAACTGCCCCCTACACAGCAACCTTAAAGGGGTATTACGGCGTAAAATTAAGTTAGGGTCAAACACACCCTAACACCAAGTTAGACACACCTCGAGAGATGAATGTTGCCGACTGCTTGCTTCTCTAGTTATACCAACTTAAGTAATGACCGCAGGATACAGAGAGGCACGCCCTCAACCAAAAAGCCACTCTATAGCCACATATAATGCTCAGAACAGCACCTAACTTCATCAACAGTACATATAGGGTCCTAGCCACAGCACTAGCCACCAAACATCTTTTTAACTTTGCCTGATTTCTTTAGCAAAGAGACTAAACACAACTCACTTTCTCTCCTCCAGCAGCCGCTTGTTTATAGCAAGACCTCAGACCAGTCCATTATGGACTGCTGCGGGGTGACGCAGCTCAAGGAAAAACATTTATGATCTTCCAAGCGGTCAGCAACATTATCTCTCGAGGGGGTGTCTAAGCCTAACTTTGAGGGATTTGGTACAACTGTGATGAAGGCTATGAAAAAAAGGAAAAGAAGTGGTACAGCTGTTCCCAGTCTCTCCTTCTTCTTCCACAACAAGTACTACCAGAGCAACAAAAACTCTCATTAATTATTTAGCTGTTAGAATCAACAAAAAAGGAGGATTTTCACATAACAGCGCATGGGTTTGATAGAAGACTGATAGGCTTTCAACAATGACAGATTACTTCCGGGTATTCAAGGCATTTAAAGACAAAAACTGAGAAAAACTGAATGTTATTTAAGAGTGTTTGGAAACCAGAGTGAGACACAGTGAAGTTAGGCTCACAGCTTAGGTGTCATTACATAACCAGTGAGGTAATTACCCTGCTGACAATGTTTACAGCATTCCTTATTAAAACAGAATGAAGAGCTAAAACCAAAATAAAGTCCTCCTGACACTAAGACGGGGTGTCTTAGCTTAGCATTAGCATTAGCTCCTCCCTGACATGCCGAAAAGTCACCCCGGGGGTGAAGGAGTCTCGTGCCCGCTCATGTGAAGCGTCAGTGGGTACCTACCCCCTCCAAGACTGGCACACAGCCGCCCGCACGCGAAGCATGTTTCTACGACAGGTAGATGAGAGGAAGGGGGACGAGACAGCAGGGACAGCCTCCAACACACCTGCACAGCCCGACACCTGCCACACGGATCGATGGCACTGAGGAAGCAGGTTCTTGTGTATCGATCCGGCTGCTTCTCACAGACGGACTGCTGGGCGACTACAACCGGACAGTACCAACTGCAAATGGGGGGAGGCGTTTGTTTTTCTCACGCCTGTCTCCCGCTTATATCCAAAATATTCCCTTCATATCAATTCTATATAATCATTAAACAGTAAAATATCATAATAAAAATTGAAAGGAAAGAAATGTGCAATTTATGAGGTTAAATTGTCATCAGTTGTGTCTGGCGGAAAAACGATGTCCACCATCATAATAAATGAAGCCTTCCACAGGCGGGTCAGTGACAAGCCAATCAGCGAACAGCAAAACACTCTCAGCCAATCACAAGTCGCATGTAAGGTTCAGCAGGCAGCTCTATTTTTGACCAGCGTCTTGACCTTTCAGTCATGTCCATAGACTGTATGGTCATGTTCACTGCTTTCATTCATCCTTTCAGCACATACCCTAACGACTACATACTTGGAAATTTTTAATATTTTATTCATTTTGAAAAAAAAAAAAGAAGCTGGTTAAAGGTTGATAAGTGAGCCAAGTAAGGAGTGAGGTGCCAATTTAACCCCCAATGTGGGCTTGAGTTAAACTGCAGGGGTCCCTGTTTGTACAAAAGGGGACAACGACCAAAACTTGTGCGACCATGTCTTTAAACCTCCCAGATCTTTCTCTAGATTCTCAGATTTTAAAAAAAAATGATATTATGTTCTCTAGATGATGAAATCCACAAATTCTTTGATATTTTACACTCAGAAACTTTATTCTGAAAATTTTGAACCATTAGCTCACACAGTCCCATACAGAGTGGTGAACTTCCTCTCATCTTTCCGTTTCAGACTCAGCCTCTCTGAATGTCATCTTAACATCCAGTCATGTTACTAACCTGTTGTAAATTAACCCCATTAGTTGGTAGATGCTTCTCCAGTTTCACCCAGGGTGTGTTTTATAGATTTTATCATTATTTACAATATTGGTTATAAAAAGTGTGATTATTATCTTTGCTACTATTGTTTAACCCCACAGAATTGAACTTCAACACCAACTGTTATGGCTGCATGACATTGTTTTGGCTGTAGTGACACAGTATGACCACAAGATGTAGTTAAAAATATTTAATATGGAGAGCTTAAACTTTGTTGCGACCCCTCTAATCTTCATGACTGTACTTGGACTTTAAAGAACAAACAAACAAAACAAAACATAACAAACAAAAGTTTCCTCTTTACAGAAACATTTTGGTTTCTTTTCCACCATTTTCAGATATTTCATCTCTGCACAGATTGTGATTTAGTGTTTTCAGGGTGTAAAGGCACATATTATGAAAGCACCTTCATGTACAGTATTTAGTTCTTCCCAGTGTTGCTGTGATGCATGTTTTGCTTGACTGACCTCACAATCTCTGCATATCTATTGTTAAATTATTTTTCATGGAAGTTACAACCAATATTCAGAATTTTAGATTACCCAGGCTTCTCTAACCAAGCTACACTAATACAAATATTAATCAAATATTCATTGCTCTTCCCTATTTAATGTTTCAGCTTCCTGGAGTAAATGAAGACAAAAGAGAGTGTTGACCCACACTCTTTGCATACAAGCTTTGTGTCATTCTTGAAATAACTTGAGCTGGTTTGTGTCTCTTATAGATTAAAATATCCTTTAAAATTCAGACAGATTCTTTCTTTGTGATTTTAATTCACAGAAGAAAGAGTGATTAATGATCATAAATTTTGTTCGGAGAAGCTTTAACTGCAAAAGACAAGGAATTAAACATAATTTCAGGGGGAAAATAAATCCACTGTTATAAATAGTTTTTTTTTTTGTTTTTTTTAGGACATCCAAAGTTGGAGTGTGATTCTAAAGAACAATTGCAGGTATTTTGGGTGACCCAATATTGAAATATCTTCAGTTTAGTGATTGATTCTTTTAAAAACTCAGTCATTAAGTAATTTGAAGAAAGATGTTCAACTCTGAACCGACTTCTTTGCTTGATTTTGAATTTGAGAAATTGTAACCAGATTAAAGCTGTCCCTGAACAAAGAAACAGCTTTTTAAGAGGTGGTGACAAGAAATGTAACTCTACCCGTGATTTGAATAACCCACCACATGGCCTACAAGTATGAAAGTATGCAGAAAGATTAGCAGCAAGAGCCAATAAATGTTCAGAGCTATCAGCTGAGTGTCATTCTTCACTGGTGTCTCATCAGGTCAAATCAGCAACACCTCAGTAATGTGTAAGCTGTGGTGTCCTGTAACCACCCTCCCCCATGCAAGCTCTAAACACAGATTATACCCACACCACAAAATAAGAGAGACAAGAGGACAACAACAGGGATAAGAGTTTGTAGAAAGAGGTCAGGAAAGGCAAAGTCAGGGTGAAGAGCCAGTTATGGCCAGGAGACATCTAGCTAAGCCAGTCTATATGCTCTACATCCCTCTGCTCCTACACTCAAAAGAAAAAAAGAGGGGAGGAAAAGACAAATCTATGGAGAGATCCAAGAAAGATCAGAAGGATTCGTCTAACTGTTCACCACCTTCTTCACACACCAACAGACCTGCTAATGTGACACACAGACTTTGATTGGCAGTATCATCTCTGGGATGACGAGTTATCATCATCATAGTTATTATTATCATTATTATTTTGTTGTTGTTTTGTTATTTTCATTATGGTGATTATTTTTATTGCTATTATCATGATGATGATTATTTATTATTAAATAATATTATGATATATATGTAAATCATTGGTGGAACAAGATAAGTTTTGACTTCTTCCCACTCCTTTTTGAACATGAATAACTATTTATGATTTGCTCTTGTATTCCTTTTTTATTATGATTGATTCATTTTATATATGGTTTGTTATTGTGGGAACTAAACTTAAGTCATATCGAGTTTACCTTTTTTTTCTCACAGAAAGGATTATGTAATGAACATGAGCATGAGGATCAAAGATTTCAGTCTGAGTTTGACTGGAAGAAGATACATGCTAATTAATCTGAAAACAATCAAATCAACACTTCAAAAAAAGTAAACATTCACATTGATGGAAACTGCTCTGCCTGGTCTGACCTGGTCTGAAGATATACATAAGGATTGTTTGGTTTATTTGCTTTTTTCAGGGGTAAATCTGAAAAATTGGAACCTTCAGACTTAAGACTCTCAGACCTGACATATGGAAACCCAATCTTTCAGAGGTAAAATCCTCAGTTTATCAACAGAACTGAAGTATGGAAACATCCTTTCAGTGAAAGAGTGTCTGAAGGTGTGTACTGTATATGTGTGTTAGTATCAAGATCACTGAACGACAGTATTCTTCTGTCCCAGTCCAGATTCACTCTGATCCTCTGTAGACGAGTCTGTACTGGGAGAATCTTGCCTGGATCTGATGGTGAAAATGCTCCATATTTACCTCTATGAAATGTTATTCCTATTACATTAGATAGTGTGTCCCCCTTCCTCTCCTCAGACTCTGCTAACAAACCAAGAACCCAAAGTGAACTCTGTCCAACCTCTACATCCCAGCTGTGAGTCCCTGAGTTAAAACCCTCAGAGCCCAGGACAGAGCATAAATAATCAAACCTCTCTGGATTATCAGGAAGCTTCTGCTCCTTTACACTCACACAGGTCAGATCTTTAGACAGAGTGAGTCTGAGACCAGCAGTGTTTGGGTCCAGAATAACAGGACTGTAGGAGACCATGTCCTTCATCTTGGTCCAGATGTTGAAGCTCAGGTTGCCCATGTGTTTGGCCTGGTCTATCAGAGCTCCTGAGGGCAGCTGTGGATCCTTCAGCAGGAGGTACTGCTGGACTCTTTCCACTGCAGCCTTGTAGTTTTTCAGGAATGAGACATCTTCAGCTCTCAGCTGGTCCTCTGTGACTCTGATTGTGTCTGAAAGAGCTGCTATGTCTCTGCTCAGAGCCTCCATCTGCTCCTTCATCCTCTGACTCTTCTGCTCCTCTTCCTCCCTCAGTGCAGACAGCCTGGCCTCCTCTTCCTCCTCTAGAAACTGGTGAAGATTCTTGAACTGCTCCTGAATCTGCCTCTCTGTGTGTCGGGCCTGGACCTGATTGTATTGAGCAGTTTGATCGAACTTCACTTTACCGTCCGTAAAAACCTTTAACTTCTCTTTTAGGGGTTGAAGAGTTTCCTGAAGTTTCTTCTTGTGTTCTCCAGCAGCTTCATCGATGGGTCTGAATCTGTGGTTGATGTGTCTTTCTGAATCTCTGCAGACCAGACACACTGGCTGCTGATGGTCCAGACAGAAGAGCTTGAGTTTCTCAGAGTGCAGACTGCAGAGATCCTCTGAAGGTCTCTGATCTCTCTCCAGTAAGAAAGACTCACACAGGTTCTTCAAAGCCAGGTTACGGGGTGGATATGTTCTTGAAGATCTCCTCTTACAAACTGGGCATTCTCGGGTTGGTTTCTGTCTCCACCAGCTCTGCAAACAGTCTTTACAGAAGCTGTGGCTACATGACAGAAGAACAGGATCTCTAAAGACATCGTGACAGACCGGACAACAGACATCCTCCTCTGATCTGGAAGCCATTTAGTCTCTGAGTGGAAACAGCAGACAGAAAGTAGAGTCAGCCTGGGCTCCCATTCCTGCTATAACCTTCAATTCAGTCCTGATTTTAGTCAAACTCACCTCTGTATTCAGGATGAAGAGACAGTGTTGTATATCCAAAATTTGTGTCCTGGAGCTGAATGTTATCAGAAGACCTTGTTAGTTTGATCTGACAGTGAATCCACTTGTTTATCAATCTGTGTCTTGTTACAATGAGGAATTAAAAACTGTTTCCTGCTTTGTCTTATGCAGAGTTGTGTCTCAAAGTTCAAAGAACAGAAATTACACTTTAAAACAAAGTAACTTATCAACAGAGTTTATTTTATCTTACATGTATGGCACCCAAGACTTATCCCTTCCAGGGGACATGTTTCCACTCGACAGAGGCATACTTGTGTACAATGACAATGAAGACTAAATTACCTGGACAATAGCAGGGGGAAAATCCTGCCCTATAGATGCGACCTGTGGATAATGTAATGCTAAGGTTTTAATGAAAAAAAAAATTTTACAAGTAAATTTGCACAAAAAGGTCAGGTGCTTAGAATCTGGGGCAGGGGGCAGTTTTCCCTCTTGATGCCCTCTAGTCTGAAAGGTCACTGCATTGGTGTCCTTCAGTGGAAAAATCTTCCAATAAAGCAATTGTACATAAAGCACCATTTGAATGGATAAATTCTAAACAAAATGTCACCTGGATGCTCTACCAGGAAAGAAATTGACTCAGGGTTTTTGGCAGGGTTAACCTTGCCACTGAAGCCCTCTGGATGCACTACCAGTAATTTACATGTAGACTATGAGCCTTCAAGGATGCCTTTCCAGTGGATAAAAAATAATCAAAGCACCATACTTGGTGGGGGTAAGGGGTCAATTGCCTCCTTAGTGTCCCCATTTCTGTAAAAACTGCCACACTGGTGCCTTCTAAAGGAAATGTTGTAAAATCATTCCCCTCTGCATGCTCTTTTCACTGAGCAATTCTAAAAAACGTGCCCATTGAATGCCCTTCCAGTTGCAAAATATAAACAGTGTCCTCTGGAAGCCCTTTCAGTGTTTAAATTGTGCAGATGTTATTTTTCTGTCCATATCTATCATATTTTTCAATAACAGATGGATATTGATATATGTATATATTTTTTGTCACTTTCAATGTAGAAGTAACAAAACATCATGGAATCATAATGTTTTCTTTGGGTTTATTCTTTAAAAATTAAAAAGGGGACATTTAAAAAAAAAAACAACTTTTTGACAATAATTAATGGTGCAGGAGTTTGATACATTTCTTGGATGGACCAATCACAACAAACCAGTCTCGTGACACTGTCATGTGACTAATGCTGTGTTAGAGTTACCTCCGAAGGCAGATGTCTGAGTTGGAAATGATGTCACACTCGAGTTACCAGTGTTTCAGTTAACAAGTCATAAAAAAGCAAAATCACAGGTGGAAACAAGATGGCTAAATCTAAGAAAGTTATTTTTCTTCGCTTTTTTAGCCTTGGTCGAATATAAGCAAGGACAAGGCAAGTGCTAAAAAAACCTCCTCCATTGTCCCCAATTTAAGTGCCATTGTTGTCAATAACAGAGAATTTGTGAAAATGGTTGACTTTTACCCCAGTGTCACAAGGCAAAAAGACAACCATATTTAAGGACTTTGGAGGGGCCCCTAGGGTGGCCAGTCAGATAAAAAAGTGGGGGTGGGGGGTGGGTGCCATACTCTGCTGATTTTATGGAGGCACCCCTGGCAAAAACACAAAGAATATTCAAGCCATGTCTCAGATATAGTATCTTTGCTTTTGTACATCCACTCTTAATTCAATCTATCATCACAGACGGAGAACTGGCTGCTAGACGAGTTACTACCAGGCGCCAAATACAGTTCGTGTCTGCTTTCGCGTTTTGCCTAGCAACGACCACAATTTTGTACCAGCCCACTCTCCGTAGCTTGAGAGGCGTTGACAAGTAGACAGGACTGTTGTGGTGGAAAATAGCCTTTTACTCACGGCAGCAGCCTCTGTATCACATTTTATCCTAATAATTGTAAATTTATACCGCACAGGAGCAGACGCCGGCGTGAAGAGAGGGTCGTGGGATCAGAAGAAAGCGGTATGTGCTGCTGTCAGCTCGTCGTCTTCAGTTAGCTGTTAGCTGCTCCGAGCCAAACAGTGTTTGTGTGACTGAGCCGTTAGCCTGACAGCTAACAGACACTGACAGATAAGACCTAACAGAGGAGCTGTGTAATGATATCAACTCTGTATGTTTAAAATCAGGTTAGATGTTAAGTCTTTTAAAGGAAAATTACATTTAAAAAGTGCAGATTACTGACAACTACTGACCATCATCTGGTTTGGTTTGAATTAGTTTCTCAGGTAGAGTCAACCTCATGATATTCATATTCTAAATCATGTATACAGGTGCTCTCAACTTTACAGGCTAATGTTTTCCATTGTGTGTCATCAGCTCTTCTTTTACCAAAACTCTGTAAATGTTAGTAAACCCAGCAGACCCATTTCTAAGTTTGGAAAGGCAAATGTTGACCCATTCTTGCCTGATATAGGATTTCAGATTCAGGGTCTCGTTTGTCTTATTTATGGTCTCATGATGCTCCAAATGTTTTCAATGGGTGACAAGTCAGGACTTCAGGCAGACCAGGTTAGCAGCAGGACTCTTCTACTACAGAGCCATGCTGCTGTGATCCCTGCAGAATGTGGTTTGTCATCGTCTCGCTGAAATAAGAAGGTCTTCCCTGAAAAACTCTTTGTCTGGATGGCAGCAGATGTTGCTCCTAAACCTGTTTATATAGTTCAGCGTTAATGGAACCTTCACAGATGTGTTAGCTAGCTACCCATGACATGCCATGTATGATCCCCAAACCATCAGGGATACTGACTTTGAACTGTGAGCTGATAACAAGCTGGCAGTCCCTCTACTCTTTAAAGCAGTAGTTGCAGTGTCCATGATTTCCAAAAAGAATGTCAGAGCTCCATTTATCAGCTTACAGTTTTCCTTTTCCCCTCAGTCCATCTTTAATGGGCTCAGGACCAGAGAAGTCTCGGATGTTTCTGGATCATGTCTATATATAGTTTCTGTTTTGCATGGTTCAGTCTTAACCTGCATTTGTGGATGCAGTGATGAACTGTGTTCACAGACAGTGGTTTTTGGAAGGGATTTTAAGCCCATGCAGTGATTTCCACTACAGAGTTCTGTCTGTTTTTAATGCTGTGCTGCTTAAGGGCCTGAAGATCAAGACCATCTCGGACTGGTTTTGGTCCTTGTCCCTTTTGTACGGAGATTTCTTCAGATCCTCTGAATCTTTTAATGATATTATGTTCTGTAGATGATAAAATCCATTATTTCTTTTACATTTTACACTCAGAGACTGTGTGAGCTAATAGTTCAACAGTTTCAGAATAAAGTTCCTAACAGAGTGGTGATCCTCTTCCCATCTTTCCTTCTGAGTTACTCAGCCTCTCTGAATGTCCTTTTTATACTCAGTCATGTAACTAATCTGTTGTAAATAAGCCTCTTTAGTTGTTAGTTATTCCTCCAGCTGTTTGTTTTGGAATTGTGCAACTTTTTTTACCTGTTTAGTTGTTTCTCTAAGAACTTTTTAGAAACACGTTGACATTTCAGATATACATCTTGATCAACATTTAACACAATGGGTGTCTAAACTTTCCATCTGGTTTGGTATGAAGTGATTGAGTGAGTCAGCGTTCTTTGTTTTGTTAAAGAGAGACTGTAAACAGAACTCTAGCTTTAAGTTGAGTCTGGATGAATATTTTTGATGTCTTCATTTTAATCACGTACATTTTTTTTTCCTTTCAGCTTTAAGATCTTTAATCACTGATCTGTGTCTTTTTCTCAGCAGTGTATGGGCGAGGTGACTCCAGTCTGACAGTATGAGCTCTAAAGGAGGCGGCACCGCTCTGACCCGCCGTAACTACAGACTGGCCTCAGACACAGACAAACCCAAAGCCACAGGTATGAAGACATCATTACAGGGTGCTTTTGTATTTTTAACACTTAATTGCACTACATTTAGTAATACCAATCAGCTTTAGCTTTGCTGTTCTTTAACAATCAAAAATCTAAAGCTGGTGATACGTTTTTGGGAATAAAGACCTTCTCAGTCTGCCTGCATGTTGTATCTCTTTGTCAGCTGCATTGGCCATTTCAACTTTTTAGAATTATCAACGATATCTTAATGTGTCACTGTTGTGAAAATCACTCCAGGAAGCAAAAGTGAGTGAGGGCCTCTGCCAGAGCAGGTGCAGGTGAGGACGAAGGCACTGTCTCAGATATAAGTAAAGACACAGTGAAGAACACAGCTGTGTATAAAATCTAAGGAGAAATTTGATGTTAACTCATAAGGTAATTGGCACATTTAAGCAAAGATGAAAAAGCTGATATATCACATGCCCTGGTTAAGACACAGAATGAAGTTCAGGTGCAGGTTTAGAGGCAGCCGCAGATGAGTTTTAGATTTAGAGCCAGGTCCAGATGTAAAAGCAGGTTCAAGCACATGTCAGGATAGAGTTACTTACATCATGCATGCTTCTATTCGGTAAAAGCATGCATGTGCAGACTTGTGGACACCGGTGTGTTGACAGACCCCAACGTATGTAAAAACACTAATAAATTTGCAGAGCTGGGTTAAGAAAGAAGTGCAGGCACAGGTTCAGAAGTAGTTGCATGTTCAGACTTAAATTCAAAAGCAGATGCACATTCGAGTACAGCCATGCAGAAATAGTTTCCACCATAGCCACAGTATGCAAGTCCAGCTCTTGATACAAGGCAAACAAAGTTTCAGATGCAGCAAAGATGAAATTTCAGGTCTGGGTTCAGTCCAGGTGTGGCGACAATTTCAAAAACACTAGAAAAATTGAAACAAATGCATGTCTAGATTTGGAGATTGGCTCAAGTGCAGCTAAGCTGTAGTTGTAAAGACAGGTGCTGATACAGGGAGAAAATATAACAAGAGTGGCATG